GGCCAGCTGGGCGAGCACTATCCCAGTGTCTGGGCATCCCCGCTCACTCTCTGCTCAGGGTTCCGGGGCCTCAGTATGTCTGGTGTTCCTAAGTGCACTCAGGAGCTGGGTAGTGAGCTGGGGGCAGCACCCACAGGGCCACTGAAGCAGCGCTGTCCCCCATCTTCCTGTAGGCCCAGCTCCAGCCACTTGGGTGCTGCTGAGTCTCTGGAATCTGCTGTGGTCATGGCATGGTGAGGGGCTCCAGGCACCCTGGGGCAGGAGGTGCTGTGCTCAGATTGACAACTGCAGGGAAGTGGGTGGGCTTCCCCACACAGGTTCCTGGCAGGGAGGTGGAAGAAGGGAAACAATATTCTGAGATATGACCCACAAGCAAGCCAATTTAAGTGGCTTTATATCTACCTAGGGTCCCTGACACCTACACATCACTCCTGATGAGTGATAACTCTTGCTTTTGGTGTGTGGCTATTTCTCTAATACTTCAATGTTTACAAGAATTGCACAGCCAGAATGGAAGAAATGAGAAAATCCGATGCCAGAGCTGAGAGAGGCCTGTGACACAGATTGACAGAAACCCTGCAGCTCACAGATGTGGCAGGGGTGACCTGTGGGTGTTGGGGCATTGGGAATGGAAGGGCAGGACAGCCTTACAACAGCCAGTCTCTGAGCACAGGGCTTGCCCTGAGGGCCGAGACTGGTGGGAAGATGGTACATCCCAGCACAGGCAGGCTCCATAGTGGGGGCTCAGAGCTGTAGGGGGAGGGCATGGGTGGGAGGGTCATCGGAGATGTTGAACCAGGGTCATCCAGGGAGCTGAGGCACCTGAAACACACAGGAGATTAAGGGGTCATTGGAGACCCCTTAAGGGGTCACTGGAGAGCCCCTGCATCCCTGCCCCACCCTGAGGTGGGTATCTCCCTGCTCCTGGCTCCCCACTTCTCTCTGAACAATCTGATGGGACAATCCTGCACACCAGTGTGCCTGCATGAAGCCCTCTGGGATCAGAGCCTAAGGGACTGGGTTCCTGGGGCCTGGAATGGTGCCAGGCAGGCAGGGAGGAGATACTCAACCTTCTGTTTTTTTCATTTTCCTAAATACCCGAACATCTGAACCCCAAGAGGGATTCCCCCATGGCCCTGGTCTTCCTCCTACCTCCTGCATACCTGGGAAGCAAGTAGCTGGTCACTCCCACAGGAAGCGCACATACCAGATGGTCTCGTTCTTCAGCTGGGGCCCAAACAGGGGGTTCAGCTGAGCCAGGATGGCGATGAGCCAGCTGCAAGGGACAGCAGCGTGAGGGGGTGCCGGGCACAAGAGGGATTTACCCTGTACTGACAGTGGGGTACGGGGCGTGATCACACTCCCCAGAGAAAATGAAGGGCCTGGTGGAATCACCCATAGCCTCCACAGATATGTGGGGTTTCGATTTGACTAAGTCTGGTTTTCTGCAGACCCATAAGGTCCCGGGGTTGGGATGGGATCTGGGATTACAGCAGAGGTGAGGCTGCCCTGGGGTGCTTGGGGAATGACTCCCCACAGGGTCCTCACCCACTCCTGGTCTGGGCCCCACGACAGGCTTAGTCAGGGGCATGCCCGGTGGAGCTTGTGCAGGTCCTGCCGCTTGGTCACTGCAGCCCTTCAGGCCGGGCATCCAGGTGACCTGACCCTGGCCCAGGACAAGCCTTGCCACTTTGTCCACAGTAGCAGGCAGGAGAGGCACCTGCCTGGGACAGTTTGCGGCCACATTCATAGCCTTTTACTGTCTGACCCTCCCTCCCCTGCTCAGGGCACCCCAGAGAGCACCCAATGACCTGCAAGTCATCACCAAATCATTTTAGATAGAGGGCTTGTGGGACACAGAGGACTTCCTCCCATGGCTCGGGTTCTGTGGCCCCAGGCTACCTTTCCCCAGGTGTGAAGCCTGTTGTTCTCATCCAGTGCTTCCAAGCCTGCTGCATTCCAGACACCTGATGTATTCACCGAGCAATAAGGGCTGCCAAGGGCTGGCCCAAGAGCTGTGCCCAGCTGCTCTCGCTGGAGCCCTGCTGGCTGGGTCCAAACACTCTCCCCGTGTCATTCGGATGCCCGGTTGGGTGTGGACAGCTCAGCGCCTTCCCTCCACAGGTGGAAAAGCTGCAGCCCCCGGAGTCTTACCAAGCTCATCCAGGTGTGTGACACACTGGTGGTATTCCCCCTATACTGCCTCCACTCCTGTGTACGACAGATCTACCCCTACACTGTCAGGACAGAGGAGAGAGAAGCCATGGGGAGGAGGGGAGGCAGGGTGAGGGCTGGGAGAGCAGCACTTACAATAGGTAACAGCAGACGGCGGTGGCCACCAGCATGGTGATGATCACTCTGCAACAGAAAAGGGCACAAGTCCAGCCCACGTGGCCAGCAGGGCTGGCAGGCCTGGCCAGGGCAGATGGGGTGGGAGGTGTCAGCGTTGGGCCCCCTGGCTCTCCCGTTGCCCTCCTCAGGAGGTGCAGCTCTACTCAAGGTGCGAAACACAGGACTGGAATTGCAAACTTTCCATCTGGGACACCTGCAATGCACACCCGAGTGCCTGGGCCTGCATCTCAGCTCTGCTCTCAATTCCAGCTTCCTGCTGGGGCACACCTTGGGGGAGCAGAGGACGGCTCAAGTCCTTGGGTCTCTGCCACCCACAGGACAGACTCAGAATTCCTGGCTCCTGGCTTCAGCCTGACCCAACCCCAGGTGTTGTAGACATTTGGGGACAGAGCAAGCAGATAGGAAAACAGGAGCTCACTGTCTCTCTTTCTTCCACCCTGCCCCCTAACCACTTCTAAATTATCTGACAAATCTTCCCCTTCCTCACCCTTCTCCATCACCCACTATGTGTCCATCACAACACAGACAAGTTGGGAAAAGGCACTGTGCCATGTGGCCATGAAGTAGTCTCTGGAATCAAGACTTGCAGGGGCAGGGGAAAGAAAACAATAAAGCAAAAGTTATTGGCAGAGACAGGGAGAACAGCCCTTCCCGAGGCAGAGTGAATTGTTACAAAGGTAACCTGGACTAGTTAGTTTGTGTCCATTTGAAGACAAGATAGAAGCTGAAAATGCAGCAGGAAAAACTTCAGTTGCACTGAAGAAAGAACTCACCAAGATTTGCAGGAGATGAGAGGCTTAGATGGTTTACAAAGTGAAGTGGTGAGGCGCTGAGCCCTGCAAATCTTAAAGGGCAAAGGCAACACCCATAGGCCCAATCTAAACCTAATCCCAGCCAGGGCCCAGACCTGTGGCCTCAAAAAGGCACTTCAAGTTGGTGCTACAGAAACTAGCACCTGACCCCTTGTTAACATTGATCCAGCGGCTGGGCACTGGAAAGCTGGGCTGAATAACAATCTCAGACCTCCAGGAACTTGGCCACTGAGGCTAACAGGGAGCAGAAACTGGCACGCAGAAATGTGCTCCGGGGTGGGGGCTTCTATTCCCTACCCAAACCACCCCCATGCACGTGTGCCATGCCTTGGCCGGTGCGTTCTTTCAGACAGTCCTCACCCGCGGCGGCACTCTCCTACGAAGCAGTGGGGCCTTGCCCCTGATTTAAGGTCACAGGGCTAGCAGGAGTGAGGGTGGCAGCAGAGGCAGACTCTGGCAGGCTGCAGAAGGTTGCTGCACGGCCGGCTCCGCATCGCACCGGCTCACCCTGCTGCTTCGTCCCCACCAGCTTCCTGGTTCCAGGCTGAGACTGGCCGAGGTGCAAAAACCTCGGGGGAGGCAAGCCTGGTGCGTGCGCTCATCGCAGGACAGGAGGCCACCGCTTTCACCGAGCAAGGGTGAGCCCGGCTAGGGTCGAGGGGACAGGGTCCGCAGAGAACCAGGGACTGTGCGCCTGCATTCCTTACCCGCGGTTAGGCCCCTTCGGCACGAACCAGGGCCCGGCAATGCCGATGACACCCCAGAACGTGGTGAAGATGATGACCGGGAGGGCGAAGGAGTGCGCCGTCATGGCCGGTGCGTGAGATGCCCAGGAGCGATGCAGAGCTGAAGATGCAGACGCACTGGGCACTCCGGTCCTCCACAGCCTAGCCGACAGCAGGGAGCGGCGAGCGTGCGCAGAAGGCCCGAGCCGCCCGGTCTGCGCACGCGCATCTCTCGCAGCTTCCGAGGCTGTGCGTGCTAACTTCTCGCTGCTTGCAGAAGACGTGGGGAGCGTGGGGACCCTCGCAGTAAGCGGGCTGAGGCGTCCCCCGCCTCCTGCCGGGACCCACTGTTGCGGCCCCAGAGCGTCCCTGGAGCCCTGACTCCGGGGCGCCCTGCGTCTGACGGTCCCGAGGATCATGCACCAGGGGATGGCGCCCTTGCTGCGCGGGCCACTCTCCCACGTCCAGGAGCGTGATTGGAGGTCGTGGGCCCAGAGTCCGGGGTAGGAGGAGAGGCAGGCGAGAACTGAGAACAGGGCAATGGGGCAAGACCGGAAGAACGAGGGTTCGCCTCCACACTCCAACGCCCTCTTCAGACGCGCGTCTGCAGCAAGTCTAGTGGGACTTGGGGATTCTCAGACTGTAATGCTTACGGATAAAACAGGAGCAGTAGTTCCTGAGGGTTACGGCACCTGTGTTCCCCCTTCACAGGCGTTGGAATGCGAGCTGAAAGCCCTTACCAGGGTGCTGGAATTCCTGTGTCCTCAGACCAACCAGACCTCATCCCTGAGCAGGGATGCCGAACCACGTGTCATCCCCAGCTGTGGCACCTGCTCAGTGCTTAATGGTGGCCCTCACTGGAACTGGAGGAGAGCACAATGCTGAAAACAAAGTATGTCCTGGACAAAGCATTTGAGCCGTTTTTACAGTTTGGTTTTTTCAAAGATGGGGGGCCTGAGGAAGAATCTGGGAGGCTCCCAAGAATGATTCCTCAGCCTTCCATGAAGTGGGAAAACCACAAGGCTGGAGTTACTTCCAGGGCTGCTCAAGTCTTTCAGATTCCACTGGAAAAGCCGCCAACCTGTGCCGAACCTGTGGCCCTAGCCAGGTGAGGGACCCTTCAGGTATCCCAGGTGTGGCAAGGGTTTTTCACCCAAGGGGACCTTGGGAGGCATGTCAAAATCCCTGTGGAGATGGGGCAGATGTGTATACCAAAAAGCAGAGTCACTTCCGGCCATGACACATGTCCCTGCAGCTCAGGACCACTAGCAACATAAACTACCATCGCCCAGAGGCCTTTTGCTGCCCAGAACATGGCCAGCATCTCTGTCTCCTGTCCTTCCAGCAGGACAGACGCTCCGGAGTACCACTGCGGTGTGTGCCAGATGGGTTCCAGGCAGAAGCCCACTCTCCTGGGGCTCTCTAGTGGCTGTCCTGACCTTGACAAAAAAAAAAAAAAAAAAGTTCTGGGTTTCCATCTTTCCATCTGCAGGTGCACAGGTGCTGGGTGCAGCACAAGCTGTGTTCAGAGGCAGCATCTGCAAAACCAGAGCCTGGGCCAGGGCCAGCACAGCAGGAGCCCACAAGGGTGCAGGAAAGGCTTCCGGAATGAAGGCCATGCTGACCCACAGAATGAAGGTTGACACATCTTGACAGCACCAGCCTGGCAGCTGTGCACAGGGGGTGTCACAGGTGCTCTTGGAAAAGAGGCAGGGCACATCACCTTCTTGGGCCTCAGTGCAAACTCCGATATTTCTAGCAAAGGCGAAGCAAGAGACTGCCTGGCTGCTGCCCCTGCAGAGACATGCCCAGCATGAATGCAAGGTCGCCACGACACCATGTTCTGAGCATAGGATTCATCCACCAAGGGGAAGCCCTGGGAAGGGCAGATAAGGGGATGCTGCCCTGGTCCAGCCTGGAAGAGCTTCTGGGCTGGGTGGGCACCAGTTCAAGCACTTCTGACTACTCTGACACGGAGCACCCCTAGCTACACCTTGGCTTCTATTGGTCATGTTAGTGTCCTTAAGTCACATACACAGTCAAATAAGACTGGTTCTCCTCAGCCCTAGAACTGGTGGTACCTTCAGCCTCTGTACAGCATTGCTCACTCCTGATGGTGAGGTCAGACTAATGCCAGACAGCTGCCCAGGGCCCCAGAAGGGACCTCGAGAACCTTCTGTCCAGTGGCGGGTCTGGCACAGCAGCTGTCAACTACTGCTGGAAGTAGAGGATTTGAACTTGGAATTTTGGCTTGTTTAGGAGATGCTTAGCAAACGTAGGATAGCCCAGCATTTGCTTACAACTTTCTTGGCAGCTGGCACCTCATCTCTGCCTTCTGATTTTCACTGGTCCAAACTGACTCACTCACAAGGACGGGAGAGAAATGAAACCAAAAGACACTCAAAAAGTGTACACACACACACACAACATCACCGCTGTCCCCGCCCTTGGCCATGGCCTCCCTTGGAAGGGGGATGATCCAGCTCGTTTTAATCAGCTTCTCCCTCCTGCTTCTTGTTCAGACACCTGTTGAAATAAACTCTGCTTTATTCAGATAGGAAAGGGTGAAAAGTCAACCATGATTTCTTAAAAAACAACAGCAATACCTTATTTGCACATCTTTAAAACTGCAGGTGAGGCAGTCCAGGGCCAGTTGCCCATCGGAGTTCTTGGCTACAAGGACACTTCCATGAAGGACCTGGCTCATGTTCACCGCAGGTACTTGCCCCTTGCAGGACAAAGAAACACAGGGCTGGACAAGGCTCCTCTCTGTAAGGTGCCTCATCAGGACAGGGGCCCAGTGCATCACTCCACCTGGCGTCTCTATGGCTATAAAATCCATGTGTCAGTTATAAAGCTGGCTACTTGGAACGTCAGCCCCAGTGGGCACTGTTCATCGGGAACAGAAAGGGAGAGGAGCCAGGCTGCATAGGAGGGGGTGCTGTTAGGACTATGGGTGGGGCAGCAAGAGCCAGGGGAGAGGGCCTGCTCCTTCTGCCGCAGTGCCCTTCGCAGTGCCGCACGCACCCACATGAGCTATCTCCAGCAAGGCGCTCTGTGGCCTTGGGCTCTAAGACGCAGGCAGCCTGTGGATGCAGGGCCAACCTGGGCCCCAAGACTACTCAAAGGTCACTCACCACACCCCCACTGTGGGATCTGGGAGCACAGTGGTCCTCTTCTTTCTTCCTTGCCTTGAGCTGGCAAAGGGGGCACCCTTGGGAACTGTGAGTAGTGCAAACACCTAGGATAAATTACATTTTCAGTTGCCCTGCTCAGAGCAGCCCAGAAGGCACTGGATGGTGTGCTCAGAGCCTGCACGTGTGGGGTGCGCAGGGACCTGCCCACCTGCTCACTCAGAGGGGCTCTTATATGATGAAAGCTGTGACAAGAAGGGTGCCATCGCTGGAAGGGCTCTGCAGTCTGATCCGGGTGGATGGGGTGGGGACTACGACCCCTGTCCCATCCCACCTAATTGTGCCCACAGTCCCTGGCTTGGGCACAGGCCTGAACTCCCATGACCATTTACACAGGGGAGAGCCGTGCTCCACTTAGGCCACGTGGAGAGAAGTGCCTGCCAGAGTTCCAGCTCCAAAGCCTGTGGCACCCATCAGATGTCAAGGTTCTGCCACAGGGGAAAGGCGGAACCTGAGAAAGAAACCCCTGATGAGAGCAGACATTAAGGCCAAGTGCCAGTGAGCTGATGGGAATGGAGGGAAAGCCAGCAGTGGGTCTGGGGGGCGGTGAGGTACTTGGACATCAGCATCTGAGGGACTTCCAGCAGCTGGAATAGCCAAACTCCTGGGGAAGAGGCCCGGCCAAAGGGCTCGGACACTGGAGACACAGGCAGCGTGCAAGGTGTGTGAGGAATAGGGCTTTCTGATAAGGCCCCACACACCCCATAAGGAAATGGGTCTGGCATGCTATAGGTCAAGTCCGACGGCTCCAAGATCTGGCACTCTGTATTCCTTCTAGGAAAAGCACCGGCTCCGCCCCCATCCAGGAGCTGTGAGAAGATAACCTTTCTTGGGTTCTCTGTCCAAGTGTCTTGTGGTACCCTAAAGGCAGGTCCCAGGTGGAAGGCAAGATGCTCTGTGATGAGGGTTTCCCACCAGATTTGCCATAGGAGCCAGGGCAAGAGACCCACCATGATGACCTGCGTGAATGCTTGCAGGTAGATCAGCTGTCCCTTCAGCAGGGTTATTCGTAGCCCTAACAAAGTGACCTTCCTCCCTCCTGCCACCTGCACCAAGGCTCTGGGGTGGCCTCTCTGGAGCATTCCCTAGGAGTGCCTGGAGGGCTGGGATACCCTGTTAGGCTCCCACCTCCAACAGTCTCTCCCACTTGGAGATGTCCTCTTGCCACCAGGACATAAGGTGAAATCTTCCATGATCACTTCCTGCTGTGCCTCAGAAACAAACTTGAGATGAGAGCCTTTTCAGCTTCTCTGTGCACGGAGGGTCCTGTTGTGCCTGTGGAGGGGCCCAGGTCAACAGGAGGTGTACCGCCCAATTACCTTGCCTCTTGGGGGTGGGGGCTTCTGCTGTCTTTACAGAGGGACTCTGCAAAGGGAGAACTGAGGCAGCCCTGATTCTGCAGAGGGCTGTCCTACGAGCAGTTCCTCAGGCTGGCTCAGGGGCTCCTAGGCTGGCATGCGGGGACAGGGCTCTCCCGGAGGTTCTGGGACACAGTCCTTCAGCACCTCCTCTGACTCCCTGGAGGGCATGACAGGCAGCTGCTGCTGGGTCACAGACCCCTTGGCACAGCGCATGCCCGCCTCCTGTTTGTTGAGTCCTGCACCTGCATAGGAGAAAAGAGAGTGACAGTGGGTAAATAATGCCTGCCCATAGCTAGGTTGGTCCCTGCAGGCTGTCTGGTGAAGACAGCACCACGGCCCAGACAGAGGCCAGGGAAGTCCTTGCTGGTGCCCTAGGATGGGGTGGCAGCCTCTGTCCCCTGGCCCTTGCCCTGAGGGGTGCCTGGCAATGCCTAGAGACACCCTGATGCTATAACTGGGAGGGACGGGAACTGTTACTGGCTATTACTGGTATCCTTGGGTAGGGGCCAGCATTGCTCCTACAGCTCGCATCATACACAGCACGGGTCCCCACAGCAGGCAGTTCTCCAGCTGCAGGTCTGTCTGGGCAAGAGGCGTCACTGCCCACAGTCTGGGTGCTGTCTGCTTGGTTCCTCATGTGTACTAGGTCCCCCACCCTGTGGTAGGATAACTTACTCAAGGGCACACCTCATGTCACCTTTTCTCATGACGCTGGATGCTGAGAACAGCCCACCCAGCAGGTGCCTAGGGGACAGATCCACCAAAGCGTCCCTCTTGGGTTTCCTGTCTCTCACAGGGGAGGAGTCTTCTGTCTTCGCCAAATTGCCCAGCTTCGTTCCAGGGCCACCCTGCTTCCTGCAGAGACTCAGTCAACCATGAGACCCAGGGCCACTGCTCATGAAGTCAGGCCCAGCAGCCAGGACGGAGAGGGAGTCAGAGTGCAGGAGATGGTTACATGGCAGGAGAAACCAGTGCTGGGGCCGGAGTTATGGTGCAGCACGTTAAGCTGCCGATCGTGACATCAGGAATCCACATTAGAGCACCGGTTCAAGTCTTCGTTGCTCCACTTCTGATCCTGCTAATGGGTCTGGGAAAACAGCAAATGATCCAAGTACTTGAACCTCAGTATGGAGTTCCTGGCTCCTGGCTCTGGCCTGGTCCAGACCTGGCAGATGGGAAGAACCATTTCTATACCTCTCCTCTCTCTATTTCTATACCTCTTTTCTTTGATAGAAAAGTCCTTCTTTCAAATGATTTTTAAAATGATTTGTCTGTTTATTTGAAAGGTGGTTACACAGAAATCTTCATCAGCTGTTTCACTCCCCAAAATGAGTGCAACAGCTGGGACTGGGGCAGACTGAAATCGGAAGCCATGAGCTTCTTCTGGGTTTCCTACATGGGTACTGGAGTCCAAAGTAGATGCCCATATGGGATGCTGGCACCGCAGGTGGCAGTCTAATCTTATATGTCACAGTGTTGGCCCCCAAATAAATAAATTTTTAAGAAAGAAGGGGCAGGCCTGGTGCGGTAGCCTAGTTAAAGTCCTTACTTTGCATGCCTCAGGATCCCAGATGGGTGTTGGTTCTAATCCTGGCAGTATCACTTCCCATCCAGCTCCCTGCTTGTGGCCTGGGAGAGCAGTGGAGGACGGCCCAAAGCCTTGGGACCCTGCACCCACGTGGGAGACCCAGAGGAGGAGGTTCTAAGCTCCTCATTTCAGACTGGCTCAGTTCCAGTCATTGTGGCCACTTAGGGAGTGAAGCAATGGATAGAAGATCTTTCTCTCTGTGTCTCCTTCCCTCTGTAATCTGCCTTTCCAATAAAAATAAATAAATCTTCAAAAAAGAAGGGGCTAGCACTGTGGCTCAGCAGGCTACCTTTCTACTCGCAGCGCCAGCATCCCATATGGGCACTGGTTTGAGGTTCAGCTGCTCTACTTCTAATCCAGCTCCTGCTAATGTGCTTAGAGAAGCAGCACAAGATGGTCCAAGTCCTTGGTTTCTTGTACCCATGTGGGAGACAGGGAAGAAACTCCAGGCCTCAAACCAGTCCACCCAGCTATAGCTATTTTGGCCATGTGGAGAGTGAACAGGTGGATGGTAGATCTCTCTGTCTTTTGCTCTTTCTCTGTAACTCTGCCTTTCAAAAAAATAAATAAATAAATAAATGAAGGGAGGGAAGAAAACCACTGTCAGCCTGCAGCACCACGGGCTGGTGTGTTTTCTTTGGGGTTGACTGGTCAGAATGCTTGCTCGGGACGGGACTGGACAGATCTGCCCCTCTCATTATTTTCCCACATCTGTGCACTCTGCCTGTACTCACTGGCACGGGAGCGGGCTGGCCCCTGGGCACAGGCATTGACGTGGTTGAAGCGGCGGCCTGAGGAGGTCAGGTACCAGTGCTGGATGGCGGGCTGGGGGTTGTACTCTGCGACGGCGACGCCATTCACTGCCGTCATCATGAGTGTGTTGAGCACCTCATTGGACAGCTTGGTCCTCTCATCGGTCCTGATCCGGTTCATGACCTTGAATCCCCGTGCACAGCAGGAGGTGGAGATGGGCACACAGCACACCACGGCCATGAGCTTGCTCAGCAAGGGGAAGCGCTGGTGCTGGGCCAGGGCATTTTTGCACAGCATGGAGAATGGGAGGTTTTGGGCAATGGCTTTTAGGTCCAGCCACTCCTCCAGGAGTGCATCCTCGCTGTACGCCGTGGGAAGGGAGAGCCTGAAATACTTGGCAAGGGCAAGAATATCATCATTCCCCAAACTGGCCAGATCCACCCCAGCTGGCCAGGCCGTGGTGTCAAACACCTCCATGTTCTTGAGCTGCAGGGGCCGCTCTGTGTCAAACCTTTGCTGCAGGTATTGTAGCCCGATCAGGATCGTTCTCTCCCGGTCTGTCTGGAACCGCTGCTCTGCCATCTCCACTCTTTGGAGGAAGATGCCATGCAGTTGGTCGTCCCTGAAGTTGGCATTAAACTCCTCCTCCTGGGGCCCTGCCTCCTCACGGAGGGTCTCCAGTGCCACATAGGCCTGTGACAGCGTCGCGTTCACCTCTGTAATCAGCACGTTCTCTTTCTGGCACACCTCAGACAAGGGCCTATAGATGTTCAGGAAGTCCAAAAGAAAGTGACAGAACTTGATGAAATGGAAGCCCTTCATCAGCTTCAGCATGCCCCTGGCCCTCTGTCCATTCGGGCCCCCAGCATCTGCCACGCCCTGCAGGTGCCTAGCCAGGGCGGGCCAGCTGGTGATAAACGCATTCAGTGTGCGCCTCTTGCTGGCCACCCACCTGACAGCATTCAGGTCCTTGAGGCGGATGATCTCCTGCTCCAGGGCAGTGGCTCCTGCCTGAAGCTCACTCAGCCTTTTGTTTGAGGACTGATAAAACTTGAAGACAGTCCGGATGTGCCTGTCGCACTTCCTCACCAGATCGATGCTGCCACAAGCGTCCACCACGGCCAGGTGCAGCCGGTGGGCCACACAGTGGACAGGCAGCAGCTGGGGGATGATCTCCTGGAACCTCTCCACAAGGCCTCCTTTGCAGCTCAGCATGGCGGAGCCGTCGGTTCCCAGGCCCACCATCCAGCCAGGCTTCCGGAAAGGGATGTCCAGCTCGTCCAGCGCAGAAACGACGGTCTCGAAATATCCATCCACGGTCTCAATGTGGACGGGGGCCAGCGTGATGTAGGACTCTTTCACCTCTACCTGCTTCAAGTAGCGGATGTAAATGCCCACACAGGCCTGGTCTGAGGTGTCCGTGGAGCTGTCCAGCAGCACGCTCATGCAGGGAGACTTGCGGATGTCATGGAGAATCTCCTTCTTGAGCGTCTCAGAGATGTACTTGATGAACTGTGTGCAGGCAGTGCGGTTTCGGTACTTGCCTAAGATCACAGTCCCAGTGTTCTGCAGAAGCTGCAGGATCTTCTCAAAGTCATTCAAGGGCCTCGAGTGGTAAGCAATGGAGTAGGCAGCGTGGAAGAAGTGCTCCATGTTGGCCATGAGATCGTTGGAGATCTCTGGGACCAGGGTAGGCTGCGGGGCGTCGTCTCTGATTTCAACAGTGTTGACGCAGAGCTTGTGTGCTTTGCTGACCTCGTGGTATTTTAACGTCTCCACTTTGAAAGGCCCCGTGTAACCTCTGACCAGCCGAGACGATTTGTCATGCAGAGTGGGTCTTTCCTTGCAGACTGAGCAGAACAGCTTGGGCTCTTTGGGGTCAATGACCAACCAGGGGAACTGCCCAAACCACGACCTCTGAATGGACCGTGGGCGGTAAGTCCTCTTGACCTTCCCGGGACCCTCTGTGCCCACTTCACAAAGGCTGGAACTGCAGTCATAGGAGGGACTTGTCTCCGCAGAAGGAGCAGGGAGCGATGCGGGTTCCACAGCTGAGGTTTCCATGTCTACCTCTCCTGTAACCACCACTTTTTTTTTCCCTTTGGAGAAAATGAAAATGTGCTTAATTTTGCTGCCCCAAACTCTGCAGTCTTCTGTTAGCTAAGACACTACCAAATTTAGCAAGTGCCTCTCATGCAAAGCCGAGATAATGTGATCTCTCTCTGTGATGGCTTTGGCTCATGGTTTAGCTTTTTGCCCATGCTCCCCTCTGAGAGCCCACCTGATGAGTTGCTGTTCAGTCTTTTGCCAGTCTCCCTTCTCTGTCCAGATGGTGACCCTGGAATCATGGCACCAGATGCTGACAAGCTTCATCTTAGTTTGATTTTGCCATGGACACACTGAATAAACAGATGGCTCAGGTCCTCTTGTGAGGATCAGAGAGAAATGAGGTTAAGCGTTTGTAGGCTTTAAGAGCCTTAGAAAGAAGCCTGGTGCTGGAGCACACGTGGTAGCAACTAGCTATTACGTAATTCTCGCAGTGATTTCACTGAACACCCACAGAAGGAGGAGGGAGGCCACCGGGTTTCACATGAGCATCCTGCATGTGTCTCCTGTCAGCCCTGCCGCAGCTCCCATCTGCACTCTTGCTCAGCTCTTCTGTCCTGTCCCCGTGAGTGTCCCAAGCTCCTTGACACTGAAGGCAGGGTGAGGTTCTTTTTCCTCTTTTTCTACTCAGGGCCTGATGCACAGTGGGTCCAAGATAAGCAAGGCGGAGCTAACGCCCTGTGACTTGCTATCACTATATGGGTCCCTGCATTTGCCCTTCAGCGCTTGGTGGGTCTACACTCACCTAGAGGGCAGTCTTTTCCCAACTTGGGTCCATTCAGGTCCTTGACCCATGGTGGACTTCTCCGTTCCAGCTTGGAGATCAGGTCAGGCTTGGCGCCAACAGGCTCTGCTGGAGGGATGAAGAGTGGTGGCATTGTCACTGCTCTTGGCCAGCAGGTGAAACAGCCCGCTCGAGCCAGACATGCCGTGCTTCCCCAGAACCTAGGCACTCTGCAGCACACTGTATGCACAACCATCCAGCCTGGCTCCGGGCCAGAAGGGATCACTTCCTCAGCTCCAAGGCCCAGCCAGGGAGCCATGAGCTAGCAAAAGGCACCCTTGCCGGGATGCGGGGGTGATCAAAACAGGAAGAGATGAAGGATAGGGCTGCGGTACAGAGAAGGCTGGGATGAAAAAGGAAGCCACACAGAAGCAGAAGGTGCCGTCCACAACAGCCCCGTGCCAGCTGACCAGGGACATGGGTGATTTGGTAATAAAATCTGAAATCTGGGCTCAATGTGGTTGCCTAGTGGCTAAAGTCTTCGCCTTGAACACGCCAGGATCCCATATGGCTGCCGGTTCTAATCCCAGCAGCCCTGCTTCCCATCCAGCTCCCCGTTTGTGGCCTGGGAAAGCAGTTGAAGACCGCCCAAAGCCTTGGGAACCTGCACCCATGTGGGAGACCCAGAAGAGTTCCTGGCTTCAGATCAGCTCAGCACCAGCCGCTGAGGTCAGTTGGGGAGTGAGCCATCGGAAGGAAGATCTTCCTCTTTGTCTCTCCTCCTCTCTGTATATCTGACTTTGCAAGAAAATAAATAAATCTTTAAAAAAAATCTGAAATCTGATGGAAGGAGACTTGCAACTTCTACTCAGAATATGAATGTTTTACAGGGATGTGCAAAGGTATTGCTTCCTTTATTTACAATAAAAACCCCTCACTATCTCTTTCCATGCCTTTGTACGTGTTTGGGTGGAAGGACAGTACAGCTGGTAACTTGGTGCTTCTGGGGAGGGAGTGAAGGCAAGGTAAAAGGGAGACTGAGCGTTCATCTTTCGGATCATTTGAAAATATTTATACTTATTATCTGCATGTGTCTACACACTACTAATAAAAAACGAATAAGTAAATGATTAAAGTGTGGTAGATTGAACAGATACATCTTTGTTAAAACATCTAAAAAAAGACAGCAAAGGAGTAACAATAGACAAGTCCAAGAAAATGTTGGGGTAGAAACGCTAACACATTTTTGGGAGAGAGGAGATAAAAAGAGAAGAACTCACAGAGCTGCACAGCAGATGCCTCCAGCAGTGACACGAAGAGAAGCAAGCTGGTCTAAACTGCAGAAACTGTGGAACGGCCCTCTCCTCTCACCATCGGAAGTCCTATGGGCCTTCTGCAGGCTCTTCCATGAGACCTCCAGGCTCATGGCTTCTCCCCGTCCAGGGAAGCCCACCCTGTGAAGAGCCCCTACAAGGCAGAGCCGCCAGCCAGGGTTGTGAAGTTTGACGCTTGACTAGGAACAACTCCAGAGATAACCGTGTAAGACACCTCTATGATGAAAGGGAGTGACTGCCTCAAGTTGAAAAACAAACCTGGAACAATGAGAGGTTACAGGGAGCAAAACAACGACTGCTACCTCCAGAAAGAGAAGTCACAACAGTGACTGGCATGTTGGCATAGTAAGCTAACACCTATAGTGCTGGCATCCCATACCAGAACCAGTTCAAGCCCAGCTGCTCCACTTCAGATACAGCTCTCTGTTCATGGCCTGGGAAAGCAGCAGAGGAAGGTCCAAGTGCTTGGATCCCTGCACTCACATGGGAGAACCAGAAGAAGCTCTCGGCTTACAGCTTCAAGTTGGCTCAGCTCTGGCGATAGCAGCCATTTGGGGAGTGAACCAGCAGAAGGAGGAGCCTGTTCTCTCTCAGTCTCTAATTCTTTCAATTAAAAACAAAACAAACAAACAAACAACCCCATAATGGGCTGATACAGTGATGTAGCGGGCTAATCTTCTACCTACAAGTGCCCACATTCCATAGAGGCATTGATTTGTGTACTGGGTGCTCCACTTGCCATCCAGCTTATGGCCCGGAAAAGTGGAAGCAAATGGCCTGAGGCCTTGGGCCCCTGCACTCACGTGGGAGGCCTGGAAGAGGCTCCTGGTTCTCAGCTTTGGATCAACTCAGCTCTGGTCCTAGGAGTCACTTGGGAAGTGAACCGGAAGACAGAAGACCCCTTTCTCCTTGTCTCTCTGTAGGAATCTGCCTTTCAAATAAAAATACATAAATCTTTAAAAGGGCTAGATAAGGAAGTAGGGGTGAGATGGGGGAGATCTGAGGTCCCTGTTGTACAGCAGGCCTGGAGGAGGGCAGGTCTGATAAAGGAACTTCCAGGAAAAGGACAGAACTAACTGATCACAAGATGATAGACCTATGAAAAGAGCAGTTTCATAATTCCCCTGGCAGTGTGGGAAGAGCTGCTGAGAGTACAGAAAGTCAGCAAAACCGAAATTCAAGAAAGCAACAGAAACCAATCCCAAGGAAAAGAATCCTACAAAGAAGGAAATATTATGTAGCACGTTGTCCAGTAGTGAATAATTAATCATAATCAGACAAGTAACTGGCATTGATTAAACCAAAAAGTGTGCTACACCTGTTCTCTTCCTGGGAGGAAGAGAAGTGGGGCCTGGGGTGAGGTAAGAGGCCATATCTTCATCTTCCACAGTAGGAATCAATAGATAATATCTAAAAATCAATCAATCAGGAAGAGCACTGAAAATGTGCCACAGGGTATTTCGGTGTGATGACGTTTTTTTTGGGGGGGCTGAAGATTCAAAAAAAAAAGTAGATGCCAATGAGCCCCCCAGCCCTGCCGCCATTCCAAAGCAAGACTTCTGAAGCACCACCTGGAGGGGGGCACCTGAAAGCTGATGCCAAGAGGGAGGCCAGAGCTGAGCCAGACAAGGATGGGAGGGTGGGCGTTTGAGAGGTTTCTGGAAAGAGTTGTCCCGCTACTGTGGGAACAGGTGGGATGAGCTCTTTAGCCTTCTGCTTCCTAGGAACCAAATCCTGACTGGTATTCCCAGGATCTGAGCAGCTGGTCAGGATTCCAGGCCTGGAATGCATGCTGTGTGTTTTGTCCAGATGTGCGGGTCATGCAGGGAACAATAGGCTTACCCCGAAGGAATTCTCTGTGATGGCTGTCTGCAGGTAACACCCTGCCTCGTAAGGGAAGCCCCTATGGGGCAGGTTGCCAAAGAAGACAGTGATTCTTTGGAATTCCTGGTGAGGACTGCAGAACCCCCTCTCCCCGCCCACACACACCCCAGAAGAATCAGCCTTGAACTAACACAGCTGTGAGCAGCCACTATCAGTGTTACACGGCTACCAGGTGAAACCTTCCCGCAGGTCTCAACCATCTACTCAGCATCCTGTTCCTATTGACTCTGCACCAGAAATCCTCAAACATGTAGGGGCTGGGGGGAGAAGAGCCCCTTCTCCCTGCTGTGTGATTCCAGATTCTAGATCTGAAGCCGACTCATGCGGAGAAGGCAAGGTTCCTCTTCTGAGTTCAGTGAAGACCGGATATTTCACTGGTACACAACGACTGGACTTCTGTCTCCTAACTTTTTTCTTCTGCTGCATTTTGTAAACCTACAATCCCAAGCCTACAGAAGGGTCTCAGTGACAGTACAAGGATGTTCAACCACTCACACTGGACCCCGTTTGCCTTATCACATCGAAGAGCTCATGCACACACAGCTTCTTTCTGCATGTATGTATCGGATGCGAACATGCATGGTTTTCTGAACAGTTTGAGAGAAAACCGTTTTCATACTTCTTATCCTTAAAGACTCCGTATTATCCAAGGACATTTTCATAGGTGGCAGGCAGGATTCCAACAGCCTATAGGACACTCACCCTTGCCTAATCCCGCCCCTCGGAGTGAAAGTGAAATTTGTGAACATGATGACATGTCACTCCTGTGGTCTCACACGAAGTGGCACAGGAAGGCCATCTGCATGGTGGATCTGACCTCACCACAAACGCCCTTTACAAGCCAAGACCCAGGGGCAGGCTTTGATGAACAAGGGTTTAACACCCATTGAGCTCTGGGTCTTGGAGTAGGTACAGATACCAGGGCTTCTAAGGACAAGATGACTTGGGGCCCTGCTGCTCGCCTGAGGAGGGACCCGGGAGCAGTATCCGGCACCTGAGACTGACTGTGGGCCAACAGCACCCTCAGTTCTACGGCCACAGAAACTGGATTCTCCCCGGCACCCTCCCTGACCTTAGGGTGACTGTCCCCTAAAGCCTCCAGGTAAGGGTGGACCTGACTGGCACTGCCTCTAGCCTGGACGGCCTGAAATGGAGGCAGTATTACAGCACAGAGGGTTAGGCTGCTGAGTGCAATGCTGGCATTCCACACTGCAGCACCAGTTCGAGTGCTGGCTGCTCTGATTTCAAAACCTAGGCTCCTGCTAATGTGCTGGGACAGTAGTGGAAGATGGTCCAAGCTCTTGGGCCCTGGCCCAGCCCTGGCTGTCACAGGTGTTTGGGAAATAAACTAAGGGATAGAAGATCTCTCTCTCTTTCCCTGTCATTTGGCCTTTTGAATAATTGGTACATCTTTAAAAAATAAAAGAGCCAGTGCAATGCAGCAAATTAATCTTCCACCTGTGGTGACAGCATCTCATATAGGGCACTGGTTCAAGTTTCAGCTGTTCCACTTTCCCATCCAGCTCCCTGCTTGTGACCTGGGAAAGCAGTGAAGGATGGCTCAAAACCTTGGGACTGTGCACCCATGTGGAAGACCCAGAAGAGGCTGCTGGCTCCTGGTTTTGGATCAGCTCAGCTATGGCTGTTGTGGTCATTTGGGGAGTGAACCAGCAGATGGAAGATCTCTCTGTCTTTGCTCTGTAAATGTGTCCTTTCAATAAATAAGTAACTCTTAAGAAGAAAGACCTGGATGGAGTTCTAAGCTCTTGGCTTCAGTCTGCACCAGCCTTGGCTTTTGTAACCCTTCGGAGAGGGAACAAGTGGATGGGAGATCTTTGCTTTTTGTCACTCCACCTTTCAAACAAAAAAATCTTTCCAGAGGAAACAACAAGCCTGACTCCTCCCTTCTTTGCTTGTCTGGCAATGTGACTACTTGGTCATTCACTTATTTCCACTACAACATGACACTATTCATTATTGTCAGGTCCTGACCACAGGGCTGCCCAGGCTTGGTCTTTAGCCTTCCAGGACTGTGAGTTGAATGAACCTGTTTCCTCTGGAAGTAGCTTGTGCCTGGTACTTCACTGCAGTGACAAGGAACTCTAGTACACCTGCCGTGGAGAAGCCTGCCTCCTGGACATCCCCTGAGTAAAATCTCTCTTCCAGGCCTTCCTGCTCAATTTTGGCTTCCATTTAGTGTTACAGCTTCTTGCTCCTGCTATGTGAGCTGTCTGAAGTTAAGGACTTTCCCTGTCCACCTGACAGAAGCGACAGGAACACTCAGCCCACAATGATACCTTTACTAACCAGAACAGAAGCCACCCACTCTCCCTTTGCTGACGTGTCTGTTTCTGTTACCCGCAAGAATTACTCTCTCATGGTGTAATGTCCCTGGGACTTCTAGATCCTTTTTGAGGGGAAGCAAGAGACCATACTGAACATGAATAAAGCCTGGAAGCAGAGTTCTGAAACACAAAAATAAAGAAAAGTCAGAACGGATGAAATGGAACACATCAGAACTAGAACCAAGCCATCTTCCTTTTCCGCACAACCAAAATCGTCCTCCCCAATTCCAGCCTCTTGGTAAGACACCTGGCAAAGTCAAGGCAAATGTACTAGATAAGCAGATATCATCTAGAAACACATCTGTTCACAAGCTTCATCTATGCAATGTTACTTCCAGAAACTAATATCAAATCTTTCTGCGTCCAATTGAGACTATCTTTTTAAAAACAGGTACAGATCTTTTCAAGATTTTTTTTTTTTCAGTTGTATCTCTGCATTTTCAGTTTTAAACCCTGGTAAAAAGAAACAGTGGGAGATATGGGAGACCTGGAAGAGGCACCTGGCTTCTGATCAGCTCAGCTCCAGCCACTGCAGCCACTTGATGAGTGAACCAGTGAATGTAAGATCTTTCTCTCTGTCTTGCCTTCTCTCTGTAGATTTGCCTAATAAAAATAATTCAATCTTTAAAAAGTCATGAGAGGGTCCTGGCAGTGTGGCCTAGTGGCTAAAGTCCTCGCCTTGAATGCGCCAGGATCCCATATGGGCGCCAGTTCTAATCCCGGCAGCCCCACTTCCCATCCAGCTCCCTGCTTGTGACCTGGGAAAGCAGTCGAGGATGGCCCAAAGCTTTGCGACCCTGCATCTGCGTGGGAGACCTGGAAGAAGTTCCTGGCTCCTGGCTTTGGATTGGCACAGCATCGGCCATTGCACTTACTTGGGGAGTGAATCATCAGATGGAAGATCTTCCTCTCTGTCTCTCCTCCTCTCTGTATATCTGACTTTCCAATAAATAAATAAATCTTAAAAAAAAAAAGTCATGAGAGAATTAGCTGGATTTCCTCCAATGGTTAGAGCAAAAGGAAACCTACAGCATGAACACACTGATACATGGAACAGAGTCAGAGAGCAACAAAGAGGCCCAAGCCTGTGCTAAGCTGGAGTGCCACAACCTGACCAACCCCGAGCAGTCAATCTCCCCTCCATCCGGTTCCTACTGAGACAACAGAGCTAACAGCGGCCTACATATAGAGAAGGTCTGAGGGAGCCAGACCAAACTATGAGTCATCTTGAAGAATTGCAGAATAAGGGCAGGAAAAAAAGACTCCCTGCTTTTTAATTTGCATATTATTGGAGCTTTTAAATAGCCTCCGACTTGTTGCTCTATTTTAGTATCAGCAACAGGAACAGCACAAATCTTGAAACAAAAAGAAGAGGAGTCCGATTAGTAACAAACATTTAGATAGCAGGGATTTTACTGGACAGAATACGGAAGAGTCATTGCATCACTAGCTAAATAACAGAGGGAAGGGGGAACTAGTCCCTACTTGGAGGAGTGGCTTAGGGACGGGACAGAAGGGTAGGTGAGACGCTCAGCAACAGACCAGCACCTGACAGACGCTTGTCAACAGCCAACCCCACTTGGACTGGTTCAGATGTAGGATCTTTCCAGAAAGGAAACAGACAGGATTCCTGTAACATCTGTATAGGCAAAGCACAAAATTTTGACATAAAATATAAGAGATACTAATAAATGGATGGAAAAATTGTAAAGGCTTTTCTTGGATTTAAGAATTATAAGTTCGTTTTGTTTTTTTTTTTTAAACAAACTGAGTGCAGACTAAGGACTTCCGCTTACAAAAATAAATACAGCTTATAAAAAATAAGCAGAATTGGGCCCGGCGCGGTGGCGCAAGTGGTTAAGTCCTCGCCTTGCACGCCCGGGATCCCATATGGGCGCCGGTTCTAATCCCGGCAGCCCCGCTTCCCTTCCAGCTCCCTGCTTGTGGCCTGGGAAAGCAGTTGAGGACGGCCCAAAGCTTTGGGACCCTGCACCCGTGTGGGAGACCCGGAAGAGGCTCCTGGCTTCGGATCGGCATAGCATCGGCCCGTTGCGCTCACTTGGGGAGTGAATCATCGGACGGAAGATCTTCCTCTCTGTCTCTCCTCTCTGTATATCCGCCTTTCCAATGAAAAAATAATAAAAATAAATCTTTAAAAAAAAAAAATAAGCAGAATATTTCATTTTCAAACTATTGTCACGGGAGAGATTAAAATGTGATTTAAAAACTTGCTGAAATAGGGCCCGGCGCAGTGGCGCAAGTGGTTAAAGGTCCTCACCTAGCACGCCAGGGATCCCATGTGGGCGCCGGTTCTATCCCGGCAGCCCTGCTTCCCTTCCAGCTCCCTGCCTGTGGCCCGGGAAAGCAGTCGAGGACGGCCCAAGGCTTTGGGACCCTGCACCCGCGTGGGAGACCCGGAAGAGGCTCCTGGCTTCGGATCGGCCATAGTATCAGTCGTTGTGCTCACTTGGGGAGTGAATCATCGGACGGAAGATCTTCCTCTCTGTCTCTCCTCTCTGTATATCTGCCTTTCTGATAAAAAAATAATAAAAATAAATCTTTAAAAAAAAACTTGCTGAAATAAAAATAACAATTAGAGAATTTCTACTGTTTTAACACCATTTTATATCCACATTATGGACTGGATCCCTTTCAAAAAAATCCCCTTTAAACACCCAGATCACCTCTGCCAGGCCCTGGTTAGCAGTCTATAGGCTCCTTAGAAAGATTTAATATCTCAGGCATGAAAAGCTCTTTAACCTGGGGTCAGGTTCAAGGATGACAGCTGGTGGACCCCATCCCAGTCGGCACAAACAGCCACTTGACTGACATGTTCTTTTCACGAAAACGGACCGCAGTGGCTCCTGAGCGCACACTGCAGCAGAGCTGCTGTTTCCTTTAAAAGAAGCCCCAGCTCTCTGGAACCCAGGCTGTGCTTTCACCCATGAGCCTTCCCTGGCTCCTGCTGCCTTTCTGCACAACAGCAGCCACGGCGCTCTGTGAAAGTCCTCTGTGCCCCAGTGTCCTGCAGAAGTCACGATCCAGCTGGCTACTGGCATCCCTGTTAGGGAAGGTGGCTTGTCCCACAGCCTTCCGTCACGACACACTCATCAAAGACAGACAAGCACAAATGTCATAGGATGAAAACCTGGGCTTCGGTTTTGATGCTGCAGAAGAACCTGAGGGCTGTCCAGGAAGAAGCAGAGAGAAGAAAGAGATGCAGAAGAGAACGCTTTTCTGACAGTGATAATTACAGATACCTTCAAACTTTTCCAAGTCCACATCTGTGGGTCCTCGCACCAAAGGCTGCCAGGCCCTGTGGCCAGCTGAGTGAGACGGAGGGGGCTGAGCTGCACCCACAGGGAGGGAAGACCCCCGGGGCGGCCTGGCCAGGCCATTCCCTCCCTAGGTCATGTCCAGATGCCCTTCTTCCACCTGCTCCACTTGGTTTTAAACCTTGCTCACCCTCAGTGACAACAATGAACAGATCCTTCCTCCAACACCCTGCAAGCTCACCCCTCTTCAGCAGCCCAGGGCACTCTTCCTGAAGCTTTTTAGGGAAGCTTACACTATTTTGTACTTTTTATCCAAACACCTGTCTCTCCCACAAGCCTGTTCTCCTCTTAAAGGTAGACGCCTCAGTTCCCTCGTGCCCATCTGGCATGAAGTAGGTACACAGTCAGTGTTGATGGGGGACAGGTGAAGGGACTGACAACGGTACTGCAGAGCAGGGAGAGCTCTGGGACCTGAAGGATCTCATCACTCTTCCTGTGCCCAGGGAGGGGACAGAGCTGCAAAGAGCTCCACAAGCCACAGCCGCTGTGGGTTTCCCATGTCACATGGCGGCGGCACAAAAAAAGTCTATGTGAATCTTTACCCAGGGAGGCCAACAGCTCATAATTCATCCGCATCACGTCTCTGTACAGCTCCTTCTGCCGCTTGTCTAGCATGCCCCACTCTTCCCGGGTGAAATACACTGCCACATCCTCAAACACCACCGGAAGCTCCTCAAGGACCACCGGAAGCTCCTCCAACAGCCCCTCTTCCGGAGGGTCCTGCAACAAAGAGCAGCAATCACTCAGCACGTCTCGGGAGACAGATGCCTGGGGGGTGACTTTCGGGGGCCTCCTTAGGACCCCTTTGTCCTGGGACACTCACCGACAGGTCCCAGTCAGACCCCAGGCTTGCCTGGGGAAGAACCGGCACCTCCATGGAGCCTCTGACTGCACCCTGGAACGACGCTGTCCACGCATCTGTCTTGAGCACAGCCTGCCAAGTCCTCCCAGCGGGATGGAAAGGAAGAAGAGGGGGCAGAGGAAGAAGGAACTAGAATGTTCAAGAGCCAGACGGACACATGCCTCACTGCCAGAGCACTTCAGATGATTAAAGGTTAGATGTGTTTAGTAGCTTCTGATACAAAGAGGTACTCAAGGATTATGAAGAGGAACAAGCATTGCTGTTTTTCTGGATTTTGCAATCTCACTCCGAATGCCTACTTACAAAGAACAACTAACTGATAGCTTCTCATCAGACTCAGAGGCAGCACTAAAAATGATCAGTAGTAAAATCCCACTTACATGCAGTATGGGAAGGCTTTTCACTAGATAGAGATCCCAGTGAACCCAGCTGGTGTGGTCACGGTTCTTCCCCTGTAACACTCATGCTGGAATGTGATTGCCACTGGGGTGGCATGGGGAGCTGGAGCCTGTGAGAGGCAATCAGGTTGATAAGGAAGATCAATGACTCGGAGGGGAGCTGGTTCCTCACGGGTGAGATGGGCTTAGTCCCTGCAAGATCCGACGGATACAAGCAAGGTCTCCCCAGGGTTCACCTCTCCTGCATATGCTCACGTGCCCTTCCACTGTGCATTGCAAGTTGCAGCAGCACGGGACCCTCCTGGGAGCTCTGTCCTTGGGGCTTCCTGGCTTCCGGAACCACCAGTCACAAAAGGACTTCTTTCCTGATGAACTGCCTCCATCTCAAGTGTTCCGCTATAACAGAAAACAGACCCGGGCAGGAGCGGTACCAACTCCCCAAACATCTAGTTAATTATAAGATCAGCCTGCAGTCAGCGGCTTTAGGCTCCAGCACAGCTGGAAGTGCAGTGGGAGCAGGAGGGAAGCCCCAGCTGATCACCAAGGTGGGGAAGGGGGAGATCAAGGGCTGGGGCTGGAGTCCAGCCTGGTCGGCAGAAGCGCCCGGACTGCACACCTGCCTCAGAGCACCTCTCGGCAGAGCCACCTGGGACGCAGTCTCCTCCCACCAAGGTGAGTCTAACAGCATTTGTCCAGCAGCCGCACAGCCACGGTAGACACGATCTCAAGCACATACGAGAAAACCTTCTGTGGTTTAAAAGTGCTAGGCCACTCCAAAGTTCAAGCTAAAATTAAAAATTAAACAAAAACAAAAAAAACACCCTTGGGCAGGGAACAATAGCCTAGTGGCTACAACCTCAGCTTACATCCACTAAGATCCCATATGGGCGCTGGTTCATATTCCAACGGCTCCACTTCCCATCCAGCTCCCTGCTTGTGGCCTGGGAAAGCAGTAGAAGATGACCCAAAGCCGTGTGACTCTGCTCACGTGTGGGAGACCCAGAGGAAGCTCCTGGCTCCTGGCTTTGGATAGGCTCAGCTCTGGTGTGTGGCCACTTGGGGAATGAACCAGCAGATGGAAGACCTTTCTCTCTGCCTCTCCTTCTGCCTGTATATCTGCCTTTCCAATAAGAATCAAATAAATCTTAAAAAAAACAAAAACCACCTTCAGTTAAGAGTTCTAAAATTGTTTTGTACTTGTCGACTATTTTGGGGTTTTCTAATTCTTTGGCATTTAGGTGTAACCCTTTATATCAGAAAGTAAATGCTCTGTCCTATTAATTACATGTCGTTAGCTGAGAAGAAGGGTGATAATAGAGCTGTTGCCTGAATTCAATGAGATGATGCATGCAAAGTACTTAAAGCACTGCCTAGTATATTAGAAGCAGGTTAGCTTATGATTACATTAAATGAGTCACGAGTATCACTGTTATTGCTGTTTTTCATCATCGTCCTCCATCATTACCTGACTGCAGAATTCAACAGCAATGTTAGTATCTGAGGAGCTGTTGGTATGGTCGGAGATTTCTTTTGGCTCCAGGTCTTTAACGCAGTCTATATATAACCCAGGCATTGCTCCATTCTCCCCGGGCTCCTCCAGTTCTGCTTTCGAGCTGGGCAGGAGTTCCGTCATGCTTTCGAGGTCTTCCAGAGGCCCCAACGGGCAGAACACGGGATAATCCGCACTGGAGAGGTGCTCGGGGCTGGCTAGGCCGTCTCCAGAAGCGTCTCGGATGCTCTGGAAACGGGCTGCCCAGGTGGGGTCCTTGGCGGCCAAGGCGTTGACACAGAGCAGGTGGGCTTTGCTCTTGGCGTGGTATTTGAGCGTCTCCACCTTGAAGGGTCCCGTGTAACCTTCTATTAACCGCGATCGCTTGTCCCTGGCGGATGGATACTCTCGGCAAGCTGAGCAGAACAGAGCCGTCTGCTCCACGTTCATGGTCAGCCAGGGAAACTGCGTAAACCAAGACTTCTGGATCGATCGGGGCCTCAGGGGCTTCTTGCTTCTTCCTGCCCAGTCTCCCTCTGCACTGCAGTGGGTAAGGCAGGCCCTCTCCTGGGGCGGCAGGCACTGCCCACTCTCCTTGGCAGTACTCTCCACGTCTGTTCCTTCCAGACAGCCCGTCTGGATTTTTCCTGTAAGGAAAAAGAAAAAGGTGGAATTTGTTCTGGAGTCCTACAGACAGAGGCTCGCAGCTCCCTCAAACGCAAAGGGTGGCAGAGGACACTCCTTGCCGACAGGGTCCAGCCTCTCTCCCAATTCTCTTCTTTCAGTCCTCCTGGCTCCCAAGGCCCATCTTACCTCATATAGAGAGAGGACTGTACATAAACTCTCACTCTCTCGTTTTCTCTCTCTCCTTGTACAAGTTTGCAGCTATCTGGCCAAAAGGACCTCTCTGCAACGTGATTTGTGCAACCTAACATCAGTGTTGAGGGGTTCACAAGTTCGTTACAGATAATGCATGAAGGCCATACAGCACAAGGTTGAAAAGCTCGTTAAGGCCCCTGGACGCTGTCCTTGCTCAGCACAAACCTTCTGGAGGAAGCCTCGCAGAGAGCGGCACCCACATTTTGCTGAAGTCCCTTCAGGAGAAGGGAGCTACCTGTCTCCTGGGTATCTGGGGCCTTAGACCTCCTCGAGCTCCTTCTACTTTTCAGTGACACTGAGCCAGTCTTCAAGACAAACTCAAATTGAATTCTTCTCTTACATCAAATACTTTAAAAAGTTAAAAATTGCTCAGGACCTTATTAAGATTTTTCTTCTTCAAATCAAAAGTTTCTTCACCCTTTAGATAAACACACTGCGTATGTGTGTAACTCCCGTGGGGCCATTTCTAGCAACTTTAGTAAAGTCCCTGTGCCCATGGGCCAAGGCACACACAGAGTTAATAGGCTCAAAATGAAGAACCAACAGAGAAGATATGAGGCCAAAGATATCAGTCTCCACAGCACTTTACTGTGGGTTCCTTCTAGTCCATCGGAGAGAAGTCATGCGGGAGAGGAAGCTCGTGTGATTCCGTCTACACACAGCAGTGGCTGGGTCAACTTGGCCGTCATGCAGTGAGGAGCTGCCATGTGGCCCGGCTCCAGCCAAGCTGGTCCTGAGCAGGAGAACTCAAGGAGGACAAATCCCTACACTAAGCAGGAGGCTCTTGGCTCATTCACAGTCTACTGTGCAATGACTGTGTGCCGGCATTGTTCTAGACACAGAGAATACAGTAGTAAATTGCGACAAGCCTTCTTGGAACACACAGAGCTAAGTGTCTGCTCTTGGGCAGAAATCAAGAAAGGCAGATGAGACGTTGTAGAATGATACGGGGATGCAGGGGAGCAAGCAGGTATGTTCTGGGAAGAGCAGCACCGACTGCACACACGGACAGAACACAGGGAGGCTGAGACCAGCAGTGGGGTCCCTTGCCGGCTGAGCTCTGCCTCCAGGTGCAGGGCCACACTCACCTGGGTGATGCTCTAGAAGGCTCCTCTGGCCCTGGATATCTTCAAGCCATGGCTCTGGCTCCTGCTCAAATTTACAGAGCAGCTCGGGGTTGGCAGCAGTTGGTCCTGGATCAGGGACGAGGGAAAGCTGGATGAGGCTGTGTTCCAGGTGGCTCTGCTGAGAAGTGCTCAGAGACTTCTCAGTACTGTAAACCAATGGGAGGAAAGCAGGAATCGGAGTGCTTAGAAACTCGGGTACCTGTGACCCCTGGGAGAATCCAGTGGAGGGTGTAAGCATGGTTAAAAGGTCTGTGAGCACCTGGGTCACACAAGAGACCATAAGTGCAAATGATGATGGAGGCCAGGCATGGAAGTGAGGGTACACAGCCAGGCCTGGGGACTCTGGCAACCTGGAGACTTTGATCCTGTATTCAGGGAACAGTGGCTCCTCAGCTTGGTAAGGCTGCCATGTGGAACATGAGTCAGGGCTGACACACTGCCCCATTCTTCAGGAGAAGCCAGAAACCCATGTTTTATATGTGAAAATTCCCAATGGTTGAGTATCGGTAGCTTACTTCAATATTTTTAAGAAACCAAACAAAAGCAGCAAAAGTAAAAAAACCAAAAAGTCAGGTAAAACAAGCCAAACTCCACTCTGTGAGCCAAATTGGACCCGTAGTTGCCACACTGCAACTTCCGCTTTAGAAGAATCAGTGATTTTAAAATATTTTGCAGCTCACACAGGAGGAAGCCCCATCACAGCTCTGATTCCTCCACCCACAGAAAGCTGAAGACTGGTCCTCCTGTGTAGAGGCGAGAGCTTTCATTCTGCCAAGGGCCATTTGAATATTTATAACATCATTTGGAGGCAGTGCAAAATTATCAACTGGAAAATGAGCCTGTTATATTATTGAATTTTAAGCCCCACCTGTGGTTGCCTTGGCAGGGCCAGACCAAACGATTTCGCAGGCCTTACATGGCTAATGGTAGGATGTTTCCTACCACTGCACGGCTAAAACGAGACAAGCAAGGTGTGGTAAGTGGTTATCAAACTGCAATCGGCAGGAGCTACCACTGCAGCACAGTGAGACAACCGCCCACTATGCCAGCACTGCAGTTTCCTCTAATGTGCCTGGGAAGGCAGTGAAAGATGGTCTAGGTACTTGGGCCCCTGACACCCATGTGGGAGACCTAGATGAAGTCCTTGACTCCTGGCAAAGCCTGACCAAGACCAGGCTGTTAGATCAGCAGATGGAAGGTCTCTGTATCTCCTGCTCCTCCCACCACTGCTCTGCCTCTCAAATGAATAAATACATTTCTAAGAAAAATTGCAAGCAGCAAACAGCACATATGTATACAGGTGCAGGCTGAGATTCAGCAAGCCCTGTCTTTGGTGCAGAAATTCTACCTACAGAAGCAGAGAAAGGGCGCCTAGGAAACGGGAGATGAAAAAGAGATGACCTATACTTGCATAACGTTTCAAACTGTTTTATCTTAAGGAAACTGAGCCTTAATAAAGCCACAGGTGCTCAAGCATCTGGTGGTAAGGCTGGGATGGAGAGCAAATCTCCACCCTCAAATCTGATGCTGTTATCGCCACCCAACCCACAGAATCAGGCTGTTTCTCACGTAACACCATGGGGTGATCTGGAGTGCCCAGGTTTAGCCTTGCCATGCCATCTATCCCCTGCCTCATTCAGGTTCAGAAAAGAGAGAGGCTGGTGGGTGATTTGTATGCAAGCAAGTAAGTTAGATGTGGGATTCATCCCAGGAGTGAATGTCAGATTACAGAGAACTCCGCCACAAGTCCACAAGATAAGTTTGGGGGTGCTGATCTAGGCCAACAGTGAGGGACATGGCTACGATTCCATACCCGGTGGTGCCACCAGCTTATCAGAAGCACAGAGCTCCTTCCGCTGCTGACTCAGCAGCGTCCATTCCTCCTGGAGCAAGCACATTGTGATGTCATCAAATGTCACAGGGGCCTGCAAGGGAAAATGACACCAGCTAACAACTTCTTCCTAAGATGTGTCTCCCACTAAAGTGTTCATGACCACCTGAAGGCGCTCCTACCCTGGGGATGTACCAGGCTGAGGTTGGGAGCATGACATGCATCCCATCTCTCTTATTTCAATGCAAATCACAGCTAAACTGCGGTTCCTTGAAGGCAGTGCCATACACTGAGGCTTGCAAGGGGTTTTACCCACCTTGACTGCCATGCCCTTCACGTGCCTTCCTACGTGGCCGGCTACTTCTCAGCCACAACCGGTGGCAGTTTTTCACAAAACCTTCCAGAAGATGTAAGTGATTTCTAGAAAAGTCACATGCCTCAGAATAAAACAATGATCGAAATAGGCAAAGCTTTGGAGAGAAAAGAGGGGTGGCTAGGTGTGGCTAGCCCTTCTTTATGGTTGTCTGGCATGCAGGGCCCTCCACTGTGAGTTAAAAGACACTTTCCGGGTGGCAGGGGGAACACGAAGTGGGGGGAGCACAACAAAGAAAGAACAGCAGGGCAACTGTGAAAACTGAAACACAGGAGGGAAAGATCCAAGCAAGCTGAATCTTCATCCAGCAGTGGGCGAACGTGAGAAGCAACCCACTTTCTAACTCCTGGACCGGCTCGGGCGAGCAGGCAGGCAGGCTACAGCAATAACCAGGGGAAAGCTGCTGCCAGCAAGAGCCTAACCAGCTCCCTGACACCTGACCTCCTGTGGCAAGTCTCTCCCTTCCACGTGCTCAGAGCACTCGGATTTTTGGTGTTTCACTTCTTTTTTAAGATTTATTTTATTTTTATCACAAAGTCAGATATACAGAGAGGAGGAGAGACAGAGAAGAAGATTTTCCGTCCGTTGATTCACTCTCCAAGTGAGTGCAACAGCCAGTGCTGCGCCAATCCGAAGCCGGGAACCAGGAACCTCCCCCAGGTCTGTCACACAGGTGCAGGGTCCCAAGGCTTTGGGCCGTCCTCGACTGCTTTTCCGGGCCACAGGCAGGGAGCTGGATGAGAAGTGGAGTTGCCGGGACTAGAACTGGCGCCCATATGGGATCCTGGCGTGTTCAAGGCGAGGACTTTAGCCGCTAGGCCACGCTGCCTGGCCCTGGTCTTCCACTCTTAAACATTAGCAAGCTAGACGGCCAGTCATCCACAGAGAGGAGCTGACACGGTGCATGGAGACCAAAACAGATGGGGGTGAGTTTTGGAGTAACAGAAGAGAGCCAAGGAGAAGGAAACTTATAAAAATCCTAAAGTAAGAGAGGGAAGAAACCGCAACCCAAAGGGCTATGAAAAAACAAAAAAGAAAATAGGCTATGTTGTTCTTTTTATGCTTTGAATTTTATACCAACAGCATAAAAAGCAAAATTATTAACAAACTGCCACCGTGAAGAAAAATAAAATTTTGGCAAATCACAGCATGCCACATAAGACAGGGGAAATAGGGCCCGGCATGTTGCCCAGTGGATAAAGTCCTCGCCTCACCTGTGCTGAGATCCCATATGGGCACCAGTTCTAATCTCTGCTGATATGCTTCCCATCCAGCTCCCTGCTTGTGACCTGGAAAAGCAGTCGAGGATGGCCCAAAGCCTTGGGACCCTACGCCCGCGTGGGAGACCCGGAAGAGACTCTGGGTTCCTGGCTTCGGATCAGCTCAGCTGTGGCCGTTGCAGCCGCTTGGGGAGTGAATCAGTGGACAGAAGATCTTCCTCTCTGGCTCTCCTCCTCTCTGTATATCTGACTTTCCAATACACACACACACACACAAATAAATAAATAAATAAAAATAAAATTAATAAATAAATCTTAAAAAGAAAACAGGTGAAATAATTATTTTTACCTCAACAGTAGACATCTGAGCAAAAATTGTATAGATAATTGTTCTGTTGCTATTACAAACTCAAAAAAATAGTTCGACTGTTTTTCCTTCAAGTCCATGGGTGTTCACTGAAGAAAACATAGACAATAGAAATACATAGAAAAAAATGCTTTGGCTTTGCTCATTTGCTGTCGCTGGAAAAGAAGTACAGCTAACATCTAGCACGTCAGCTAGTCTCTGGTCTGTGAACACAGCTGAGTGAGTAGTTTCAAAAGCAAAACATGGGATTATACTGCCAAATTGGTAAGTTTCAAATAACCAAAGTCTTTCAAAGCACTACACGACCACATTCCCAACAATCTGGGCGACGGGCACCGCCACAAGCGGAACTGGATTCGGTCTTAAGGAGACCGAATGTCGAGGAACACAACCTGGACCCTATGCTGACAGCAGACGCCAGGAGGACTGCTGAACGCTAACACAGGGAAGCTACCTGTTCTGCCGGGGGCAGTGACACCTGTGCCAAGGAACAGGCAGGGCTCTTCTGTCAGACCCACCTGCTGCCCGGTGAACAGGTGGGCGTTCAAAGGCCAAGGAGCCCGTCATGTTAGTGCCACACTGTGAAGAATGGCTAGGACCGATCAGATAATAAACAAATGTCTTCCCGACAAGAGAGAATACACTCGCCCATGGCGGCTACCTCTCCCTTAACCAATGTTACGATAAGTCTTTCCATTCCAGGTGACTGCAGTGTAAACAACAACGACAAAACCTGTTTGAATACAAGGACCCCATTAATCATGTATACTGCAAAGACAGTTCCCGCTGACTGTCCTAGCAGCCCAGTCCCCTCACCCTGATCCTCATCTACCTCTTAACCTCAGCTGTACCCATTGTCCCAGGCAGAACTGCACCACTGCACTCACTCACCTATTCCTGTACCTTTCTTCTCTCCACAGCCACTATGCAGTCTTCACTGTCCACTTCCTCCCCTTAGATTCCACCAAGCCATCAAGCTTCTGCTCACATCCCTGCTCTGCCATGAGGGATCTGTAACCACCTGCCCCGAGCAGGGAGGGCTTTCTGCACCCCGAGAGCCTGGCATTCATGCCGATGGACTTATTTCACTGCACGCTTCATCAACGCCACCTCACTCCTGCCTCAACCACCCTCTACAGAAAATATCTCATAGGCTCATAGCCATGCTTTGATCCAACAAATATTGTGTTTCTACAAGCTTAAAGTGTGATGATTCAAAGATATAAAAGAATAAAATCGATCAAGAAGTGACAACTGACAATATACTCGCAAAAACAAAGTGGTTGATCAAAGAAAAATGAGATGCGAGTGGGAAGGAGAGAGGGCCAGGCAGCAGAGGTGCGGAGGCAACACACACACACACAGCAGCAGCAGCACCAGGCTCCCAGGAGGCCCCGCCAGGCTCTGTGTTCTTCACGGCACTCACCCTGCACCAAAAGGGCTCCTGGAGCCATGCTTTTCTACTCCTGAGAACATGTTAAATACCAGTCACTGCTCCACTGTCCCAGCCGGGATGTAAAAGCGACTAAATCAACAGACACACCAATAAATGAGAATGCTGCATTGTGGCAGAGTAAGCTAATGGCATGGGGGTGACGGAGAAGTCCTCCGTCTGTTTACTCTGCCTGATCCTCTACTCATCCAAGAACTCCGGTTTGCTTTTAGTTGATAAACACCACAAAATAACAGCTAGGGAGGTTCCAGCTAACAGACAAGCCACTACTTCAAGAGCATCCTGACAGGTTTGAGCTTAAACACCAACATTCACTTATTTGCAATACATCTCACACTTACTCTCACTTCATTCTGCAATCGTTTTATTTCATCTTCAGATACCATTCTTACTTCCCAGGCTAGAAAACAGATGTGCTTGGCAAGGGTATATTTCTGAAACCCCTTGTAATCAAGAGCGAATTTCCAGTCATCAGAATTTTCAAATAGCGGTTGGACTTGCATAGGACATTATGCTTCCCCTGTGTGTGAGCTGTGAAAAGCTAAGACAGACTAGCACTGCACAGATGAACGCAGAAATGAACCTCAAATCTCCAATTCCAATCCTGATGACATTTTATAACCCACTTCCTCTTACATTTTGCCCCTCCCTGCCCCGTGGGGGTGTGTGCCCCAGAGGCCTTAACACTAAGTCGGCTCATAATTGACCTCCAAACTTTCTACTGCAGAGCTTTATCGTGGACTCTGCAAACTGCGGCTGCAGGGCCTGGAAAATTATTCACTGCTGCTTGTGGCAGCAAGAGAGAGCAAAAGAGACACATAAGCAAAAACAATGGATTCAATAAGCCATGGAACATATTGTCAAGAGACCTCCCTCTGTGTTAGAGAAGGAGGAGGGGAGGAAGAGAGAGAGGGAGGGAGGATGAGAGAGAGGGAGAAAGGGAGAGAGGGAGAGAAAGAGGGTGTGTGTCTTTAAGAACGCCCAGCAAAGAACTTCCAGACTGCCTGTCCCAAGAGGCTGCCACGTCAACGTGCCTTGTAACCGCGTTGGTTTTTGTTGCTGACACGGTGTGGCAGTCTGGCAGCCCTTCAAACCCACGGAGCTGCTAACTTGCTTCCCACCATCTTCTTCCAACGCAAAGTCTGCAGCAAATTTATGAAATATCCGATTCAAGGCAAAGCTGTTCTGCTCCATGAATCAGACACCCCAGACGGGGACGGAATGGATATGCCAGATTTCGGCTACAGGAAGGTCTAGCTCCTCACCCCTGCTCTCCAGCCCCTCACCCCTGCTCTCCATGCCCGCCCTTCGACACCCACTGGCATCCCAGCCAGGCTCAAAGTTATAAAGCCAGCGGGGCCTCCACGACGCGCCCCGCCGGCCGTGAGTGAAACTGGAAAGCGCTTTCTCATCACCACACTTAGCGGGTCGCCCGTCCCAGCCAAGCGGCAGGATGGCGTCGGGGTCGGCGGCGGGCCAGCAGAGGAACCCGCAGGATGCTCAAGGTCCGGGACGGAGGGGCATCTGCTCTGTCCTCGGAGGGGACAGACGCCGGCGGGCGAGTCCTTCCCTGCAAGCCTGGCTCATCCGCCGGGGTTCCTCGGTACCCACTCCCGCCCCAACAGAGCCCAGAGCAGGGCACCGGTTCGAATCCTACCTTTCCCGACTCCCTGCGCGCCATGGCCCGTGCGGACCCCGCCGCTGCTGCCTCCAGGCCGCCCCCTGGCCACCTTGGCCGGCCTTGAGGATGCCGTGGGCGCGAGCACTTGGCGGCTCCCCGACTCCCGGAGCCGGAGGCGCGCTGGCGGGAACTCGGCTCCCCCACGGCGTGGGCCGGAGAGTCGTGGCCAGGGGGTCGCTTTACGGCAGCCGGCAGCCGCGGGGCGTCGCGGGAAGCGTAGTCCGTCCTCTGTGGGACGCTTCCGGAAGGCTTTCCGTCCTTCCCGCCTCCCGGGCGGCGCTCCCTCGGGCGAACAAAGCGTCTCGAGTGGGCTGATATTCGGCCCTCTTGCATTCCTAGGACGCTTCTTGAAGGCTCCGGGGTTTGACTTAATCAAGGAGGCCAATACTTTTCCCTGCATCAAAAAGCATCCCTAGTGGCTGACCGTCACCAGGTATTGTAGGAAGTTTGGGTGCACACAACAGAATGAGGCAAGCCCTTGCTTTCAAGGAACTTGTAGCCTACGGGGGAAACAGCTAAAAACAGATTCTTACAAAATAAACGAAAGCTATCGTTTCTCGGCCTTTTGGTTAAAATCCAATGAAAGTGAATGAAAACTGTAAGCACAAGGCACTATTCAAACACATTTTGTCACTTTAAAGTGAGGTGGCGAGAGGACATGGCGCGGCTAATCCGAAGTCTATTAGCTCAGGTGTTTTGTTGCAGATCAAACTAATAACACACTTGCTGTCTTTTCTTCTCTCGACTTCTTTAAAAGACAGAAATACTACAGAATAATTATGTTAATGTATTTAATTTGTAGTATGCACACATGTAATATCTATAATATTAGCACAAGTAATTAGGAGTAAAATGTGCAACTTTTAATACGTCATTCTTTTTTTAAGATCTATTTATTTTTCTTGGAAAGGCATGTTTACAGAGCAGAGAGACAAAGATCTTCCATCCATGGGTTCACTTCCCAAGTGACCACAATGGCCTATCACAGCCCCCGGTTCCAGGGCTGGCTCCGTTCCAGATTTCAGATTCCTGCTAATGCACACGGGGAGGCAGCAGCTGATGGATGGGTCAAGCAGGCAGGTCCCTGACACCCACATGAGACATCAGGATGGAGTTCCTGGCTGCTGACCGTTGACAAACATACAAAGGGACAAGGTACTGATAGCGTGCTGTATTACAGTGCTACAAACCCTGTTAATTGGAGGAATTGCAGCACTTCTATGAAATGTCCAGAAAAGCCACTTAGGTTATGGAGAGAAGCAGCATCTTAGCGGTCGCCTGTGCTGGAAGCAAGAAGGATGGGTTGCAAATGAGCGTGAACAGTTGGAAATGTTTAAAACTGAATTACATAATTTTAAAGTCACTGAAGTACTCCTATAAATTTAAAACTTAATAGTGTGCAAATTATACTTTGCTAAAGTTGTTATAAAAAGCAGGAAGAGGGGATTCCAGTCAAAGCCTGCGTGGAGATCTCTGCTACATTGCAGCTGAAATCACATGAAGACAAGGGATATGACCTAGGATACTGGCCAATGCGGTGTTCATGTTCAGCCCTGTCCTGCTACAGAGAAAGAACAGGCTCACCAACCATGGTGAGTGCCAGCAGGTTCAGGCCTAAGACCCACTCCTCCTCCCTCTGTCTGCTGGGACCCAGGATGGAGACGCCACACAGTCATGATGCCAGTGTCACTTTATTTAGGACATGCTAGTGCCAGAGGCGTGGAACCTTGGTCAGGGCTAGATGAGGAGGTCCTAGAGGTGGTAGTGCCAGTAGATTCCTCCAGTGGAGTCTGTCAGTGCTTGGAGAAGTCACCTCCTGGGGGCAAGGGAGGGAGAGAAGGGAGAGTGGTAAGGGCAGGAGATGAAAGGAGCCAGAGCAAACGCCAGCCCTCCCACTGCGCTGCTCCCAGGTGTGATTCAGTCCAAACATCTGAGCCGAGGTGTGAGTGGAAAAAAACACCAATCCCCACGCTGAGACTAGAAGGGACTAGTTTGTGTTTCCTGGGATGCAGTTCACAGCTCCTGGCTCCGCCCCTGCCCGAAGCCCCGCCCAGACCCACCCTTGCAGGCGCTGCACTGGCAACTGTGAATGACTGGCAGCACCGCCGGCTCCGCCCCTGCCCGAGGCCCCGCCCAGACTCACCCTGACAGGCGCTGCACTGACAGCTGTGAATGATTGGCAGCACCGCTGGCTCCCAGCGGCCACCGGGACAGCGCAGGTTCAGGATCCGCACCGGGTTCTCCGGGTGCAAGCGGTAGCTACAGCAGTCACACTGGCTTTGCAGGTAGGGCTCCTGGGGGAGACACGGTAGCTGAGCTGGGGAGGGGCGAACAGAGTGTCCTCCGTTCTCCAGGCTTTTGCCATCCAAGGTAGCACGACAGGTGAGGGCCTGACAAGTGGGGTGAGATGGTTCGCAGCAGTGTCGCCACCAAGAAAGTCCCCCTTCCCCAAGAAGTTCCTGCCCCTATATGAGCATCAGCTGGCAGGTTCAGAGTGTCTTTAACGTGCTGGGTCCTGGCAGCAGGGAAAGCCACAGCTTCCACCCCAGGGGCTTACAGTGTAGTGGGAGAGGTGAACAATTAAGCCCTAACTGTTCTGGTTCTAAGTACAAGGTCTGCAGACCCCTCTTGCCTCATGATTATAGGGTTCCTCTCTTTCTGTTCCTCTAAGCATATAATTTAATTGTACCTAGAATTGTATTTCTGACTGTGCTTTGGAACTGGTAATACAGCCACACAACATCAAGTTCCAAAAAAAAAAAAAGCAACAAACAAACAAACAAAAAAAAAACTGCAAAAGTTTATTTGGTGAAAAACCTCCCTCCAATTTCTATCCCAATATCATTCAGTTTCCTTTCCTGGGCTGAGGAAGGGGAATCTCCTCATGATTTTGCTTCTTTAAGATGGGGGCTGACGTGGTGTGGCAGGCAAAGCCACTGCGTGTGACGCCAGCACCCCACAGGGGCACAGGTTTGTGTCTCGGCTGCTCCACGTACAATCTGGCTTTCTGCCCGGGCAAGCAGCCCAAGCGTATGGGCCCCTGCCACCCATGTGGGAGACCGGGATGCAGCACCTGGCTCCTAGCTCAGTCTCGGCTGTTGTCATCTAGGGAGTGAAGTAGCAGATGGAAGACCTCTCTCTCTGTGTAACTCTGACTTCCAAAATAAATACACAAATTTTAAAATAAAACTCTTCAAAGTGACGTGTGCTCGCATTCCCAGGACAGGGAGTGAGGGCTTTCGCTGGGGGAGGGAGTGGGAAGCTTCAGGGACCAGCTAAGGATCTTTCTCTCCCAGGACTAGATAACCCAGGGGGCCCGAGCAGAAGGGGAGGAGCACAGAGGAGGGGGTGGAGGGCTGTTTCATTCGGAAGGGACCAGCTCCTGGATAGGAGGAATTTGAGTCACAGCTCTCCAGGCTGCGGTCAGGGTATTGTGTAAGAGTGGGCAAAGTCCCTAAGGAGACCCTAGCAGCAAGCAGGGCTGGGCTTGTGGGTCCAGAGAGAGCCACTGCTCCAGACTGACTCCACCTCCTGGGACCTGCAGTGCCCTGCTCCGATATGCCTGCAGCCCTCCTAACCCCAGGAGATGGGCTCAGGTGGTGAAGTCTTCCCTGAGCCATCCTCTGTAGTTGTCCTGGCTCATCCGCCCCAAGGTGGGGAGAGGGGATGCCATGGGCAAAAGAGTGTGTGGGACCAGGACCACAGCATCTACTGAGCTCCCTCGGAAAGGGCAGACTACCAGGTCCACAGCCTGGTACAAGAATCTGACCATCAGTCTGCACTACCTGCCTGTTGGTGCTGTGAGAATGGACAATGCCCTTTGTGCCCTCCAGGCTGTGCCCGGCAGGTCAGCAGTCCTGGGCTCACCTCAGGCATGACGTTGGTGCTGGATGGGCAGTGCCCACTGCAGTAGCTCACTTCTACCTGGTCGAGCTGGCAGGGGCCCTTGCTGAGGTTGCGAAGCTCAGTGAAGAGCCGGCAAGACCTAGAACTCTCCTCTGTGGCGAAGAACAGGTGAGTGTGGCAGGAGGCAGGGGAGGGGAGAGGGGGAGAGGCTGGGACTGAGGGGAGCCCTGGGGTGGGAGTGGCCAGCAGCATGGGACAACCCCCCTCCCTGGAGCCGGCACATATCAGGCTGGAAGGGCTGGTTGGGAAGGAGGGTCCAGGCTAGAGAGAGAAGCCGAGCAGGAGGTGCCCTGGAACCCCTCCATACCCAGGGTCTGCAGGCGACACTTGGGACAACAGCTCCCAGGCTCCTGCGCCTCCACCTCGCCCTGCAGAGGGAGTGGTCCCCACACACACTCAGCAGGGTGTTCCTGACACCCACAGCCCTAAGACAAGGAGCTCCGGAGTCACCTGTAGAGGGTAGGAGGGCTGCGGGGTTACCTGAGCACAGGTGAGGTGGGGGCAGTGCTGGGTGCAGACAGTCTTGCCGCCTTGGCACCGGCAGCTCGCACAGGCCTCCTGCCATTCGGATCCGGGCTAGAAAGAGGGAGGGCAGATTGTCGCTCAGGGCTCAGGGCTCTCCAGCTTGTGGACTTCTCTGTGACATCACTCTGGGTCCCTGACCCCAGCCTCGGCGCGCACAGCTGAGCAGTAAACTTAGACCAGGGTTAGGGCGGCAACAAGAGTCTCAGGAGGGAGACGGACCCCTGGGGCCAGGTTAAGGGGCCTCAACCCAGAGCATCCCAGAGAACTGGCTGAGCCTTGCCTACTGCTGCAGGCCTGCAGAGTGGCCAGGGCAGGGGCTATAGCTGGGAGGGCTGGGGTCTGCAGGGACACCGTGTCTCACCTGGTGGGGACGCCCATGGTGCCAGCACTCGCAGTGGTCTGCAGGGACACAGGGGCCCGCCAGGCTGCGGAAGTATCCTCGTTGGCACACACAGCCAGAGGCCTGCTTGGCACTGCAGTTGTTAGAAGTCTCTGTGGCGTTTGTCTCCTGGCATGTCTGCTCACAGGGTCCCAGCTCCCCGGTGGCCACCTGCTGCCACATTTCCCCAGTGGGGCACTCTGCTGGGAAGACCATCCGGAATCAAGCCTCCATCTTCCCTCCACCACCATCTGCTGGGCAGTCCTACCATCCCTCCTCCCTTTCCAGAAGCCCTGACCCACCCAAACATGAGGTGGGCTCAGGTCAGGCCTTGCCTCCTCTAGGAAGCCTCTGCTGACCAATCTTTTCTACCCTGACATGCTCGCCCGTGAGATCATATCCTGTGGTGCTGCCTGCCTGTCAGAGACCTAGAAACTGACTCCTGCTGCACCTGTTTGCTAGGTCCTCTGCCTTCACCAGCCAAGCTGCAGGTGCCCAGATACCAGCCATGCCTAGTGTCTGTCTGGCTCCCTAGCTTGGCGCACACAGTGTGTATGGTGATGGCCTCTGTGAGCAAGGAGCATCACTCGGTGCTCAGGGGATGCTGGGTCAGGAAGGGGCCGCTGGGGGCAGAGTGGAAGGGGCTTCCTGAACGAGGTAGCTTTGCCTGAGCAGGAGGGATGGCCTCCATCTCCTCCCTGGGCTTGGCTTTGGAGGGCCAGCAGGGCAGGGACAGCCACAGCTCACCCTGACAGTCGACGGGGGAGCAGCTGAAGGCTCCGCCTTGGCAGACACTGGGAAGACAGAAGCAGAGGCTCGGATGTCTCCCCACTCCCACTTCTGCCCTGCTCCCTTGGACCCACTCTTCTATGCCCTACCCCTACACTTGGCACATGTGTGTCCTTACCAGCGGGTGCAGTTCTGGGTAAGCACAGTCCCTGGGGGCAGCTCCTGGGCCTGCTCTTCATAGGTCAGGGTGAGTCCCCAGGGCAGAGTGAGCTGGGCACACGGGCAGGCAGCAGGGGGCACGCACGTGCCATTGTGCAGCACCTGAGGTGAGCAGGCCCAGTTATGCTAGGGCCACCTTCCCCTCCTTTATCCTCCCCATGCAGCAGCCAGGACAAGGTACCTGTACCCACCTGCCCACTTGGGCAGCCACAGCCAAGCTGGCAGGGTTCCTGCACACAGACAGCACCAGGCTGTAGGTGGGAGCAGAGGTGTGGACACGAGGTGGCACAGGAGCTGAGCACCCGGCCAGGGGGGCACTCTGTAGTGGGTGCACAGGCAGTGAAGTAAGTGAGCCCAGAGCAGGCTGTCTTGGACCTCCCTCCCCACGGCTGGCACAGGGCCTGGGCTGGGCACCCACTGCCCAGGATGCTCACCGGGACAGGGCTGCAGACCACATGCCTGCCATTGCTCCGTGTCCTGCTCCTGGCATGGTGTCCCTCCAGGATGCCCCTGGCAGCTCCGATGGCGCTTCCTTGTGCCCCCACCACAGGGAGCTGAGCAGGTGCTCCAGGCTGACCATGGCCCCAACACTGGACACTGTTGGTGTGCGCAGTTCAGGGACCCATTGACACAGGTGCTGCAGAGGAGGAGAGCAGAGCGAACTCATGCATGAGTCCGAGTGAGCAGCGGCACCTAGAAGCCCTGACCTGCTCCGGGTCTCCTAGAACCCCTCCTTGCTTGGCCCTGGCAGGCCAGCAAGGCAGCATACCAGTTTTGGCAGTCCAGCTGCACCACCTCGGCTGGGGCCAGCTCCCTCGAGGCATTGGCACTGGGGAAGCCACAGCGGCAAGAGGAGATGGGCACACAGTGCCCGTCCTGCACCAGCTGACCGGGGGGACAGCGGCAGCCTAGGGGCGGGAGAACAAGCAGGATTGAGTGCTCAGGCAAGCCTCCCAAAGTAGATTGAGTCCAAAACATGGTATCCACCAATTCTCCTGCTCCCTGGGCACACCAGGCAGCCATGGCAGCCCAGCCCACATGTGGCCATCACTTCCCAGCCCTTAGGCTATCAAGAGCACCCACATAGACACAGCCCATCTTTGGGGGGCCTCATTCCAGTCCCTCCCATTCACTCTTCAGGGGGCAGTGAATGCCCAGGGAGAGCTGCAGGATGGCTGGGCTACCTGGGAGGCAAGGTCCCTGCAGACACTGCACGCGGTCCCAGAGGTCAGCACAGCTGCGAGGACATCGGTTGGCACAGTGAGGGGTGAGCACAGTGTTGTGGGCCTCACAGCTCTCCCCTGGGGACCAGGAGACAAGGTTCTTCACTTTCAGACAGCACCCTCCTTTCCCCTAAACCACCTCCTTCCCGAGCCATTCTCGATGTCTCAATGCTGCCCCCTCCAGGCTGGGTCAGGAGTCACCTGGACAGGACCCCAGGTTGCAGCTCTCGGTCTGAGCCCACGGCCCGCGACAGCCTTCTGCAGGGGAGCCCCCTGCCTGTCTCCAGCGCAGCCGGAACCCCCCACTGCAGGGTACCTGGCAAGCACTCCAGGGCCCCCAAAGGCCCCACTGGCATGGATCTGGGAAGAAAACACAGAAACCAGTGCCAGGTGCCACATCCCTTGAAGTCTTGGGTTCTACCCCTGGAGACACTTGCTCTCCCAGTGTCCCCCCTTCTTTCCTCTTTTTTTTTTTTTGCCACTGCTGAACCCCAACCCAGCTTCAAACCCACCAAGGTCAATAGGTGGGCTAACTCTTGTCCACTGGAATGAATGCATGGCCGGGCCCTGGCCGGCTCACCCTCACCTGCACTCCAGACCACTCCACATTACCATGGCAGACTGCAGGGTCAGGGCAGAGGCGGTGCTGGTTGAGGGGTGAGGTGCAGAGGTCGGGGTCCCCAGTCCAGGGCCTCCCCGTTTCGGGATCCAGACAGAGGCGGTGGCGATGCTGCTCTGAAGCCAACATGGGGCCGCCCGAGGCTGGGGAGAGACTGGCTGCATCCAAGGACCAGCGCCCCTCCAGAGCAGTCCTGGAAGTGGCAGCCAGGCTGCTGGAGGGCAGGCAGGGCCCACAGGGCGACCACTCTGACCAGCCGCTCAGAGGCAGAAGACCTGGAACATAGTATGTAGATGTCCTTCCCAGGGTCCCCTCAGTGCAGAGAGAGGCAAAGAGCAAAGGCTCACGGGAATGTGGGGGTCAGGAAGGGCAACCTGCACTCCTGGTTTGGGCCATGCCTCTCTGCCCCTCCCAGTCTGAGGCCAAGGTTACCTTGACATCCCTGGCTGCTGCAATGTAGCTCTCCTCCCTGGCATTCACTGTGGGAGAGGGTGGCCAGGGTGAGCTCGGGAGGCAGGACCCAGCCCAGAGCCGGGGATACCTGAGCTCTAAGGACATCCAGGTCAAGATGAAGGAGTGAAAGCCTCTGTACCTTGGGGCCTTCTGCCCAGAGGTTGGGCTGGGCTCCAGGGCCTTGGCTTGGCTTTGTCTGCCTGGGTCAGGCTGCCCACCCAGCGAGCCCTGTCCACTGTCTGGTCCAGGCATCTTGTGTTGCCTGCCGCTGATCATCACTCACCACTCTTTACAGCCCAGTTGCAGGTGGTCCCCAGGGGCCAGGATGACTCCGGCTTCCCCTCCTGAGGGGTGCCAGCAGTTACACTGCTCTGGGGGGATGCAGCCCCCATCTTGTTCCAGCAGCCCCTGTGTGGCAGGAGAGACAGGGGAGAAAAGTTATGGTGGTGATCCCTCTGTCTCCCGAATGCTTGCAACAGGTGCATGGGCAGAACATGGGCGTGGACTGGGGAGACTGGAGTCACCATGGGCAGCACAGAGGGTGGAGGCTTGAGGGGGTGGACCTCTTGCCCCCGGGGAGTCTCCCCCAGCTCCCAGCCCTCACCTTAGGGCAGTAGCAGCCAGGCTGGCAGGGTGGCAAGTCCTGGCACAGGTGACGGCTCAGGTGTGTGGTGCAGAGTCCCGCACATGGGGAGCCACAGGCCTGGAACTCAAAGGGAGGTATGCAGCTGTCCTCTGGGGGAGAAAAGAGCAGCTGGTGGGAGCATGGCCCAGAGATGACCCTGTCCCATTCTGGAGACCCAGAGCACCATGGCTTGGTCCTACTGAGGTCGCTGGGGTGAGAGGTTACCAGGTGGGAGGCCAGGGATGCCCCTGCTGCATGTCAGGGGAGACCCAGGCTGCTAGGAAAGGATCAGAGAACCCAGAGGCTGCAAGCTGGTAGTAGGGCCTAAGCAGGCATTCCAGGGGTGCGCACAAAGGGGAACAGGGGGGCAGAGATGACGTGGGTACAGGTGCAGTCAACCTCTTTGGTGCTGGGACCTCAGGTCTGCAGTGGCAAGACCTGGGGGCCCTGAGTAGGGGTCCCCACTCAGCCTCCCAGCTTCCCATGTAGGAGTCTCACCTGAGCAGTTGCTGGTGACACAAGGCCGGAAGTGGCCATCCAGACGAGTGCAGGGGGTCCCTGCCCTGGCACCTCCAGGAGTGGGGCTCTGCTGTCGGTAGCGCTGCTGCATAGGCACCTGGCACGAGCAGCGTGTCCAGCTGCTCCAGCTGCTCCACACGCACTCCTCTGGGGGTCAGAGTCGAGGGACATGGGTTTTGGGCCTCTCTGGACCCCACTGGATTATTCTACCCTTGCTCTCCCCTCTCTCATCCTGGCTTTAACCAGGACCCTGCATGGGAAAGGGACAGGAGAGACCTGTGGCTGGTCACCCTGTCACTCAGCAGGGAGTACCTCCCACACCAAGGGCTCTGATGGGAAAAGGCAAGACAGCAAGGAAGCAGAAAGGAGCAAGGCAACGTGGTGGGAGGATATTTCTGGGTGATGGTTGGGGGCTAGGAAAACATGTCAACTCTGCGATCTCCAAGGCAAGAAAAGAGGCCAGCAGGCGTCACGCCCCATGCACTCACCCAGGCAGGGCTCCAGGTAGCAGGCCTGAGTGTCCAGGTGTGTGAAGGTATCTGTGCAGTTGGGGTCCACCTCAGCCAGCATGCAGGGGCACGACCCAAAACGGGTGGCCAGGCCTGGACCACAGCTCTGGGAACAGGGCCCCCATGGGCCCCAGGAACAGACTTTTAGAAGCCCCTGGCAAGGCTGCTGCCCACAGCGCTGGGTCTGGGTGCTAGGGCCACTGCAGGGTGCTCCGTGAGGACCGGGGGTAGGGGCTGTGCAAGATCGACTGCGGACTTGGTCTGCACCTCCACAGGAGACGGGACAGTTGGACCAGGGGGTCCATGGCGTCCAGGCTCCAGACACTGTGGGACGACATAGGCGAGGCTGGGAGAGTGGAGGTGGAGGCGGGGGCAGGGGAGGGCTGAGCAGGACCTTTCCTAGCACAGGGGACACAGAGCAGATGGCAGACAGGGCAGGTGGGCAGGCAGTGGGGTGGGTGGAGAGGGGAGAGGGGTGAAGGCCAGACCTGCACATTCTTCCATGTCTTGGCAGATGATGCCCTCTGGGGTGCAGGAGCTGGGGGGAGGAGCCCAGGCTCAGGGGCCATGCTTGCAACAGGGCAACCCAGGCCCCTTCCCTGTGTGCACTCACCACTTCTGGCACTTGCCCTGCAGCCAGCTGTCACCCAAGGTATGAGGGCGGGTATCATGCAGGCACAGGGGTGGGCACGCGGGCTGGGGACAGGGTTGGCTCTGCACCTGCTCCTGCTGACACTCCGGGGCCCAGGAGCCAGACATGGAGGACCTGAGTGCCGGGGCAGAGGGGGTGAGAGATGGTCTGGCCTGCACCACCCCACTGCCTCTTGGGGAAGACATCTCAGCAGAAACCTGGGTTGGACTGGGCATGGAGGACAGGCAGGGAGGACCCAGGGACATCATGTCAATGAGGGGTTGCACCAGGCAGAGGGGAGGCTCTGGTGAGACAGGGGTCACTAGCCCCTTCCAGCCCCCTACCGGAAGCGGCTCTGCTGCCCATGGGGCCCGCACGAGTGGCTGCAGAGACTCCAGGCTGACCAGTGGCTCCAGCTGCAGTGGGCGGGAGGCGGGCAGGACTGTGTCGTGCAGGAGAGGTGCCCGGCCTGGCAGGAGCAGTTGTTGCAGGCTTCCTGGTGCTGGCTTCTGGGGGCCCAGCTGTGCCCCTGGGAATCTGTGCACTCACAGTGGCTGATGGGCACGCAGCTGCCATCCTGCTCCAGGGACCCTGTTAGGGGTTCGGTGCTGACACCACTTCTCCCACTATCCACAACCACAGCTGCCTTCCCATTGGGCCATCCAAATGTGTCCAGAAGCCTTGAGGCACTTACCCTCAGAGCAGCGACAGCCTGGCTGGCACACCTGACCTTCCTGGCACACAACCCCTTCCTGGAGGTCCGAGCAGCGACGGGGGCAGCGGTCAGCACAGCTGACCATCTCCATGCCTGCTGGGCAGCCCTCCTCTGAGTGGGAAGGAGACCCAGGATTAGGAGAAGGCTCTGGGCCTGAGGACTCAGAAACTGTCCACTGTTGCCCCACTGGAGGGGCTCTGCCATCTCCTTGGGGACAGAGGACCCCACCTGCCTGGGGACACATGGGGCATTCGGGGAGACCCTGGGACTGGGACAATTTGGGGAGACAGCAGCTTCCTCTCATTCACCATGAGCTCTCAGCACTTGTCCTGGTTGAGCAGGACTGAATTCTTGTGCTCATCTCAAGGGCCCCACCGTGTGTGGTTATGGGTGCCAAGTGCCCCCTGAGGGTCTGGTTGCAGCCAGGGCCCATGGTGGAAGGAAGCAGTTGAAGGAGTGGGGGTGGCCTGTGTGGTATGGCATGGCAGATCAAGCCACCACCTGTTAGATGGACATTCTGTATTAGAGCATGATTCAGATCCTCCTCAGTCCACTTCTAGTCCAGCTCCCTGATAACGTGCTTGGAAAGCAGTGGAAGATGGCCAAGTACTTGGCCCTGTCATGTATGTAGGGGCCCTGGAGGAAGCGCCTGGTCAGTGTGGCTACTTGGAGAGTGAAAGAGCAGGCGGACACTCTCACCATCTCACTCTGCATTTCAAATAAATAATTTTTTAAGAAGGGGTTGGAGCTTGGAGAGCAGGGATGCGGGACTCAACTCCAGCCTGCCTGGCTCAGTCCACACCCCACGGGGACCAGGCATGCTCCTGACACGGTCCCAAATCTTTGCAGGATCAGGTGGTTTGCTAAGAACTGGAGATGGGCAAAGATGAGAGGAGGGGTGGTGAGCAGGGGTTGGGCTCCTGCACTTCATCCCGGGGCCAGGGTACAGGACATGCACACACACACACACACACACACACACACACACACACACACATACACACACACACACACACGCACGTCATGTGAGAGGTGGGAGAGTGGAGAGTGGGAGCTGTGGAGGGACGCCTGGGGAGAGGTGGGGAATGTCTGCTCCCAGTGCCATACCACAGGGCATGGGGTTGCAGAGCCGGACGTGATGTCTTTCCCCAGCACAGGGGGCACCTCCGTTCTTGGGTGGGGGGCTTGAGCAACTGCGGCTCCTCAGGGATCGGCCTCCCCCACAGCTCCGGTCGCACCAGGACCATGGGCTCCAGCGCGACCAGCCCCCAGGCACTGTGTGGGCAAAGGACAACTCCATGAGGGATGAGCTCAGGCGGTGAATTCTCATACATTGCCAAGAGCCTGGACCACGGTCCAGGGTGAGGCAGGCTTCATGCGTGGCAAGGCTGGGTACTCATGCAGGGGCCTCCTGCGGGATAGCCGTAGAGGGGCCCCTGGTCTCTCCCAGCCCAGCTCACCTGGGCATGCCCGCAGGTTGCAGAAGCGGCGCTCCTGGTAAGCGGTAAGGATGTTGGGGCACCAGTGCCCGCCAGGCCCAGGGGGGTGGTATGCCCGAAGGCGGCGCTGCTGGCCCACCCCACAGCTGCGCGAACAAGGCGCCCAGGGGCCCCAGGCTGTCCAGGAGCAGTTTCCAGGTGCACAGCCAGGGCCGGGGCACAGGGGCAGCAGCTCTGTAGGACCAAATGATCGGAGTCAGCAGAGTCTGCCTGGCTCTCTCCTGGCCTGCCCCAGCTCAGGTGCAGCCTTCATCTGTCGGGGGGCAGCTGTGACCCCATCCAGAGCATGAGGCGCCATCCTGGTTCTGACACAGTGACCCCAGGCTGACATGGCCCCTGTGGGATTTAGACATGAGGGCCAAGGAATATGCCAGAAGGTGGCAGGGTCACCAGCAGCTGGTGGGGTTGGCAAAGGAACCTGGGTCTTGGAGGTAGACAGACATGGTCAGTGTCAGCCTGAGAAGTCCATCACTGCTTGACCTAACTGTGTTGGGTCTGGAAGTTGGACATGGCTGGGGTTGGTGAGAGTTATTGTTGGGGGCTGGAGGTCACAGCCGGAAGGCATACCTGTGCATGAAGGTAGATTGCAGGGACGCTCCTGCATGGGGTCCCCCACAGTGCAGTTGGACAGACAGGGACGGCTACGGCTGCGCCATGCAGGCTGAGCGGGGTCTGTGCAGGTGCCGGAGCATGGCGACCACGGAGACCAAGGGCCCCAGCCACCTTCAAGGAGCAGAGGAAAGGGCGAGTCAGCCCTGGACTCTGGACTTTCCTGAACTACAGACAGGGAGGGAAGGGGCCCTGGACTTTCCTCTCCCAAAGGGAGGCCACGCGGAGATGTGCAGGAAGTCCGGGGCTACCTGCAAGGCCTGTCACCGGTTCCACTGTGGATTCTTCAGCCCCTGTGCCAAAAGAACCCCTGTTTAGGGATGCATCCAGGCTGGCAGGGCACCAGCAGTCCCAGCCTGTTGCTACTTTGTCCAGCCTTCCCTCGGTGGACTCCCCAAGGTCAGCTTTTCTAGAACTTTTCCTGTTACCTGACATTTCTTGTCAAGGTTCTCACCATCCCTCCAAACTTTCTGAAACTGCCTCCTCCGGGAAGCCCTCCTCTACCACGTCTCTTGGAGAATCTTCTCTCCCTGACTTTGCATAGCAATGTGCACTTCTAACTAGGGCTCACCACAGGTGAAAATGGGACTCTGTATTCCAAGGCCAGGGAGTCACCCACCACCTGCCCATGGACACACAGCATAGTGCATGTGGCAAGGATTCCAGAAGCATAGCATGGAGGTGTCCGATCAGAAACCCAGAGCCAGAGGGTATAGGAGGAAGGCAGATGCAGAAGCAGCAACTGGGACAGGAACACAGGAGGGGACGAAGGGCATGCTGACACAGATGTGACCACCAACCCAGCCTCTTTGCAGCCCTGGCACTGCCCACTCCCGCCAGCTTTCCTTACCAGGGCAGGCTGGGCTGAGGCAATACTCCAGATCCTGGTGGCGCCCTAGGCAGCCCTGGCCCACAGCAGCCAGCAGGGGGTGCACACACTGGCGGCTGCGGCTTCGCGTGCCCAGCCCACCACAGGAGCGAGAACACGGACCCCAAGGGCTCCAGGGACCAAAGCCACCACTGGCGGCAGGACAGTCCTCCACAGAGCAGGCCAGCTTCCCATGTGTGCAGGAGCTGGGGGAGAAGGCCAGCGATGAGGGCCAGGGACTGTGTGGGCACCGGGCTTGGGCGAAGAGTTGGTTGGAACCCTTACAGGGTGAGCTCAGGCAAGTGGAACCTCCCCCTCTCCCCAACATCTCCACCTCAAATGTCCCCCCATGGCTCTCAGTCCACCCCGACGCTGGCAGCGCTCTCACCAGTTGCTGCAGCCCAAATGAAGCGTCTGGCCCGAGTCCAGTTCATCCCCAGGCTGAAGGGGCTGAGCCACCTGTCCCAGGTGGACACTAGGCTGAGTGCTGGCAGCTCCCAGGTCTTGCAGTAACGCAGCTGTCAGCACACAGGGGCACTCCTGAATGGGCAGGCAGAGGACTTAGTGCCTTTGCACAGCCTGCAATGAACCTCAAGGTGTGTGTGGAGGGAAGGGGCAGTATGAACCCTGGAGGAAGGCCCTGGCGGGGGAACCATTTTGGATCAAGGGTGAGAGTGCACCACGAGTAAGGTATGACCCGCAGGCACAGCCCCCAGAGATCAGCTACTTTCTTGCATGGAGAGGAGCGGGCATCAGGACACAGCAGGTATCCACAGTGGCCCTTAGAGGGCAGGTCATGGCCGGAGGCAGAACAGCCTGAGCCAAGAACTAACTGGAGGAATCAGGACGGCTGGCTCAGCTCTGCCATTGTGTAGCCCAGATGCATCTCTTTCCTGGCACATCATGGGCTTTAAGCAGGTGGAACCAGCTGGCTGCTCAAGTCCCTTCAGGCCATGACTGTGGTTATGCAGCTGATGGGGGAAGGTCATAAGGTGCCAGCTTCCAAACTAGGAGAGAATCCCCCTGCCCCATATGCTTGCCAGGCTCTGCAGGGTACATCCCTGGACCCACCCGTGAGAGTGAAGAGCAAGGAGGTAAAAAGGGGCACAGTAAAGAGCCATGCCCTCTGCAGGGGAGGACAGGGTGGGGCCAGTGGGGCACAGGTGGGCAGCGGCCAAGGCCCTCCTTCCTGGCTGGCTGGCTAGGTGCTGACCTGCAAGCAGGCCAGCTGATGCTGGAAGGTTCCCTGGGGGCAGTGGCAGCCCTCGTCGCAGCCTTCGGAAAAGCAGTCCACCTGCCCCGTGACGTGGGCACAGGAGAAGGGGCAGCCCTCACCAGGCTGGCACTCGCGGTACAGGCGGCCAGCTGGGCAGCCTGCCTCTGTAGAAACATGGAGTCTGTGCCCAGCCCCAGCCCACTGCCTCCCTTCATGCCTACTCTGTCTTCTGCAGCCTGCCCTTCCTTCCTCCCCCACCTCTTGCCTGCCTGGGCAGTACCCCTTCCCACAGGCTCCTCTGGCCTGGCTGTTTCCTCCTTCAGCTGTTCAACACCTCCTAGTGCAGGGGTGGGTGCAGAGACAGGAAGAGGTCAAAAGGCACCTGTGAGGTGAGTCCAAGGTCAAGGGGAGGGGAGACTCCAGCCAGGCTGGGGCTCACCTCTGCACACTTGAGTGTGGCAGGTGCGACTCTGCCGGGCATTCCCTGGGCAGGGAGGCCGGGCACAGCGCCGGGAGCGCAGCTGCTCCCCTCCCCCACAGGAGACACTGCAGTCCTCCCAGGGGCCCCAGGTGTCCCATATTCCTGGGCCAGGGCAGCCAGGCATCTCCTGGCACTGCAGAACTCCTGCCACACAGGTGCTGTGGACAACAGAAGTAGGTGGAACTTCAGAAACAAGGCCAGGTTCTGCCCTCTTGGCTCCCAGGGCCCTCCTTCTCTGGGCTCACCAGTTGTCACATGGTCCTGTCAGCACCTCGCCAGGCTCCAGGCTCTCCCAGGAGCTGAGCCCAGATCCTGTCGCCCGACTCTGGTTCTCAGGGATCCCTGGAGGGAACAGGGGTGGAGCTCAGCATCAGCACTCCTCTGGAAGCCCCCCCGCCCCCGCCTGCCTCTGCCTCCCCTCCCCATCAGCCTCCACCCCAAGGTAGCCTGGGATGTTCGGAGCTGGGGAGGCAGAAGGACGCAGGAGACAGGAAAGCCCAGTGGGTAGAGGCTCAGGGGCCAGGCAGGGTAGCCAGCTGGTGCTCAAAGTCACTGGCCCAGAGGAGGCAAGGGGAGCACTCACCCATGGCTCTTGGTTGGTACTGGCAGCGGCAGAGGGCTGGGTGCACACAGAGTCCGTCCTGGAACAGCTGGCCTGGGGGACACCCGCAGCTGGACTGGCAGCTGGTTGAGCCTGCCTGACACATGCTCCCAGGGGACAGGTCCTGGCAGGAGCGGGGACAGGGCCAGCCACAGGTGAGCAGAGCCAGGCCAGCACCACAGTCTAGGGCAGAAGGAAAGCAGAGAAGGAAGGTTCTTGGCAGTCAGGTGACAGCCTACCTGCCATGCACCTGCCTTGATCTATCACCTTGCTTAAACCCACAGCTGAGCAACCTAGGGACGGTCCTTGGCAGAGAGGGGCATGGATGTAAGTTCAGAGGACAGAGTCTGCATCCCCTTGCCTGGCGAGGGCCCTTCCAAGCTGTGCCCACATGCTTACCTGTGCACTGCGTGGCATTATCCTGACAAGGGCGGCTCTGCACGTGGGCCCCCATGCAGGGCCTGCCTCCATCAGAGGTGGGGGGCTGGCTGCAGGTACGGCTCCGCTGGGACTGCCCCAGACACACATCGCAGGGAGCCCACAGCTCCCACGGGCTCCAGGCTGCATCCACTGTGCAGGCAGAGACATCTAGCTCAGGAGCACCCAGGTTTTTTGAGGCCCAGGGAAGTGGACATGGGCTTGGTGGGGATACCACACCTGGGCATGTGGCAGGGCTGGGACAGGCCTCCTTCTGATGCTGGGCACTTTCCTCAGAGCATGGGGCACCCCCATGTCGAGGCGTGGGGCAGGCGCAGACTCTGGAGCGGGTCCGCATCTGGCCACTGCATGGCTGGGAGCACACTGTCCATTCCGACCATTCACACCAGGCTCCAGACACTGCCAGGGGAATGCCAGGCTCTGGGATATGGCCCATCTTGTCCTCTTTCTCGGGTTCTCCATGGCCCAGGGCCACCTGCCACCTCCCTCCAAGCTGGGCGTGTACCTGGGCAGGGCAGGTCTGTGCAGTTCAACTTCCCCTCCAGGCAGGTGCTGGGCAAGGAGATACAGACACAGCATCTCGGTCCTGGCCGTCCCTGCGGTCTTTTAGCCGCTTAGCCCTCACCGCCCTCTCCTGTGCTCGCTCGTTCCCTCTGGGGTCTGGCACCTGCTCCTCTCCCCTCTCGGATACCTGCTTCCTGAGTCATTCAGTCCTGTGAGGACAGCTTCAAGCCAGGAAGCCTTACAGCCAACTGTGTTGGCCAGAGAGCAGGTGCAGTCTCCCCTCTCCGTGTTGCTCCCCCTGCCCGGGTCTGGCCTCATGCCCCAGGGGCACATGCCCAGCCCTCTGCACACACACACACAGGGCTGGCTGCCTCAGTGCTCCCACAGAACTGGCAGGGATCATGCTGCCCGCGCTGCACGGCCCTCAGCGACTACAGGATGTGCCAGCTGAGTCCCCAGTCTGCTCAGGGGCACAGCTTGGCACACCCCTCACCAGTGGTTGCAGCCATCAGGCCGCAGCAGCTGAGTGCCCGGCCGATGCCACTCCCCAGTCAGCAAGTCCAGGCAGCTGCAGTGATCCGGACGCACACAGACTACCCCGTCAGCACTCAGCACCTGGCCTGGTGGGCAGTAGCAGCCGGGCTGGCAGCGCCACACACAGTGCTGGGGGAACAGCAAACAAGAGCTCAGTGTGCAGACAATCGCAGCTCCGTCTGTAGGGACAGCAAAGGGACCTGGAGGCTGGAGAAGGTCGGGGTGGGGCGTGTGACCTCCAGTTCAGGGGCTCAAAGTTTTGCTAGGAAAGGTGGGAGGTTGGGGGATCACAGTGCAGGTTCCCACCCTGGGAAGACAGGACAGGAGCAGAGCAGCAGAGAGGCAAGGAGGGCCTGCGTCAGGCCTGGATGTCAGCTCCAGGCGTGGGACCCCAGTTCATGGGGCTGCAGGCTCAGAGTGACCTGGGCTCGTGGCCTGGGGACTGAGGCTCTCGGGGGCTGCACGGGACTTGGGGAGGACTGGGAGCCGGGCCTGGGGAACCCCTTCGGCCCCTCTGCCCCATTTTTCAGAGCTCTGATTGGCGTCTGCCTTTCCCTGGCGAGAGCGCAGGCTGGCTGGCACAGGTGGGAATCACAAAGAAGACAAACATGACATTGAATTGAAGCTCTGCTGGGCCTAAAAATTCTAATTTGATGTGGCTGCTGCAGCAAGGCTGTCTCTCTCTGGAATAAAGGGCTTGGGGAGAGTGGTTCCCTGAAGAGTCCCCAAACCTTTCTCTACTGACCCATCTACATTGAAGCTGGGTGGCCTAACATCAGGAGGAAGAGGCCAGAGCCCAAAGCTACACCTTGCCCACGGCAGGTGGGCACTGAGTAAGTGGGCAGGTAGGTTAGGTGCCATGCACGGGGAAGCCAGGCTCACCACGAGGTCATCACAGGAGCGTGGGCAGGGAGGGCCGCAGGCACTGTACGTTGCCCCTTCTATGGCGGTACAGTTGGTCACTGTGACGGGGACAGGACAGGCTGAGAGCCGTGGCATGGCGGCTTCATAATGCCCCAGGCCCCTGCCCCATCTCTGGCAGGTACCTGGGCATGGCCAGGCCTGGCAGGCTTCTCCCTGGGCCTGAGGCCCCTCGCAGTAATCCCCGAGGCCCTGGGGTGGAGGCTGGTCACAGGCCCGGATGCGGCTGCGCAGGCCTCCCCCACAGCTCCGACTACAGGTGGACCAGGGTCCCCACAGTCCCCAGCCCCCGGCTCCTGGGGGAACAGCAGAGGAAGAGATGGCAGGGCCTGGGATGGCTCACAGAAGGCTCAGCCACCACCACCCTGGGCAGGCACCCACGGTCACAGGCGGGCAGGAGGCACGGCTCTCCCTCAGCCTCACGGCCTGGGCAGAGAGGCGAGAGTGTGGCTGGTGGGGACAGCGGAGCCAGGCTGGGCGGTGCCACGGTGGGGGGCCAGGCACAGAAGCGGTGCCGATGGCGGTGGGCAGGGCCACAGGTGGCAGAGCACATACTCCATGGAGTCCAGGCTGACCAGCTGGGCTGACCTGGAGGGTGTGCAGGAAGGGGAGGCTGGGCTGGCTTGGGCAGGGAGAAGCCATCCATGTCTCCTCTGAGGGTTTATGTCCCCTGGTCACAGCGCAGACCTGTGCCCACAGCTGGGGGTGGAGGCAGGGTTCCCTTCTCACCATGCTCGCAGGGCCGGGAGCTACAGTTGGCGATGAGCCCAGCTACACAGGAGCTGCAAGGGGAGCAGGAGGGGCCCGGGGGTCTTAAGGGCTGCTCTGTAGGCCCTCAAGCCTGGTCCCCATAGCTGCCAATGTGGTCTAATCTATAGGAGTCACCAAGACAAAGTCATCAGGCTGCCCTCCTTCCCCCCAGCCATGCCCCGGGTCTGTGTGAGAAATGCAGACACAGACACACATGGTAGGAAGATGGTGGGAACAGGTGCACAGGGAGGATGGCGTGTGAGAGCCACGGAACACCAAGGACGGCCAGCCACCGCCAGGAGGCTCCCCCTCACAGCCCTCAGGGGCAGCTGAGCCTGCAGACAACTGGGGACTTAACCCCCAGCCCTGTGGGGATGGTGGGACAACCTGTGTGTGTTGCTCAAGCCTGCAGTGCCGGCACATGTGCACACGTGTGTGTGTGTGTGTGTTGGGTGGGGGCACTTTGATACAGAGACTGGTGGGGGAAGGGGAGGAGGCAAGGCAGACAAGTTTGATCTCGTCTCTAATGGGCTGGGGCCAACAACCCAGGTCCCCAGGGCACTGGGGCTGGGGTGGCACCTTACCAGTTTTCGCAGGGTTGTAGCACAACACTGCCAGGTGGATGTAGGCGCCCACCGTGGGCACAGGGGCAGTCCCGGGTGGGCACACACATGTTGTTCTGCAAGCAAAGCCCTGGGGTCAGCTCAGGGGCCAGCGGAGCCTGCCCTGGCCTGCCCACTCTCCACCCCTAAAACACCCGCTTGGGTGGATGCAGACCCTCAGTTGCGGGGCGGGGAGGGGCAGACACAGAGTCCCCAGCTTCTGGGACAAAAAGACCAACTCCAAGGGCAGGTCATGCGAGCAACTACGAAAATGCACCTCTCACTCGGCAACGGTATAAAAACAAACACACGTTTTTGTCCGCAATATAACAATGGAGAAAAGCCCCCGCGGTATTTTGGGAGACGGCCTGAGAGCTGGAGCAAACAGCAAATGGGTCAAACGCCCCCCAGTTGGTTGGCCAGGCCCTGGGGATTACAACAGGTGCTCAATGCCGAGCTGGTGGTAACTGTGAAGAGGAGTAGGGTTCTTGAGCAGACAATGAAAACTCGTCCATGGCCACCTGTTGGTTCTGGCCAGACCGGAGCCATGACCTTGAGCTTGGAGCTCTCATCTTCATTATGCAAGATCTCCCTGACTCCAGCCCATAACCTGGGCTCAGCCTCTGCCTGGGGTCTGGGCCTGAGCTTGTCTGTCCCTCCCTTGCCTCTCCAGGGTCCCCAGTGACTGAGGAGGTGGCACCAGTGGCCAGGCAGGACACTCACCAGCAGGAGCATCCCTGGGGGGCAGTAGCAGCCGGGTTGGCAGGTCTGGTTGGTGTCTCGTGGGGTGCTGAGCTCTGCACAGGAGGCAGGGCCTGGGGCACACTCCAGCCACTGCTGACCCTTGGGACACACGCCGGCTGCTGGTCCTGGGGACGCGGAAATGGACAACCTCACCTGGGCACCCCCAGCATTCCCCTGTGCTCCCCCGTCTGCCAGAAACACCAGCTCTGGGCAAGTCTGAGTTGCTGTGGGTAGTTTCTGCAGCCCGAGGTTGGTGGGGACAAGAACAGGAGGGACCCTGTGGCGGTCCTCACCTGCACAAGGCTGCAGACCACAGGTGGAGAACTCCATAGGGCTGTGTGGGCCACTGCCTTGGGTGCGATTCCTGTAGCCACCTCCACAGGGCACGGAGCACGGAGCCCAAGGGCCCCATTCCCCACCAGGACCTGCAGGTGGAACTCAGGGCACCACAGGCCAGGCCTGCCCTGCCCAGACACCCTGGGGCACCCGCACCCACCCCCTTGCAATATCCCCACCCACCTTCGGCAGGGGGCTCCAGGATTGGGCCTAGTACTGGCCTGGCCTCTGGGGAGCATGTGGGGATCCTCTAGAGAGGGTCGGCTGAGGGATGGACCCCCGGGGCTCCGTGGGGATCTCTCTAGGTGAAGCCTCCAAAGGGAAGTCCCATTGTGCCCCTGCGTGGTGTGAGGTGGGGCTGGCGCGGGAACTCCTGGCTTCCCCCACAAGGCTCAGGACCCAGGTCCCTGCCCTCACCTTGACACGGGCGCAGGCTGCAGAATTCAGCCTCCATGTTGGGGCCCTGGCATTCAGCACCCCCAAAGGCAGCAGGGGGTGCAGTGGCCGCCCGGAAGCGCCGTCGGATGCCTACATTGCAGCTCTGGCTGCACTGACCCCACGGTGTCCACGGACTCCAGCCACAGTCCACTGCCCGTGTAGGGACGGAGGGGATGTCGGGGGAAATTTGAGTCAGTCCAGGCCAAGCCAGGACCCTGATTTCTCAGGGGCATCACCAACCCTCCCAGCACATCGTCTCCGAAGGGGCTTCTGAGGACCCAACAGGGCACAGAATACCTGGGCAGAGCTCCGAGGTGCACGCCATCTCGCCGGAGAGGCAGGTGCTGCAGACAGAACTGCCAGTGAGGCCCGCCCCGGTCCATCCTGGCCCCAGCCAGCCCTGCCCTTGGACCCTCATGCATCTGTCCCAACGAGGAAGCAGCTGTGGCCCTCCGTGTCCACTGCACAGAACAGAACCCCCAGGGTGTGGAGAGCGAAGCAAGCTGCCCTGCGTCCATGCAAAGTGCACGCTGAGACCCAGGCTCCACACCCAGGGGTCCTCGCACCTGGTCCCCTGGCCCACGCGTTAGACAGGAGTCATCACTCTCTACTTTCTATTCCACTTGACATCGCTAAGCACCACCTGGAGAGAACCACACCAGGGCCAGGCAGAGCGACTTAGGAAGACCTAGTATTGTAGGAGGGAGAACAGGATACTTTCCTTTCTGTGGTCTCTCACACTGGTTCTAAAGCATGTCTGAGGATCTAGATAGAAAAACCTGAGAGGAAATGGGGGAAGGAAAGAGAGAGAATGAAGGAGGTCATTGGGAGTAGCCAGGGGAATCAGCAGGAAAGGGGAAGAAGAAAATGAAGAAACAAAATGAGAAAGCGATCAATGGGCTAGAGTGCCCTCTGCTGGGAGATCCTGGCATCACCTTTGCAAGCTTTTTGATTGCAAGCCAATTCCCAGGTAGGGCAATCTACCAGAATTTAGAAGCCCTTCTCAAGCCCTCCACTCGTGAGCACAGCTGGCAACTTCCATCTGAAGTCATTCCAGCTCTCTGACCATCTTCCCATAAGCAATCCAAGGCCAGACCGTACCTCGTGCCCTTTAGCACTCCTGGGTCCCATGCCTGGCACCTAGCGCTGCTAACATGTTTGGGAAACCAGGGCACCGTGTGTGTGATGTTCTTGAGAGAGAGAGGCCACTATGCCTGCCCCTCCCCACTCCCACCCCAAGTCCTGGGCACCCACCAGTTGTTGCAGCGGTCCAGGCGGGCCACTGTCCCCGGTGGGTAGAGTCGGCCGTGCAGCTGGCAGGGGCATTGGCTGCGGGGCAGGCAACTGGCATTGTGCAGGAAGAGGCCAGGGGGGCAGGCGCAGCCAGGGCCACAGGAACCCGTGCACTCCACTCCAGTGCCCTGCGCCAGGCAGAGATGAGAGCACGGCCCACCCTCCTGGAGACACTGCTCCTCCGAATGGAACACCATGCCCTCCGGGCACTGGCCTGGATGGGGAGACTGCAGATCTGGACAGGGTGGAAGAAGCAGGGGAGGGGGAGGTTTGGGGAACCTGCAGGCAGGTGCCTGGGAGGAGCCTGCCTGGCAGGAGCAAGACCGAGGATGCCCTGCCAGCTCCTGGCTGCAGGCTGGCCCCAGGGTCTGCAACATCAGCCACAGAACATGGGGCAACCCCACATCTGGGCTAGGAAGAGTGGGAGGTGGACTAGGCCTTCCATCGACTGCTCCAGGCACCCTGACTGGCCACGCAAGGGCTCTGCTCAAAGGCAGCCCGGTCTCAGGGGGAGCCCACCTGCTGGGAAGGAAGCTGCCCCCTGGGAGAGGCAGGGTTTCAACCACAGGCAGGGGCTTGGTCCCTAGTGTGTATGAGTGATTGTGTGTGTGTGTGCTTTTGCACAGGAAGCTGCAGGATGCACAAGTAACCCCACTCAGTCTCCCTCTACCCACAGCCCAGCCTCTCTGGCAGCCAGTGGGCCACAATGCACTCAGCTGAGGGTAGGCCCAAGACCCCATGGGTAAACAGAGAATGGGGCGGGGGTCTGGTACCTGTGCAGGGTTGCGTGTGGCAGTCCCTGGTCTGACTGTGGGGACCCTGGCAGGCTGGGTCCCCGGGAGCTGAGCTAGAGCAGTTCCGCCCACGGGTCTGGATCCCTCCATTGCAGGGGGCCGAACAGGCAGTCCAGGCAGCCCACAGACCCCAACCACTGGGTGCTGGCAGGGAGAGTGGAGCCCACAGTCACGTCCACGGCAGAGACATGGGCAAGAGAGGCAGTAAGAATCAGAGCTACAGGGCATGAGGCCCCCTCCCTACACCAGCGCCCACGCCTCGATGATGGTCCTAAGCTCTGCTGGAGGCCAGGCCTACCCTGCTCATCACACACTGGTTTCCTGGAGGAGATGCTGGCGACTCTGCCCCTCCCCCTCCTGTCCTCCCTGGGCGGTCAGTAGCTGCCCAAGGAGCCAGCTTCCTCCTCTTCGCATCCCGCCCCACCCCCCCAGCATCTGGGTTGCTCCAAGAACAGAAGACGCATACCTGGGCACACAGGGGGGCTGCAGGGTTCCTCCTGGGTGGCCTCTCCCAGGCAGGTCCCGGCTTCATGGCTGGGACAGAGCCGGAAACGGCTGCGCAAGCCTGGGTCCCCTCCAGGGGTCAGGCAGCTCTGGGAGCAGGAGGTCCAGGGTGTCCAGGGAGCCCAACCCGGTGCCTCTGGAGGGGCACATAGCACAAGCCTATTCAACAGGGGCCCTGGCAGGCAGTCTGGGGTGGTGGCAGACTGGGAAGGGAGAGGGCTGCCTTGAGTTCATTATTCTGGCTCTTAGCTCACTCCTCGGGACCCCCAGTCTACAGCCCCACTTCTCAGTCCAGGAGCCAGAACTGGAGCCTCCTGCTGGCTGCTGCCCCAGGTCTACTTCCACGCCTCCACCTGTAGGCACAACTGGCAGCTGGCTGTGGGCCCCACCATCCTCATATGTCACCCAGTCCAGGTGTCCCCAGGGACTCTGAAGCTGGCCTCTGGTGGAGGCGTGAGCTCCAGCCTAGCACACATATACAGCTGAGCACCCGGCCAGCCTGGCTGTTTGCAGGGTTGGGGTTGGGAGGAAGGGGGCGGGACTCAGCTGCACCTGCCCCACACTCGGCATGGCAAGCCTGTAGTTCCTGCGTGTCACCTTCACAAGGGGCACCCCCGTGAGCTGCAGGAGGGTTGGAGGGTGACCTGGTAAAAGAAGAGGTCTCTGGGTCCCCACTCTCTTCTCCTTGCCCCAGCTTTCTCCTTCCCCCCATTTCTGTGCTTCCCTCACACACCTGAACCTGACCCTCACTCCAGAGCCACAGGAGCGGTCACAGGGAGCCCATGAAGACCAGGCTGACCAGCCACATGACTGGGGACAGCCCCCTGGTTCGCACAGAAGTGCCCCCTTCTCACATACGCTGCAGGCAAAAAGGGAAGGTCCGGGGCAGGCAGTCAGCCTTGGGGGACCCCCAGCCCAGGCTCCGCCTACCCCACCCCACCCCAGAGCAGGGGCACACCCGACCTCACCAGTGGCTGCAGTTGTCCAGGACAAAGGACACCCCCGACGGCCTCAGTTCCTCGCCCACGAGGCAAGGGCACTCAGACAGAGGCAGGCAGCGGCTGTCCAGGAGGAGGAGCCCAGGAGGGCAGCGGCAACCTGGGGGCACGGGTTAGTAGGGAGAGCCCTTAGTGGGCGGGGTGAGGGTGGGCACAGCAGGCAGAGGACTAGTGGGCCCCTCGCTCCCCAGCTGGCTGAGTTGACCTCACCCTCCACACAGTGCCCACTGCAGTTGTTGTTGGCCTCGGGATCCAGGCAGGATGGGGGACACGGGGGCACCAGGCCCTGCTGGCATTGGTCGGCACTCACATACACACGGCCTGGCCCACAGTCTAGGGGAGAGGGGCAGCAGCCGGGTAGGCATGGGGCAGGCAGAGCTTTGCCCTCCCACAGGCAGGACTCGTTTTGGGATGTCCCCATACCATCCTACTCCCCTCTACCTGTGCCACCCATGCAGGGTTGCAAGCTGCAGGGCACCCTTTCCTGGGAGGCCCCCAGGCAGGGGGCACCGCCATTCTTGGGCGGGGGATCCACACAGCTTCTCCAGCGAATCTGGTGGCCACCCCCACAGGACACGCTGCAGGGTCCCCAGGCCTCCCACTCAGTCCATGTGCCGTCCACTGTGGGGGAAGGAAGGAAGCCAAAGGGGGGTTGGGGAAGAGATGGGCAGAGCCAAGGGAGAGCCCAGAGCTAAGGAAGGGAGGATTTCTAGGAGCTTTCCTGCCAGGGATAAAAACCTTCAGTCTGCATAATGGCAGGGAGCCTGGCAACAGGGAGTGGAGGCGCCCCCTGGTGGCAGCCAGTGGAGGTGGCACCAGCAGAGCCAGCCCGAGTTAAGGGAGACCCGGTGTGGGCAGCCCCTTTCCCAGCGAATACAGGCATGGGTGCGGGATCACTTCCTCGGATTCCGGGGCTGCAGGGCCTTCAGCGTGGAGTATAAGGACCAGAGGCATCTGGCTCCAACCCCTCCCGCAGTGATGCCCTTTATCTTCCCTTCCTGACAAGCCCTCTGTGGGCTCAAGTTTGTTACATCAGAAAAGCACTATCCTTCTCAAGTCCCAGGCACAGACGCTGGACACTGCGTACCCCTTCTAGGGGGGAGAACGATGGTGCTACCCTGGTAAAGGTCTCTGGTGGGCACCTCTCTAAGTATTCCATTGGGAAGGGGCCTGAGGGAGACCCAGGGGTGGCAGGTTACCTGGGCAGGCCTGCACAAAGCAGGACTGGCTGCGGAGCTGGTTCAGTGGACAGCCGCCCCCAGACAGCGGAGGCCGCAGCAGCTCCCGGCGCTGGAAAGTGAGGCCCAGGCCACAGCTGTGGCTGCAGCTGCTCCAGCTGGACCAGGGAGCTAGCACACAGTCCACTGCAAGCAACAGGTGGCGTGGAGCTCAGAGGGGGCCCACGCAGGAGCAGGGCCCTCAGCATGGCCACTCCCTCATCCCCGACACATACCACAGCCGTCTTCATCAGAGCCATCCTGGCAGTCGGGCTGGAGGTCACACCGCCGCCACAGGGGCAGGCACTCTCCACTGCCACAGCTCAGCTGGCTCGGGGAGCAGAGGGCATGCGAGGCTGGCAGGCCTGGTAGGGCCCTGGTGGGCACTGTGAAGGGTGGGGGGCTTGCTGCCCCAGAGGTGGGGTGGGGAAATGGAGCAACATATGTGACCCCTAGCTGCAGGGTCCACTGAGCCCCCTAGATCTCAGGCCCAGAGTGGAAAGGAGCTTGCTGACCACAGACGCTGGTCTCCCCAAGCCTGTGCCTGGGGAAGGCCTTGTGGATGAGCTCACGGGAACCCAGGTCTACATAGGCTGTCTACTCGCCACGGGCTCCTGGGGTGTCTGGCGCAATCAGAGCATCCAGAAGAACACATCTCACCCCTGGGAGCCTGGCTGTGAATGGGGACCCCTCAGGCACTCCTTCCTGGGACTGCTTAACTCAGGGTTTCTCCTTTCCTGATTGGAAAATAAGGCTTTGGTCCTAATGATCTGCATTTGGGGGATGGATGGATGAACCGATGACATGCGTGTGGACAGATGGGTGGATGGATGGATAGACGGATGGACGGATGACAGGTGTACAGATGGATGACAGGCTATGGATGGATGGTGGATGAATAACTGAGCGAGTGGATAATGAGCCCACAGACGTATGGCTGTATTGTGAATAGAGGGTGCATGGAGGTTTAGATGAGTGGTAGTAGATGAGTGATGAATGAACAAATTGGGTGAATGGATGAATGATCAATGGGCAGGAGCCTCCTGACAGGTCACAGAGGTTTTATAAAACAGGCTGGAACAGACACAAATCCTATCCCACTCCCTTCTCGCCTATCCCCAAAGACACACACAGGCCCCCTGGCCACCACCCCCCATACACAGAATCCCCCTTTCTGGACAGTGTCACTCCTTCAATTTCTCTCCACTCTCTGTCCCTCCACACCCCTCACCCACCCACCCTCTATGAGCTAGACACAAAGGACAGCCCTCCCCACCCACCTGCCTACCAGCCAGAGAATCTCTGGCCATCCCTGCAGGGTGGCACGGTCCCCGCTTGCTCACCACAGTGCCTCTCATCAGAGCCGTCCAGGCAGTCCTCCCTCCCATCACACAGCTGCTCCTGCTCCACACAGCCCAGGATGGCACAGGACATCTGGCTGGGACCACACCGTGTGGGCGGGAAGGGGGCTGGCTCCCTGCTCTGGCCTGTGGGCACACACAGAGCCAGCTGACCAGGGCCCCGGCTGCCTAGTCCTTCCTTCTGGGTCACCTCCCTCCTCTTCGGCCTTCTCCTTGAGATCGCGAGAAAGGAGGAAACGTGCTCAGGAACCTGGGGCCGAGGCTCGGTCCTGTGGTGACCTTGAGCTGTGTGACATGGAGCACAGCGGCCACTCCTCTCCTCGGGGCCTCTGTCCACTCACTCCAGGCTGGGGACACAGGCAGGGTGCCACATCTCACCAGCTGGGGTCCTGGGAGGTGCTGGGTGCTGAGAAAGCGCAGACACGGCAGCCATCACAGGTCGTGGGGTCTTGGCCTTGGTCTGGGGTGTGGCGGTGGTGGTCCCCACTGGCATGGACTCCTTAGAACTGGGATGAGCAGCTTTGGAGGCTGGGACGGAGCTCACTGTGGCCTCTGTGGGTGGAGGAGAGAGGAGCCTAGAAGGCAGGCACAGCTACCACAGACCTCACCCCACCTGCCGAGAGCCTCAGAGCAGAAAGTAGGAGGGTCTGGGGTGTCCTATAAGGGTAACTGGAGGTGATGGAAACCCAGCTGTGAGCTGAGATTTGTATTTAGTCTCTAGAAGACACACGTAGCAAGGTCCAAGTTCAAACAAGTTCCCTCTGGGAACAAAAGGAACAGAGATTTGCTGTATCATTTCACAGCTGGGGTTTGGGCTTGGCTGCACACTGAGAATGTCTCGTTCTGGCCAGAGGTTCGCCGTCAGACGAGGCAGCCTTTGCTTGCAGAACCGGACACAGGATGCAGTATAGTTTATCCCATAGGTTTTATGTGCTGGGGCCTGCAGGATGGCGGCTTAACCCACTTTCCACCAAAGATGCAGACACATGGACCAGGGTGGAAGGCTCAGCACAGGTATTAAGGTACTGGCTGGGATGCCCACATTCCATGCCCAAGTGTGTGCACTGCAGCCCAACCCCAGGACCCTGCTAACACGCACAGGAGGCAGCAGGTCACGGTCAAACACGTCTGTCCCGGTCACACTCCTGGAAACCCAGGCTGAGCTCCAGCTCCCAGCTTTGGCCTGGCCCTACCCTGGCTGTGGCAGACATCTGGGGAGTGAATCCACGATGGGAGATCTGTCTCCATCTGTCTCCCTCTTTCACTCTCCTTACTGACCCCTCTCACAAATAAAATGAATTCGTAAATTACAATCAAAACACATGGTTCAACTAGGCCTCTGAATAACCTCCAGCAGAACTCGCAGGGCAGTTGGGCTCAGCTGAGGCTTCCCTGAGGTCCAGGCAGGTGCTGTGGGGTGCTCGTGGGGTGCTCCCATGGCCCACACCTCACCCTCCTCCCTAGCTCCTTCCCCTAGCCTGGGACGGCTGGCACATGGCCAGGCAGGGGGCACCTTTCTTGTCCTGGTTAGGAACAGACTTGGTGACCTGGCCTACGCCTATGCCCACTTGGGTCAGGAAACACTTCAGAAGTGGGCAGTGGCTGGCCACATGCACGGACTGGCAGGGGCAGAGCAGGCTGGGATGAGAGACTCTGCCACACCCAGGAGCCCCCTCCCCACCCTGGAATTCAGGAGGGTGGGGAGGGCAGGAACTGGCTGTGGTCCCGGTGTCTCAGGTCTCCCTCCCTGAGCCAGGCCTGCTGGGGGAGGCAGGGCTGGGAGTGTGAACCACTGAGAGGTGAGAGGTGACAAGTACCTGTGGGGGTCACGAGCGACCCCTGCTGGAGATGCCAGCGGTCCGGTTCTGCCAGCCCCTGTGGAGGGAGAGGGCTCAGCCACAGGCCGCAGCGCGGCCCCCCCGGAGCAGCTGGGCAGTTCAGTCCTATAGCGTCCTCCTGTTTCCGCCGAGATCTGCTGACCTGCTCAGCCCCTGGCCATGGTCTCTGCGCTCTCTCCCCTCCAGGGCCCAGGACAGAACTGAGGATAGAGCTGACGTTGGCACATTAGATGGGCTCCCACCTCTACAGTGGGCCCCAGGGCCAGCCTGCTGCCCTCAGGGCCAGGGGTGTTAGTGTCACTGGCACATTAGTGCAATCCACACTAGCTCTCACTCCCAAGCATCCCCATCCCGACACAAATTCATACACCCCCAGTAACAGTCACTTGCACACTCATAACACATTCACACACTCAGTCACACACTCACATTCACACTCATTCGGTCACACTCACACACTCTGGGGCCCTGACCAGCCTGACCCTCTGTGAGAGAGGGCCCCTCTGTTCTTCTCCGTGGGATACCTTCCCCCTCCTCTGGAGTGCCAAGGCACACGGCTCCTCCCAGCTCAGAGCACAGGTGCTCTGGCACCTATCTCATACCTTCTGTGTGCCCCTGCGCCACTCTCCTCCCCTCCACTCCCCAGGGCCCTGCCTGACCCTGGAGCCGCCCAGGCTGACAGCCTGCCATAGAACAGCACTAGGGAACACAGCAGAGGGAAGGGAGCAAGCATGTGGGCTTGGACGTAGAGCAGACCCACAAGGCAGGCACAGGGCTCACAAGGGGGGAGGCCCACACTGCCCTCCAAACCCCATTCACCTCCTCGGGCTGCAGCTGAAATGGCTGTTGTTCCTGCTGGGTGGCAAGACTTGGGGTCTTGGCTGTAGAATGGACTCTGGGAAGACAAATCAGCAGATGGGGATCCCCCCAGCCTCAGAGACCCCACCCAGGAGGGAGGCTGGGAGGCCCTGGGATAGGGTTGCACATTCAGGAAGGACCCCGTCCACCGTGGTTGTACAGAGGCAAGGCTCCATGCAGTGCCTCTCCACTTGCTCCTGTGTTTGAATCACCAGGAAGGCTTGCAACACGCACCCCAGGCTCCACCCTGCGTAGCCTGAGAACCTGAATTCCCAACAAGTGCCAGGTGATGCTAGCTGCTGGTGCAGCAGCTATATTGAGAAAGATGCACACTCCCAGGAGGGAAAAGAGTCTCCAAGGACGCAGCTGCTGCCCCCTCCCTCCAGGACACCTCCCCTGGGGATGCCCCTCCAGAGCCAAGCCAGGGGGTAGCCAGGCAATCACCACACTGTACCTTCCAGGGTCCGCTGGCAGGGACCTACAGCCTTCCTCATCAGAGCTGTCTGTGCAGTCTGCAACATCATCACACAGACCTCCCACTAGGACACACTCCTCACACAGCAGGGTGGGGGCCCTGCACACAGGCTGTGTAGTGCTGAGGGTTGCTACCATCCCACTGCCACTCCTCTCCTGCAGCACGGCCCATACCTGGCTCACAGCCCAGCAGCTCAGCCCGCAGGAAGTTGCTGCGCCAGATTGTGCTGTGGGGCACATGGTGGGGCCACACTCGGATGGACCTCGCCTGCACCATCCGGCCAAATGTCCACACCTCGGGGGCCTCATTGCCCCAACCCCTAGGGAGAAGCTGCGGCAGAGGGCGCCGGTTGATCAGGACCCTGTTGCAGGCTCCTCCTTTGGATCCATCCATGTCCCACCATCTTCACAGCAGGGCCCCCCCTGCCACTCTCAGAGCCCCCCTGCAGGCTACTGGCGGGTCTGGGACTGGCTGAAGCTCCTTCCACTGGGCTGTTGATGCTCTGAGACCAAAGGGCATGTTGTGTTCACTGCTGTGTCCTCAGAGCCTGGCATCTGGCACACAGCAAGTGCACCTTCCTGGTAGGAAGGAACTGCCAGTCTGGACAGATCCTGAGCTCTTCACGAGGTCTGTGTCAGGGAGTTGGGAGGGAAATGCACCCCCCACGGGGTGGGGCTATGCCCAGGCTGCTTGAAGTTCTCAACGAATCTGTTGGCTGCCTCCTTCAGGCTACCCTTGAGCTTCCCATGCCTTGTCCTGAGCCACGCTGGGAGCTCCTCTATTCCAGCTGACAGAAGCATCCAAGTCCTCTGCAAGCACTGCACCGAGGGACTGCCCCCCAGGGAAAAGGACAAAGCTGCATAGTAGATGGACTGGTGCGGTACCTTGGGCGAGGGCAGGGTGCCCGGCAGGATGTCACGGTAAGCATGCCAGTGTAGACCATCGCTGCTCAGCTGGAGTGAGAAGCTGGAGGCAGCAGCATTGGAGGGCCCAGCCCCCGGTATGATGATGCCTGGGGGAGGAGCCAGGACCACCACAAGTGTCAGAGCCACGGAAGGACCTTACTGCTCCTTCATTCCCCACCCCCTGTCCACCCCCAGTCCCCACTGACCAGTGAGGTTTCGGGGCTGCAGCAGGTCCAGCTGCAAGTAGGGCGGCCGAGTGAGCCACTCACTGGACGTATCCTCTTCATGGCTCTGCCCCTGAGTGCTGGGGCCCTTGGTGGGAACACTCAGGAGGGCAGCCCAGGGTGGGTGCTCTGATGGTTGGGGCGATGTGTGCAAGCTTGCCTTGGGTGCTGGGGCCAAGTGCAGGGGCAGATAGCAGGGATCTGGGTGGAATAGAGAGAGAGGGTGGAGCAGGGGAAAATAGAGGCCACCAGGGGCTGTCTGGGGTGTGTTAGGAAGCCAGTAGGAGAGCCAGGCACTCTAAGGGGCCCACACAGGTGACCCTGGCTTGGGATGGGAGTCAAGGGAGAGGACTTAGGGTGGCACCCATCCTCTCTGGATGCCCTGCACTGCCTGGGTGGCCAGGGAAGTGCCCCAGAGGCCCTGGCACCTCTCCTGGTCTGGGCACCATGCTTCCCCCCTCCACACCCACTTTGAGATCACATGGCCTTTACCGCCTGGTGAAGGCAGAGCATAGGTGGTCAGAGGGGCTCCGATCTGGGCACTGGGCGCTGGAGCTGGTACAGGAGTGGCCATGGGGGACAGTGTGTGGTTCTGCCCTGTATGAGGATGTTCCAGGGTCAGCGGGCAGAGACTGAGAGGGCGCTATGGAAGTCCCTGTCCAGCACCCAAGGCCTCGCCCTGCTTCTAGAAACAACCTCCCAGTTGGGAAAAGTCCCATCTCCTCTGCCTGGTAGGACTTGGGGTTGTCACTTCTACTGAAAGCTGGAAAACATAGAGCAAAGCCACCAATCAATCTTAAGTCATTTGGGGACCAAAGCAGAGCAGGTGCAGTTCTGAAAACCACAGATGGGGCACCTCTGTGGGCTGGTATTCAGATGCAACCCTGCAGGCCGGAGCCCAGTTCTCCCCTCATCGCATAACTGGAGCAGTGAATATTCTGTACAACTGTCTTGCTGACCCCATCCTAAGCTCAAGCCACCTGTGGGGGCACTGGACCTGTACATTACATGTGTGGGAGCCTGCTTCATCTTTAACACATTTCCGAGCAACGATGCTCTTGAAAAGGAATCTTATTGAGATAAAGGGGCAGGGAAGTAAGCAGGCCTGGCCTGGAGAAGATATCCAAGGGCAGAGAAAATATCCAAGGGTGGTAGCATGGGCAGGGAAGGCAAGGGGGGGGGAGAGAGAGAAAGAGAGAGATGCCCTCAAGGCCACTCCCTTGCCAGCATCTAGGACCTCAGCTTCCCACCAACCTGAGGCTGGAATGACTAACCGTCCCCTGACTCCTCACGGCCACCCTGGCGCCCTCTCTTAGAGCCCCTGCCATATTTTCTTCACAACAGGACTGTCCCACTATATCCCCAAGATGGACTCACCAGGCAGGGCACAGTGGCAGCACAATTCTCCCATGCCTTCCACCAGGACCCAGCCCTGCAGGGTATGGAAGTCAAGCCAGCTGCCTGGCTCCCCCAAGCCTGGTCTCTTCATGCCACTGTCTAGGAACTCTGCCTGTCCCACCGCTGGGTGCCTCACCTCAGGGCAGCTGCCCAGCGGGCAGTACGTGGAGCAGTGTGTGGTCCGGTTGTGCAGACATTGGCACACCAGGCAGGGGCCCCCGCGCCAGCGCTCCCCGACACGGTGGACCTGGCCCCTCTGCTCACAGCCCTCACAGGGCTCTGTCTGGCACCTGGGAAGGGAGAGTGGGGCCTGGCCAGCTGAGCAGGTCCCCTGGGTGACCAACCCTCTGCTTTACCAGGAGGGTGGGGATTCACAGCTGTCTGGACTCTACGTGGTGAGAGTGGGGAAGTCCTGGGTGAATAGGGACATCTGGTCACCTGGTACCCCACCCCATCCCTGTCCCTGAGAAATCTCAGTTTGCTCTCAAGAGGAAGGGAGCGATTCGTGCTACTGGCCAGGCACTCGGTGGAGCTGTCATGGAGGGCACCGGGCAGGCAGTCCCACTGTAGTCCCCCTACGAGCCTCTCCCTACACCTCCAGAGGCCCACTTCTGCCCCTGCATTTGTCAAAGGCTCTGTGTACCCCACTTTGGGATCTAAAGGGCAGGGATCCCCAAAGATGCTGGAGGTATTGGGGGCCTGGGCAGGGGGTCTGGAGAGCCTTGTTGGTGGATGTGGAGCCACGAGCATGAGAGGGGCCATGCAGGAGGCTGAGTGGGAAATGGGAGTGAGAGCGGGGCAGAGCACCTGCGGGCCTTGCGGTGGATGCCACGGCACTGCTGACCCCGACCTGAGGGGCGGGGGTTGGTGGAGCTTCGAAAGGACCACTGGATGCTCTGGCTCCCACAGGGACCCAGGCACTCAGCCCAGTGGGACCAGGATGACCAGCCACAGTTCACTGGGGGTGGTAGGACAAGAGTCAGGGCCAGCTGGCCTGGGGGTGGCCCAAAGAGTCCAGTGAAGGTCAAGGAGGGGCCCCACCTGCACAGTTCGGGTTGGGCCGGCAGCGTTGGGGCCTCCCATCCTGGCACACACAGAGTTGGCAGTTGGCCTTGATGCGCTGCCCAGGCCAGTAGAGGGCACCATCCACTAGGCAGGGGCACTGCCACGGCCACATGCATTGTCCTTCAGGGTCCATCACCTGCCCTTTTGGGCACCAGCAGCCTAGAGAAGGCCCAGAGTGAGGCTGTACAAAACCTTTGACCTCCAGAGACCCACAAGACATTCCTGACCTGGGCCCATAGCTCCCTCACCTGGGCTGCTGCAGGATGGGTCAGGTGGGCATTTGGCCTGGCCGGAGAGGTCATCGCAGGTCAGAGGGCAGGGGGCACAGGGCCAGAACACCAGCTCCCCGGAGCAGGTGGCATTGGGGCAGCCCTCCTGGGAGCAGGGCTCTGCAAGGAAGGCAGACACAGAGGTCAGAGGTGGGAAAGCCTCCCTCCAGCAGGACCCACCTGTCTCCCACCTGGACCCTTCTCCTTTCCACTCACTGGTCTGGCGGGTGCTGTGTGGGTCCCCGGGGAGCAGAGCACAGGGCTGACCTCCATTCTGGGGTGGGTGGCACTGCCGCTGCCGTGTCACAGTGCCTCGGCATGGGGCAGAGCACACAGACCAGGGGGACCAGGAGCTCCATTTGCCGTCCACTGGGAAGGCAGGGAGGGCTGGGAGGTAGGCTCAGGCTCTCCCCATAACGCCCCTCCCCAGTGCCCTAGGCTGCTCACCTGGGCAGGCCACAGTGAAGCAGGCCTGAGACTGGTGCTCAGGGCCTGGGCAATGCTGCAACACGGGGACCCCGGGCAGGGAGCAGTGGCGGCTTCGGTCCTGCACTCCAGGCCCACAGGTCTCACTGCATGGCCCCCAGGGGCCCCAGGGACTCCAGGCCCCACATCCTTGCTCTTCTGGAGAGAGCCCCGCTTCTTCTGGCGAGGCACAGTCAGGCTGCCCATCACACACCTGAAGAACACAGCAGGGCCTATACAGCTCTGGCTGTACAGGTGCTCCGGTGTATCTGCTCTCACCTCACCCCACTGCCACACTCACCAGCTGGAAACCAATGCAGGAGCCATTAGGACAGGCATATTCTGGGCAGGGGACCCCTGTCCTGTTGGGGCCTCCAAGGGCTGGCAGTGCCGCTAGGGAGGAAAAGAGAAAAACAGTCCCAGATGGGTCCTGCCAGGACCACACAACCATGCTTCTCCCCCTTCCTGCCCTATGGAAACAAAGTGTCCATACCACAGCCCTGTTCGTCCTCTCCTTGGGGACAGTCAAGGGTCCCATCACAGCGCTGTGAAATCTTCAGACACAGCCAGGGAGCTGAGCCGCAGGGGACGAGGCCAGGGCACGGGGGCAGCCCCGTGGAGCCTGTGGGCACCGCGGGAGGGGTGCTGCTTACAGCCCACTCTGGAAAGAGGAGCTGGGGTGGGGGAGTCGCAGAGGATGTAGCGGCTAGGTAGGCGGCTAGGTAGGGGAAGGCTCCTGTAGGGGTAGGCGGGCCGGCGGAGGGGGGACACATTCGCTAGCTCACGGAGTTCCACGCAGGCGTGTGGAAGAATGTGGGGAGAATGTGGGGAAGGGATGCGGGCCAAGGCAGGGGCCTTTTTCTTGCATGACCTAGCCTTCCATCCCACGCCCCAGGCTTGGGTGAGAGGGCAGAAAGGTGTCTAATGAAAAGCTTCGTGGGAGAACTCAGAGGAGCAGGGAAAACACCTGCACGCACTCCCTCCCTCCCACTCAGCCCTGGGGCGCCAGGGGCAATGGCAGGGATGCGCACTCGCCCGCGCGAGGGAAGGCACAGGCAGGGGTGCAGGGCAAGGCTCTCACCGCAGGCTGCAGGGCCCTCATCCGAGCCATCGGGACACTGCGGCACGCCGTCGCACAGCTGCCCCAGGGCCACGCAGTGAAAGCCGTGGGTACATGGCACGTGCTGTGGCGCGCAGGGCCGGCCGCAGTCCAGCTCGTCGCTGCCATCAGCGCAGTCCTCTTCCTGGTCGCAGCGCCAGCCCCGTGGGGTGCACTCGCCGCTGCTGCACGGGAACTCCCAGGGGCCGCAAGGTGGTGCTGCGCCGGGTACCCAAGTTAATCCTTGGCTGGAGTGGTCCTAGGCTCCCCAAGGTGGCTCTCACCTTCGGGGCGCCACCACTGCTCATTCCCTCCCTGCTCCAGACCCATCCTGGCCCTCACCTGAGTCAAGGGCATTACCCCCTCGCCCCCTCCCCAAGTTTAATCCCTCCTGGCTGCTCTTGAGGTCCTGGGCCTGAAGCATGCAGCATCCCCCTTGGCTTTGCTCCAAGCGAAGCCTTGAAGGCCAGCAGCTAAGCTTTGGGTTCTGTCAAGCCCTCCTCTCCCTTCTGATGATGCCCACGGTACCCTGCTCCTACTCCTACTCACCCCCGGGGCATCCCAGCCAATGTCTCCTCCCCCAGCAGCTCTCCCATCCTCTCCCACCTGGCCAGCCAGCTGCCAGACTTCAGGAAGACTCACCAGGGCTGCTGCTGGCCAAGGGACTTAACATAGTGGCCAAAGTGGAGGGGCCAGACAAGGTGCCAGGAAGGGGTATGGGCAGGGAGGGCAGGGGGCAGTGCCCAGGCCCCTCATCAGCTCCATCCGAGCAGTCCCAGACTCCATCACACAGCTGGAAGGTTGGCACGCAGATGCCATCGGCACAGGACACCTCTCCGGGCAGGCAGTCCCCTTGCCCTGCAGCCAGAAGGGAGGAGCCGGTCCCAGGGCATTGCCCTCTGCCCTTGCTGTTCGGAACACACAGAGGGAGCCTGGCCAAGGAGGGGTGCAGACGAGACTGGGGCTTGTAAGGAGCTGGAGTGTGTGTGGGAGGGGTGTCGGGGTGTGTTGTGGTGTGTGGTGGGTAGAGCAGGTCACCTAGACATGACTCTTCATCAGCGGCATCCGGGCAGTCAGGGTGCCCATCACAGAGCAGCATGGGGGGCAAGCAGCGCCCATCAGCACAGGCCAGTGAGTCTGGGGGACATGGGCAACCTCGCTCGTCTGTGCCATCTCCACAGTCATCCTGCCCGTCGCAGAGCAAGGTCAGGGGCAGGCAGTGGCCAGAGCTACAGGTCACCTGGCCCTCGGTACAGCCTGGGGTGGCACAGCCTGGTGAGAAACAAGAGGAAGGGCTCGAGACAGTGTTGGAGGAGCCTGGAAGAGCAGAACACCCGAGCCACAGCCCACAGAGGCATAGGTGTTGGCAGTGCCAGCAGCGGGCAGCGGGGCGAAACCACCTGAACACACCTACTGCACCCCCCACCTGTCCTGGTAAGCTGATAACCTGTCTGTCATTGCCACACATAGCCTAGGACACTCACCCTCCTCATCAGACCCATCACCGCAGTCGTCCTGGTTGTCACAAAGCCATTCATAGGGCACACAGTGCCCACTGTCCCGGCACGGAGCCTCACCCTCTGCACAGCCAGGCATCGGCTCCTCACAGCGGGCACCGTCACCTCCACAGTGCCACTGGCTCTCCTGGCAGGTGCTGAGCACATGGTATGGTAGGGTTAGCCGCAGGCACGGCTCTGCCTGCCTGGGGATGGCGGAGAACAGGGCTCCTCTAGGCACCCCAGCCTGTCCTGCTTACCAATTCCCACAGTCCTTCTGCAGCACGGTCCCTGGAGGGAAGGAGCTGTCGCCCCACTCACAGGGACAGGCAGCTGGCTCCACGCAGCTTCCTCCTGAAATCAGAGGGCGCAGCATTCAGACCATGCTGGGCTCCTGGTCCGGCCCTGTCCCAGGGTCTTGGGGGGGTGGGGGAGCCTGTCCGGAGCAGCCCCTCTTTCCCTTCTTTGCCCCATTCTGTCCCTACACACCATGCAGCAGGGTCCCCTCTGGACAGAAGCAGCCCTCCACGCAGGTGACTGCCTGGCACTGCCACTCAGACTTGGGCTGGTGACCATGGCAGGTTGCGGGACATGTGGGGCCACAGGCTTCATACACCTGTCCACCTTCACATTGTAGCGCTGTGTGGAGAAGAGAAAAGTTTGGTTCTCAAGGGGCAAGGACACCGGATGCAAAGGTGCTGGGGGAGAGCTGGCTTAACACACAGGGAGCACGTGGGCTGGGGACACCTGCCCCAAGCAATCTGGAACACGTTGGCTCTGTGGGGGCAGCTATTGTCTATTTCATTCATCTACAAAAGTGGCTGGCACATGGCGCGCACGAAGCCCAGCCTGCCCTCGAGTACCCAGGAGACCCGTGGGCCGGAGGGGAGGGCTCACCACACAGCTCCTGACTGCGCCAGCGCACGTGGTGGCCGCGCCGCGCACATTCGTCTGCGTAAGTGGCAATTGCGGAACAGAGGCATTCGCAATCGCCTCCAGAATCACAGCTGTGGGAAGCGGGCAGTGTTCAGTCCAGCCCCCCTCAGCATCTCGCACCCCAACCTCTAGCTGCCCACCCCTCAGCAGGCCGGCGTTTCCTCACCCGCAGGCGTCGTAAACACACCACTCATAGTACTGCTGTGGTGCCACCTCCGAATGGCAGGGGGCGAAAAGCTGCTGCAGCAGCACCCCGCAGCGGGCCTCAGCCCAGGCGGCACGGTGGGCATTCACCTGCAGGCACACACGCAGGGGTCAGCAGCAGCGCCTGGCCTGCCGGAAGTCCTCCCCAGTCCTACGTTCTGGAATCTCCCCCATCTCTCTCCTGTCTTCCCTCCTGGGCTCACCGTGCAGGGGTGTGGGATCTCTCCTGGTTCGGGACACAGGGGACTGAGGCGCCAGGAGTGGGCGGCCAGCTCAGCTGTGGGTTCCAGCACTCCCTGGCGGCTCCGCAGGTCATTACCGGCATCCCCATCAAAGTCTCCGCACAATCCGGACACGCGCCCTCGGAACTGGGGAGACAGCTGCACCAGGACCCGGGTGCCTGGCAGCAGCAAGTGGACTAATGACCCTCCCTCACCCGGGCAGGGGTGGGAAGACCGAAGGTGTGCGGTCACCATCCCTGCCAACAGGAAGCGTAGTGTCTGCTGACCTGAGGACCAGATTGGCTGGAGGGGGAAGGAGTACATTTGGTTTTCTGATGGGAACCGGGATGGAAAGAAAGTAGAGAAATTATGTGCTTCCCTTACTTTCCCAAACACAGTTCTAGTTTTCAAATGCCAACTGCCTGTGGCTTGGTGGGGGCATGCCAGGAGATGTATTTGTATTTCCCTTTTCTAAAACTTAGGATTTTCTAAACTTCATTTTGCTGAGGCGATACTGTCTTTCAGGAGGCAGAAGGAGTTAGGAAAACATTTGAAAATGCTGACCACTTGCTTGGTCTGAGAGGTGAAGGCAGTGGCTAAGCTGGGGGGATGGAGCAGAGAGGCTAGGAGAGGGAGGAGTGGTCAGACTGGACGTCCGACTCCAGGGGGAGGGTGGGGTGCTCAACCCTGACTATGGAGCCCAATGGGCCAGGAAGAGGGGCAGGAGGGCAGCGGGCGGAGGTGGAGAGTTTGGGGAACTCCAGCCCAGAGCTGCTGAGGCTAAGCAGGAAACACTCAGGTGGGCAGGGAGCTGACCTCCATCCCAGAGCAGGGTAAGGCCCAGACGGGCTGACAGCAGCAGGAAGAGGCCGGCCCGGCGCAGGCTCAGCCCAGGACCTGTGTAGGTCTTGGGGGGTGTTACGTTCACCCCATTCACCGTCACTGCCCGGCCTGTGGAGGAGGAGGAGAGGCATTCAGGAATGGTCTTGCCTCTTCTCCCAGCTTCCTTGGGCCTCTCTGCCCACACAGCCCTGGCAGGGAGTTAGACTCTGCTGCGCCTAGAGTTTTTGCAGAGCTACAGGGCCCCACAGTGAGGGCAGGCCCCTGGCCCCCACAGCGGTGAGGGCAGCCAGGCCCAGTGAGGAGCCAGAAGTGGGCAACATGGGGAGCCCGGGAGCACCTCCCTCCCCTGCAGGTAGTGCAGCCACCTCGGAGCAGGTGCACAATGATGCTCTCCAGCCGCACAGTCAGGGACTTGGTGCAGGTGAGGCCACTGGTCCCACAGGGCAGGTTCTGGGCAGAGATGCTGAAGCGGCCACTGGCCTCTCTCACCAGCAGGTACTCACAGGCCCCGGGGAAGGTGAGGGCCAGTCCATCGAAGGTCACATAGTGAGGGGCGCCAGAGGCCTGGCACCGCCCACTGCACCGATGCCCCGTGCAGTGCCACTGCCGGCCCCGGCACACACTGTGGGCAAGGTGGGGCGATGTGTCACAGTCACTGAGAGGACCTGAGAGCTGCCCATGGGGCAACCTCAGCCAGGCTGTCAGTGTGGAGGGAGCCCAGAGGGTGACCAGGGCCTGGGCCAACTCAGGTATCCTACCCCACCCGCCATCAGTCTCTTCTCAAGGAGCATAGGGTGATGTTTGGGGGGCTTGGGACCACAGAGAGAGTCCCAGGCCTTGGGGGCTGGGCATACCAAACATTGCAGTCCTCCCGGATGGTGGCATTGGGTGGGTACCACTGCCCACTGTGCCGGCAAGGACAGAGATCGGGAGGCACGCAGCGGTCATCCTAGACAGAAGGTAGAGGGCAGAGAGCTGCCTGATGGCCCCGCTTCCTCTATGGGGACAACTAGGGCATCAAACAGTGCCCTGGCTTTGGGAAGGTCCCCCCTGCCACTCTTCCAGGCAGTGCCCTAGCTGCCCGCAGCCTCACCAGCAGCACAGTGCCTGGGGGACACACACAGCTGGCCGAGCTGCCCACAGGGCAGGAGTGGTTGGCGCTGGGGCTGTCACATGTGAGGAGGCAGGCACCAGGAGCATAGACCAGCGTTGGGGGACAGATGGCCCTCTGAGGGGGGCAGTGACGAGCTGTGCAGTTCCAGATGCCCCTGTCCTGGCATATGCTGCCGGAGTGGGAGACTCAAGTAAGAACCCAGGGCCCAGTGGGACCAGGTGAAGCTCAAGGCCCCCACCCTGGGGACCTAGTCATCTAGGCAAAAAGCCAATCCCTACACAGGAGACCAGAGCAGCTAACGCAACTCCCGGCAGCCACACTGGGAATAAACATTATCACTCCTCTCCCCAGCTGGACCATTCTCCGGGCAGAAATATGGAGCCCCACTACCCAGCCTGGGTAGGAGAGAAGTTTCACCTGCCATGCCGAGTTGCTGGTCCAACATTTGTCTTTCTGTCTCCCTAACAAGCCCTAGAGCCCATCTGAGCCTCAGCCTGCTCATCTACCACCTGGGGTCAACTCTGCCACCTCCTGCTGCAGCAGGTTACTCTAAGCATGTAAAATTCAGAAGCAGAGGGCCCAGCACGATAGCCCAATGGCTAAAGCCCTCGCCCTGCAGGTGCTAGAATCCCATATGGGTACCGGTACATGTCCCAGCTGCTCCACTTCCCTTCCAGCTCCCTGCTTGTGGCTTGGGAAAGCAGTAGATAATGGCCCAAAGCCTTGGGACCCTGCACCCACATGGGGGACCTGGAAGTAGCTCCTGGCTCCTGGCTTCGGATGGGCCCAGCTCCAGCCATTGTGGCCATGGCCACTTGGGAAGTGAACCAGTGGATGGAAGATCTTTCTGTCTCTTCTTCTCTCTGTATATCTGCCTTTCCAATAAAAATACATAAATCTTCAAAGAAAATTCCAAAGCAGAGGGTACTGGAGAGAGCTTTCTGACTGCCACCCCATGGCTACATTGCCCTACTTTCTTGCAAGCTCTATCCACTTCTTTACCCCATGCTGTCCTTAACAGCCATCACACTCACCAGTAGTTGCAGTCCTTCGTGGTGACACTTCCAGGTGCATAGCGGTGGGCTCCAAGCTGGCAGGAGCACAGGCTGGGGGGCACACACTGGCCCTCAGGGTCCCACAGTAGCCCTGGGGGGCAGTTACAACCAGCCACGCAACCCCCCAGCTCCCCACAGTCTGCTGGCTGGCCGCAGTGCAAGCCACACGTTGGGGCACACTCCTGGTACTCTTGGCCTGCAGGACACAGTACAGCTGGACACAGAGACATATGTGGGTCAGGGGCACAGTTAGTGCCAGTTCTGCTCTCACCCTCCCCTCATGCCTCAGCAAACCCTTAGGGTAAGAGGAGCTGGGAAGCGAGTTTAGAGGGAGCCTGGGTTGACGCTGGCTTGGCCCAGGGACTCACGGCATAGGGTTTGGTTCCTCCAGAGAGCAGGGGCACCCTCCTGGGCACAGCGGCGCGCATAGGCAGAAAGCACCGGACACAGGCAGTCCCTGCCAGGGGCACAGCCACACACGGCTGCCAAGCAGCGCAGCTGAAATGACTCCCTGTCCACTAGCCCGTGGCACTCCTAGGAGAGAGCAGGGAAGTGGGTCAGCTCCTCCTCCACAGATTCCCCCACCCTTCCAGCCCCTGCTGTGCCCTCCCGGTCCTCAGCAGCACCATTATACAGTTCCATCTCCCTTTGTCTTCCCCAAAGCCCCGGAGCAGGGGAAGGTGTTTCCATCTTATAGGTGTGATAGGAGCCCACGCTGGTTACCTGAAAGGGTGGGCCTTGCAGGATGGCACAGGCCGCCTCCGCAAAAGCATGACGCTGGGAGTGGACGCTGCAGGGGGAAAGGAGGGCAGTGTCCCCTGGGGAGCACCCTGCCTTGCCAGGCACCTGGAACTTGCTAACGAAGGCAGCAATGCTGGTTTCCACATCCCCCGCAGGGGTCAGGAAGTCATCCTGCTGGTTCCAGGTGAAGGTGCCACACAGCCCCTGCACCTGGGCCACAGGAGTGCATGGAAGATGGTCACATCTGGTGCCAGAGTGGCTTTGCCCTGCCACACACCCACCTCCTCAGCACACCTGATGGGCAAGGCGGGGGTCCAGGGTGATGTAGGCTGCCGGGTCGCCTACTCCCCACAGGATTTGAACCCCGGGCCAGCGCAGCAGCAAGAAGGTGGAGGAGGCATGAGAGACGCTGAGCCCCTGGGCACCCATCCAGGGCAAGGGCACATCTTGCCCATCAACCAGCACAGCTCCTGGAACAGGGAGCCTGATGAGGGGACCCAGGGACTGGGTGCAAGTACGGGGCTGCTGGAAGGGAAAGAACTTGGGTGGGCTGGGGTAGGGCCAGTGGGGCTGCCAGGCACAGCTAAAGTGAGCCCTAGAGGTCTCCAACCCATCTGAGCCCCGCTTCTCCAGCATCCATGGTCCCTTTGCTATTGAGCTCAGAACATGAGAGAAGCATAGGCAGACCCAGGGGGAGAGTGCCTGCCTGGCCTGGTCATGCCTCCAGAACTCCTGTGAATGTGTGACTTGTATTTTCCTCAAGGACAGGTCAGTGGACACCATAGAAAATTTCCCCAGGATCCTGTGTCTACCTCAAACATGGAAGACTGGGGGAAGTTGAGGCAGGGGATGGTATCAGACCCCAATAGCGCTGTTAGGCAGTGTGAAGAGAAGAGCTGAGCGGGAGCAGAGGTGGCAGGAGGCCCGGGGAGTGACCCGTGGAGGCAGGCCCGAGGTTACCTGAGTCCCTGAGCTGGACCCGGAGGTCCCCCAGAGAGACAGACAGGGCGTGAAGGCAGCTCCCCGAGTCACAGGCCCCGTGCTCAAGCGTCACCAGCATCCGCCCCTTCACATAGTCCTGGGGGACAGGAGTAGGATCTTCAGGGTCCCTTGGGAGGCCTCCATGGACCTTCTCTGCAGAATTCCCTCCTCACGGCCAGGGGCAGCTCCCACCCAGGCCCTGTGCTGTGCCAGCCCTGTCTCCTGGCCAGTCAGGTTCTTAGGGTGCAGGGGGAGGGGAAGGCCTGACCCTGGCCAAGGGCTGGCACATCTTGTACACGTGTATGGTCCCATGCAGGTGTGTGTGTGTGGTGTGTATGCAATGTGTGTGTACACACGTCTTTGTGTGCATTGGGAAGGGGGCAGGTGCCCCTCCCGTCCCCAGGCAGGCCTTGGACCACTCTCCCTGGAGATCCCCATCTCAAAGCAGTAGTGGAGGACAAGGAAAGAAGTGGGAGCTGTCCAGTAGCTGGATGGAGAGGCAGTTGACAGGACGTGAACGTATGGGACAGAATGGGGCCTGCACCTGAACTTGGGAGATGACCTGAGTGTGCTGGGAGAGGGCTGGTGTGGTTGTCTTGCCTGAAGTGGCCTGCGATGAGCCCAGCCTCTCCCGTCTGTGAGAGAGGGATGTGGGCACAGTTTGAATTTGAGGCAGAGATGACAAGGATGGGGAGGGAGACTCTCCTGGGGGGCCCAAGGAGCACCAGCTCCTCCCAGCCCTGGGTCTCATGCAGCCTTTCCTTGCAATCACCCCTCATCCCCCAGGATAGGCCCAGCCCTGGCAAGATGCCCCCTTCCCAGACTGTGTCCCCTGCTCACGTGCACCAGGTGGTAGTGGCACCCCAGGCCACCTTGGAAAGAGAAGCTCCGCCCATCCAAGGTGAGGTAGTGGCCATCCCCGCCCACTGCACACTCAGCAGGGCACCGAGCCTGGGCACAGTGCCAGAGGCCATCCTGGCACACACTGTGGGCACACAGAGTGGAACAGTGCTATGCGACATCAGTTGAATGGAGAGGGCATCCTTCCCAAGCCCCGCTCCTCGCCGGGTCTCTTGTCTTCCCTGAACTGTCCTGGAAGGGGCACAGGGTACTAGCTAGGTCTCTGAGTATGGCTACTAGCCATGCCAGGGGAGGCCCTTGCAGTAGGTTGCCTAGCTGGGGGCAGAAGTGGAGGCACAGGTTGCAGACATAGCACAAAGGTGGGGCACAGAGGGAACCACGCAGCCAGCACCCTCAGCAAGGCCTGGGGACCCACCACAGGTTACACAGCTGGCGCACAGTATCACCAGGGCCATAGCGCTGGCGCCGATGGTAGCAGGGGCAGCGGGCAGCAGGCACACAGAGGGCACCATCCCAGAAGAGGCCGGCTGGGCACTCACAGCCGCTCACACACTCTTCTCGGCAGGACCCCTCCTCGGCCTCGCCCACTGCTGAGCAGCTGCGCGGGCACGAGGAGACACAGTCCGAGTAGATCTGGCCTCCAGGGCACAGGCGCTCTGTGGACACAGACACGGGCTGTGAGTGGGCAGCTGTCCTCTGCTGGACTTCGCCCCAAGGAGCTGGGAGGTTCCCCGGTCAGTTCCATAGGGCGGGAAGGCCTGTGTGGTACCACAGAAGCCGGGCTGCCTCCAGTGTACATAAACACGCTGCTTTGCACAGGCCTGGGCGTAGGCAGTGAAGGTGGCACACACAGCCTCCCGCCGCCCCTCGCGATCGCTGTCCTCCGCGGCCCCTGCGCAGTAGGCAAAGAGGCAGGCTTCGTGGTACTCATCTGGGGGAACCTGAGGAGAAAGGACAGGCCTTGTCGCTGGCACCTGCTGCCTCTGCTTCTATCACCCCCCAGCCCCCCAGGTAATAAGTAGACAGAACAGGTGCTGGAAAAGAGAGACCCTGTATATGAGCCAGCGTACACCCCAGAGCTGAGAGCATAGAGCGACCTGGCTTGAATAACAGCCTGAAGCATTCTAGTGGCAGGACCAGACACCTCCATGGCACTGCCCACCAGTCTTCTAAGCCAGATACCGCTTCCACTGACATCCATACCTGGACATGGCACTGCCAGAACGGACTGTCCAGCAACGGATGACACAAGTCCTGGGCTTCAGCATGCAGCTGCCCAGGGTCCACGCTTGCCTCCGCGTCCCTCAGGGGGCCTTCACAGCCCTGGGATGCCTCCACTGCATCTAGACACCCAGGCTAGAGACAAAGAGAAGCAAGCCACATGGTAGCAGTGTGAGAGGTTCCTAGGACACCAGGAGGCTGACCCCTGTCCTTGAATCCACTTCTAGGGCCTACTGTGGTGCCCATCAAGGGTGGTAGAGGGCAGCAGAATGCCCCCCCTGCAGTGGGAAGATAGAGCACTTAGGCCACAGGGAGCCCACGGGCAGGAGGTCTGGTGAACAGGTGTGTGTCCCCATGGTCAGCTCACAGCAGGGAGCTGTAGGCTTCCCCCTTCTCTCCAAGAATCTGGAAGAGGCCAGTGATGGACAAAGAACAAAGGACAGAGGACAGCGCCCAGGAGGGCAGGCTCACCTCGGAGTCCGGGAGCTTCCAGGAATTGCCGAAGGTAGCCGCCAACAGGGCCAGTCCCCCGCCTGGCTCCACAAAGTCATCTGAGGACAGGTAAGGCAGGGGTATGGTCTCTGAGGTCTCCAATGTCTTCCCCTCTCCTATGCCAACCACCTAGCCACACGCCCACTTACCTTCAGGCTGGCCGTTGTAGAGCCCACAGAGGCCCTGTGTGTGTCCCCAGAGCTCGTGGTCCACCGAGATGGAGACCATGCTGGACTTGTCCAGTCGCACCACGACCCCCAGACCTCCTGCCAGCACCAGCCAGTCCCCCTGCCACTGCAGGCTCAACCCTGGGCAACAGGAAGGTGTCACTCGGCCTCCCCCTCCCCACCTCCACCGTGGGGCTCTAGCAGGCCAAGGGAAGGGCAGGGGAGAAGAAACTCAACACACTGGAGAACTCTGCACATCATCTCTCTCACACACACGTACACAAAGACACACACAAGTACACGTAGGTATATACAGGCACACATACAGACACACACCCTGGAGATGTCTGAATGTCATCATACACACACAGAGGGGCACGCAGGTACACATGTGCACTCACAGGAACACATACAAGTATGCACAGGTACACACACGCTGGAGATCTCTGCACGTCATACACACAGACACATGCAAGAACACATGTGTGCATACAGTTACACACACACAGGTACATACAGGCACAGGGAAGCCTACACCACCTCACCCCTGGGATCCAAGCTAGCACAAAGCTTCCGGCACGACTACCCCAAAGCCCTCCCTGATGACACTCAAGGCAACTGAGGCCTAGAGCTGTGGAGCTCAGGGACTTGCCAGGCCACTTTCTGAGGGAGTTAGTGGGGAAGGGTAAGTCCTCTCCCATCACCAGTGGGAAGAGGGCAGAGACTCCGTCCTAAGCTGACCTCAGTTGCTGGGCAGCTGACCCAGAGGGGCAAGTAGGGCGCTGGGCAGGCTGTTGCTCTCACCATGGAGCAGCCGAGACTCCCCCTCGGGGACAACCTGCCCATCCACAGAGACACTGCCACCCTGGATCAGCACCTCCTCGGGGCCCATTGCCACACGGACCTGGTAAGATAGGGATGGGGGTGGGGGATGCAGAGTGCAAAGCCATCAGAGGCTCACCTCCCCTGTCCTGCCCCTCCCTGGGGTTGCCCACCTCACCAGCTGACAAGGCCCAGGCTGGCGACAGTGGCCCCCAGGTCTCAGGTGGACAGCCCAGCTGGAATCAGTCATGCCTGCCAGCAGATACGTGCAGTGGCCCAGGAAGTGGTAGTGGCGCCCATCAAAGGTATGGAAGTGGAAGCCTGACCAGGTGCTGCAGGTGGCTGAGGGACGCTGGTGCTGGCTCCAGAGTTGGCCCACGGCCCCTGCCAGGGGCTGCAGGAGGGCACGGGAGGAGGTGTTGCCTGGCCAAATACATGAGTTGTTGGACCTCCACAGAGGCGCAGAAGGCCAAGAACTGAAGGAGGGCATATCAACCCAAGCAGAGCAGGGAGCTTGGGGGCACAGGGGAGCAGCCAGGGCCCTGACATAGGCCCAGAGTGCCACAGCTCTCTGTGGGGTGATGGCTGCAATGGTACCGGGTTGGCAGGCAGGGGGCTGTGCACCCACCTGGGAGGTACAGGCTGGAGCAGCTGAGGCAGGTCTGGGAGCTGCCGTTCCACCAGCTGTGTCCCCAGGGCTGGGCACAACACTCTTCCAGGCTGCCTGCTGAAGCATTCGCTGAGCCTGCCTGCAGCTGGCAATGCCAGGTGGCAAAGCAGTGGCTGACAATGCTGGCTTTGGCAACGACCGTGGTGGCTAGAAGAGAGAATGAGGCATGGAAGTGGCTGGAACGCTCAGCTCTGAGCTGGGGCAACCTCCCTGCTTAGGCAGCCGGCACCGCTCCTGAACCTACAGCTGTGGGGTCCCTTCCACTTCCCAGGGACCCCAGGGTGCTCAGGTACTCACCCTCAGTACACTGGGTGCCACCCCAGCCTGGGCAGCATGCCCTCACTGTGCGGTTCCACGTGGTAGGCCGGGTTTCCGGGGGCCTGAACGCACCGAGTAGGTAGGCATGGGGAGAGGCATTAGTGTCCAGTCTAGTCACAGCACAGGAAAGGGCTGGGGACATCTGTGCCAGCCATCTATTCTGCGAAGGGCCTTATCACGCTCTGTCCCTTTATGGTCTTAATATCCTCAAGTACGGTGAAAATGAACTTGAGAAGCAGTGGGACGGGAGAAGAGGGGCAGGCAGAGGGAGTGGGTGTTGTGCTCTTGCTGCTCTGCCCACTGGTGGTGCCCACTCATTGACCACTGCAAGCTCACAGGCCCTGCCCCCCTCCCCTGGGTCCACCCAGGACCTGTTTCCCAAATGCCTACTTCTGCCAGGCCCTCCCCAGTCCTCCCTCCCCCGGTCTCAGGATGTCCGGCTGTCATCCTTTCCTGCCCAGCCGACAGCACAGGCTCCGACCCTCACTCACTTGTAGATGGGACAGAGTCCTGTGTGGCCGCTCCGGGGCCGGGCCAGTCGCCAGCCGAGGCGATTGTAGTGGTAGAGACTGGTGCAAGGTACCAGGTCCTCCTGGCGAGGAGCCACTTCCTCTTCCACATGGATCGTCTCCGTCCATTCACACCACCGCCTACCCAAGGAGAGGGAACCACAGCTGTGCCCTTGGCCTCCGTGAAGCCTTTTCCTTGACCCTACTCCCATCCAGAGGAGCTCACTTCAGGAGGGGTGGCCAAGGTTGGAAGAAGAAACCATGGGGAAGGGTGCCCAGTGCCCTGTGCCGCCTTTGGCACAGGGTAACAGCAGGAATGTCTCAGTGGACAGGACCCAGGGTGGGCTGCTTACCCATTAGCCAGTGCCCAGACCATCCCAAAAAAGACAGGGAGCAGCATGCTGTCCCTGGAGATGAGGCCTGGCTGGGAAGAGGGTCTCAGAGGGGGCGCTGCATCCCTGCCCCAGGGGCAGCCTGTCCCAGGCAACCAAGTGAGCCAGGCCCTTGGGGCTGGGTGGTTTTATCCAGGCCTCAGTGCCCAGAGTACCAGCTGGCAGGAACCGGATTGGTCAGGGCCTCATCACCCTTTTAGGGCCAGCTCCCAGGTAACAATCCCCCAGCCGGTGTCTGACATTTGCATATCCTCAAACACCACTAGGGATTAGCCACGGGGGGCTTAGGATCAGCCTCCTTCCCTTCCTGGGCTACAGGTCTCCCCCAGCAAAACTTTCAGGGACTTCCCAGGGATGCACCTGTGGGCCGTGGGGACTCCACAACTGCTTTGAAAGCGCGTGTGTGTGCTTGTTTCCTGAAGACCAAACCACACGCTTCACTACCCTGTGCAGCCATGCACACACAAGATCGGGTCTGGGATAACCTCAGATGAAGTTTCTTTGAGAATCCCTCCAACTGAACTGCTGCACTCAGAACCCCAATCACGAAGTGCAGGTTCCATGGTCTGACGTGGAGTGCATGTGTCAAAGCTGAGCCTCCTCAGAGGCTCAGATGGAGCAGTGGACAGCATATCCAGGTGCACGTGGAGGATATGGCAGTCCATTGGAACCTGCAGAGGACACCTGGTACCACAACAGAGGACAGAACAAATCAATCAACTACCCCAGTCATATGTCAGCAGTGAAAATCTGGGCAAACGGAGACTCTAAGCCACTGGATTCTGGAGAGATTTCATCGTGCTTGGAATGGCAGGACTAGCAGCAGCAATTCAGAACTGTTGAACTATCAAAACCACCTGAGCAGGGCCCTCTGAGCATGCACCCACATCGGGGACCCTGGGATGGGTGGGAGGCCAGGTGGGGCTTCTCCTTTGTCTCTTCCTTTACCCCAGATACAGGAAAAAGAAAAAACAAACAAACAAAAAACAAAGAGAGAGAAAGAGAATGTGGAAACAAGGGTCTTACCCACTTTCTTGTAGCCCTTGACCTTCTGTGCCCTAATCAACTATGCAAAGATGATCAAAATTAAATAATAATGAAAAAAAAAAAAAGAAAGGCGTGTGTGTACTTGTTTCCTGAGGACCCAGCCATATTCTTCAGTGGCTTCTGAAGGCTGGCCTAACCTCCAGAAACAAGGTTACTGGGCTCAATGACCCATGGATTTCCCAGCTCTACAGTCCTGGCCTTGTGGGGGTCCTCATTATTTTCCCACCTCCACACTCCTGAGCAGGCACGCAAGGAGTGAAAGCTACTGAGTAGAAGCAACAAAAGTTTCCAGGGTAGTTGGAATTCTCCTGGTGACAGGTGGCCCACCTGCACCCTCTCCTCCAGGGACATGACCAGGGAGGGTGCCTGGATGGGCAGTGTGAGGGCAGGGAGCAGAGCTGAGCCAGGCAGGGGGAGGGGGCTGAGCCGGACAGGCTAATCCCAGGGTCCTGTTAGAAGGGGGCAGTCCCAGAGGAATCCTGGTTACATCCTGGTTACCAGCACAGCTCCCAGGCTGGAATGCGTTCTGAACCTCAGGCGTCCCCATCTATTCAGCCGGATACACCACTGTGCCTGCTGCCCAGTCGTCCCACACGGAGGGAGGGAGGAGGCTGCCAGAACCCAAGCCAAGGTTAAGCGCGTCCTTGCCTGTGTCCACCACTGGTCCCATGATCAAAAAGATCAGGAAGCTTCCAAAGCGTTTGAAACCCAGGGGTCTGGCACTGGCCACCCTTGTGCTCAGCCTCACTTACTCTCAATCCAGGCTGACAAACGTGGACACGCCCCATGTCTGCCAAGGACAGGCACAGATGCTCACAGCACCTGCCCCTCCTGGAGGAGGAAGCCTGCTAAGTCAGACTTAGTAAACATTTCACGGGGATCCTGAGGGTGTCCCTGCCCTGGGCCAGTCTGGGGTCACTACAGGGATGCAGAGACCAGGAGTGGTAGCTCTCCCACCTCTCCTTCTCAGTGTCCCAACTCTGCTTTCCAACTGCCCTCCTTTCTCCCTAAAGGGCCAGAACCCAGGAGGGGAAGCCTAGAATGCGACTTCTGCTGTAGCCACTGAAGTGGGCAGGGTGAGTGGGTCTGGCCTCCCAGGAGCCCGTCCCCTGGGTCCGGGGCAGCCTCTACACTTAACTGCAGGTGCCCTGCAGGCCACAGGTGGCCCGCTAGCAGGACTCCCCACTCCGAAGCCCCTCTCTGCCCCTCCCACGGGTCCCGCCCTCGGAGGCCCCGCCCGGGCCTTCCCCCACAGGACCTGGCTGCACGCCAACAGCAAGTTGGAAGGGCCCGGGAGGCACAGCCCTCTCCCCTTTGGCATCACCCGCCGCGGGCTTTGGGTCGAGTCTGCGACTGGAGGGTGTGGGCTTGGCTGGGTTCGGGGTTCATCCGTGTGGCGGGCGGGGACAGGCGGGTCCTCGTAACTCTCACACGACCCCCCCCTCCCAACACGTCCCCTTGGCCCCCTACTTCTCGCCGCTCCCCGCCCGAGCTCCACCTTTCCCCGGCTCCTCCCTCGCGGCGCCGAGCACCCTCCCTCGCAGCCCCGGTGCCCTTCCTCCGGAGCCTGCTCTCCCTCCTCCCGGCTCCGGTCCTGAGCTCCCACTTTCCGTCACCTACTCCCGGGCGCCGTACCTCTCCCGACCATCACCTGCAAACCCTAACCCCGCGACCCCACTCCGGAGGACACCCCCGCCCCGCCTGCAGCCCCCGGGACTCCCCGCCCGCTTCCTCCCCGCGCCCTCTCCCTCCGCCGTCTTCCCCTCTCCCCTCCCCGCTAAGTTTCGGGGCTGTCAGTCCGTCCGTCTTTCGGCCAGTCTGCACCCGAGCAGCAGGCAGCGGGCGCCATTGTGAGCAGAGCCGGCTAGGGTAGGAGGCCGGGGCGCCTGGGTCCCCACCGCGAGCAAGCGGGTAAAGCGTCCGGCCGGCCAGGTAAGGGCCGGGGAGGCTCCCGGCTGCCGGCGGCTCCGCCCCGCTTCCCGAGCAGAGGAGCGACGCTCTGGGTGCAGGTGACAGCCCGGGGGCAGGGGCGCGGGCGGCGGGGGAGGGGCGCGGGCAGGGGTTGGGACCTGGGGAGGGAGGGCGGGGCGCGCAGGGTGCGCAGCGGTGGAGAGGGAACGGGGACCCCGGGGGCAGGGCGGGGAGGGGGGCGGGTGGGACAAGGGTGGGAGGGTCGGGGGTAGGGGGATGAGTGGGAGGGGGTCGAAGGGGACCCGGAGGAGGAGGAGGTGGCGCGGCACCCCGGGCCGCTGGGGAGGGGCCGGAGAGCAGGGCGCTTGACAGGTGAGCCCAAGCCGGGGAAGGCGCCGGGACCTGGAGTGTCGGTGGGGGACGCACGGAGGCGGCGGGCGACGGCGAGAGAAACTTGGGAGGGGGGATGAGAAGTCGGGGTGTGTGTGTGTGTGCAGGGGGAGCAGAGATCGGCACGGGGGCGCCGCCGAGGGGGAGGCGTCTCCAGGAGCCTGGGGTACCGCGGGAGGCGGGCTGGGGAGGGGCAGGGCTGGTGAGAAGGTGCGGGCGAGCCGGGACCGACCCGCGACCCCCAGCCTCGGGGAGGGGCCGGGGCGCGGAGAGCCGGGGCGCGGGCTGCAAGGGGGAGGGGAGGGGAGGGAAGCGCGGCGAGAGCCTGCCGGGGAAGCAGGGGGGAAGGGAGGCGGGGGCCGCGGAGGGGAAGGAGAGCTGCAGGAGGGAGGGAGGCCGGGAGGAGGACGGGCTGGGGAGGGGAGAGGCGGGAGCCGGGGTGCGGGGAGGGAAGGAGAAGGAAGAGAAACCCGAGCGGGGGAGGAAGAGGGGGAAGGGGAGGGGACAGTGAGGTGGGGGAGAGGAGCTGCGAGGGGGCGGGCGGGCGGCGGGGAGGAAGGAAAAGAGGAGGGGGGAGGAAGGGAGGGGGCTGGAGCGGGAGGGACCCCCCTCCACTCCCCAGCCTGGGCCGGGGGGCGGGGAGCGCGGCCGCCGAGGATGCCCCGAGTGGAGGGTCAGGGGAGGCGGCGGCCGCCGAGGGCCAACCGGAGGGGGCTGGCGGGCGGAGCGGGGGTGGGACCGGGGAGGAGCTCCGGGGAGAGAGGGCGGAAGGCGGAGGGCGAGGGGAGGATGGAGGGAGAGCTGCCTGGGCGAGGGGGGAGGGCGAGGACGGGCGTGGAGACCTAGAGCAGCCCAGAGGGCGCGGGGGATGGGTTCTAGGGAGGAGTTTAGGGAAGACGCCACAGCCCTGTCCTACTTCTGCAAGGACCCTTCCCCCCCTACCAGGGGTTCTCCCAGCGGGGGACCTAAAGTGACACTCCTTCCCCGCCCCTGGCTGGCTCGGGTTTCACCAACTCCCCGCAGTGACAGCTGCAGGGCCTAGGAGATGAAGTTTCCCACCACCCACCCTGGTCGCCCACCCTTCAGCGTCTCCCCAGAGCATCTAATGAGCCTTGCACATCTCCAGGCGAAGGCGCCCAAGGTGTAGGGGTGGAGGCGCCCCCCCTGCGAAGGCGCCCAAGGTGCAGGGGTGGAGGCACCCCCAGAAGAAGGCCCCCAAATGCGGAGGGGGGGTGGAAGCGCCCCAGGCGAAGGCCCCCAGGGTATAGGGGTGGAGGCCCCCCAGGCCCCAGGTGTAGGTGGAGCCCCCCAGCAAGGCCCAGGGTATGGTGAAGCCCCCCAGGCAAAGGCCCCAAGGTGCAGGGGTGGAAGCGCCCCGGGTGAAGGCCAAATGCGGGGTGGGGTGGGGTGGGGTGGAGGGGCCAGTGGTCTGAGACTGGCTCTGCCACCTGCCAGTTGAGGGCAGCTGGGGGCTGCTGCTCGCCGGTGCTGAACCCAAGCTAGCAGAAGTGGTTTTTCAAGGCCTTCCTCTTGGGTCGGCCTCGGTGTTTTCAAGGTGGTTTTTCCTTCTGCAGGCCATCCCAGCCTGCCCCCTCCTCCAGCTGTGCCTCGAGACACACCTTTCAGGGGAGAGCTGCTGGGGTAGAGGAGGGGCAGGGCCAGGGCGCATGTGGAGGCTGGCATAAGAAGACTGAAGATGGCTCTTCTTCTCTTAGGGTCTGTGGCCTGATCCCCAGGAGGAGCTGCTCTGGGTTGCCATGAGGGAGACCTTGGAGGCCCTCAACTCCCTGGGTGAGGGGGCTGAATGGGGGGGGAGGGGAAGCAGGGCGTGGGGACCCCCAGAGCGTGGGAGCCTGAAACCCCGAGACCCCGAGGAACTCCCCAGGAAGAGGACTGGGGGGCTGTGGGACTAGCACCCCTCTCCCCACTCCATCATGTACATTCCACATCTTCCTTCTGTGCTGCTGAGGGTGCGCAAGGCCAGCCTGCTAGGGGGCCTGGGCTGATCCTGGTCCCTGCTGACAGGAGACCCCATCCTTTAAGTGTTGGGGAAAGCCCCTGGGGCTGGCTGGGCAGGCAGAGTCTGCACCCCTGACCGACTGTCTGTGTGTGCAACAGGCTTTTCTGTGGGTCAGCCGGAGTTGGCCCCCCAGAGTGAGCCCAGGGAGGGGTCCTCCAAAGCCCCGGAGCAGCCAGCCTCTTCCAGGGAAGAGCAGACCCTGGGCGTGCACCCAGGTAAGGTGGGGACAGGGACAGGGGAGGGGGGCTCAGAGAGCAGCAACCCCAGACCCCTGCCCTCTGGGAGCTTACCTCTCATGAGTGCATAGTCAACACACTGCAATTACAGTAAACACATGTATAAGCTGTGTGAGAACATGGGACATCCTGTGCAGGGGGAAGACTGAAGCTGTTGCCAGGGAGGAGGGGAGGGGCAGAAGGGAGGGACCCTGCAGGCTGGAGAAGGTGAGCTGAGTGGGGATTTGACCAGGAGCAGGGAGGAGCTTCTAGCAGGAGAGATTTCACAGCGCCTCAGGTAGGAGCTCTGCCCGGCCCTTCCCACCTGATTTCCCATGAACTAAAGGGGGACCTTGGAGGAGGAGTCCCCGGCCCTGCTTCTTGGAGCCTCAGGCTGGCACTGCTTCACACTTACATATTCTGGAAACTTCAGCGGCTTTCTGCATCTGTACAACCTCAGCAGGTGCTGGGCTTGAGGGAGTCTGAGGCTGCCCCAGGCAGGTATCACATGCCAGCTGACTTGGGGGCTTCTTAGCACGGTGGGGCCCCTCACCCATCTCTAGTGCTTCCAGTATCCCTGAAGTACCCTGTTCTCTGCCAGGACCCGAAGCTCCCAGACCCGAGGAGGGGGCTCACACTGAACAAGCTGAGACTTCCTGCCTTGGAGGCCAGCTGTGCCCACCCCAGAAGACTGAGCCCATGGGCTCCTGCCCAGGTGAGTTGTTCCCCTCCGTGCGTTCCCCCAGGGGCTCTAGCAAGCTCAGGGCTGAAGTGGATCACCCCTGGACACAGCCATTCCCAGCCAAGGGGAATTCAGGCCCTGGCACCATTCTGCTGATCCCAAAGGAGATTTCACATTTGTGGACATGGGGAATCAGAGGGGCAGACCACCCCCAAGAGAAATGTACCCTCACCCCAGACCCCCTTCAGAAGTCCTCATGCCCCCTCTTCATCTCTTTCGGTCCAAATTCATGTTTGCTCAGCAGCTGTCATGAAGACAAAAGGTGTTATGGATCAGCCTTTCCCATCTGTGCCTTCCTGCCAACACCCACTGATCTAGAACGATCCAAAGTCTGTTGTATTCAACTCGTCACCCCCTCCCAAGGCTTTCAGATCACTGTTTCTCACTCCCCAACCCCATGTGTCACCTCTCTCCCCCAGCACAGTTCTTGTCCCTCTTGCCTGAGTGATGTCACATATCCAATGGGCTGTCTACAGTATACAGACATTTAGGAAGTATGGGATGAGATGGCCTAGTTTGAATTCTTGTCCCACATCTCCCAGCTAAGTGCTCTCTGGTAGGCTGTATTGCCTTCTGGTGTTTTGCTTTCTTCAATGTCTTGGTTACGAAGGTTGGCATCAGGGTGTGTCCAGGGCTTGATCTGTAGTGAATGCTCAACAAATAGTGGCAATTCTCACACTCATGACATGATCAAGACAGATGCTGTTGGAATGCAAACTGTCTGTGCTCAGAAGCTAAAATTTAGCTGAGATGACACTCATAGGAATCGGGACAAGGAGAGGAACATTGCAAAGGCAGGTGACAAGTAAATATAATAGTGGCAATTCTCACACTCATGACATGATCAAGACAGATGCTGTTGGATTGCAAACTGTCTGTGCTCAGAAGCTAAAATTTAGCTGAGATGACACTCATAGGAATCGGGACAAGGAGAGGAACATTGCAAAGGCAGGTGACAAGTAAATATAACAGTGTTACTAGTAAATGACCTAGGAGTTTGTAGTAACACATCCTGGGCCCAGCCCAATGGCTGAGTTAGCTAATCCTCACATTGCAAGCATCAGCATCCCATATGGGCGCCAGTTAATGCCCCAGCTATTCCACTTCCCATCCAGCTCCCTGCCTGTGGCTTGGGAAAGTAGGAGAGCATGCCCAAAGCCTTAGGACCCTGCACCTGCATGGGAGACCCAGAAGAAGCTCCTAGCCTCTGGTTTCAGATTGACTCAGCTTTGTCCATTGTTGCCATTTGGGGAGTGAACCAGTTGGTGGAGCATCTTTCTCTTTGTCTCTCCTTCTCTCTATAAATCTTCCTTTCCAATGAAAATAAAGTAATTTTAAAATATGCATTGAATTTGTCAAAAATCTTGAATGTTTTTACATAAAAAAGATATATTTATTCATTTGAAAGGTAGAGTTACGGGGAGAGAGGGAGAGAAATCTTCTGCCTCCTGGTTCACTCCCCAAATGTCTACAGCGGCTAGAGCTGATCCGATTCAAAGCCAGGAGCCAGGAGCTTCTGGGTCTTCTACAATGGTGCAAGGGGCCCAAGGACTTGGCTGTCTTCTTCTGCTTTTTCCAGGTGCGTTAGCAGGGAGCTGGATGGGAAGTGGAGCAGCTGGAAATAGAACCAGTTCCCATATGGGATGTTGATCTGCAGGCGGTGGCTCGACGCACTGTGCCACAGTGTCAGGACCCCCCCCCCCCATGTCAATTTTTTGTATCGCATTTTGAAAAAGGTGGGCCCTTCAGCTCTGAGGAGAGGTGGGTGGAAGATGGGATGACATTCTAGGCTGAGACTTTTTCAGCAGGCAAGCTGACATGTGACAAGGTCAAAAGAGGAGCGAGGCTGTCATGAAAGGTTCACGTTTGAGACAAGCGAGAAAGTTGGACCAGGTTAAGGGTGAGCCTTGGATGCAGCAAAGTCTCTATTCTGTCAGGCTCTTCTGTGGCTCAGCTGGAGTTAGGATCTCGTGATAGTTCCAGAGTTGGAAACTAGCACAAACCGCAGTCTAAGTAGTAGACAGTTGATGGGAACCGGTGGATTGCCAGAAGTAAACTGGATGTAGGTGTCCTGGCGGCCGTCGGTGGGTAGGGTAGTCTCGCCCAGCAGGAAGTCACATGGTCACCTTGGGGGCTTTCAAGAAAGGGAACAGATTCCTGGGCCCTGCCCCCTGCGTTTTGTCCAAGTTATGCGGAAACTCAAGTCTACCTTTGGACGAGATTCCTCTAGAGGGCGCTCTCTGCCCCGCTGGGAGCTGACAGCCTGCGTGGGTTCCCCAAGTTGTGTCAAATTCAGCCTCCTTTCCTAAACTGTGGTTTCCCTTTGGGCTGTCTCAATAGGAAGGAAGGGAGTTGCTACGGGGACATGTTGGGGTGCTTGAGAGACAGCAGGAAGGACTAGAAGGATGCCCTGGCTGTCTGGCAGCTGGAGGTCAGGTGGAGAGCAGGAGAAGCCACCTGTTTGAGAGGTCAAGGTTCCAAGGGCATCGTGCTGGGGGAAGAAGGTCACAGTTTGGGCTCACAGCAGCCAGGGGAGGCTCGGGAATCAACCAATTGGGAGCAAAGAACACCTCCCCCCCCCCCCTCCGGGGAGACTGGTTTCAGAAAGGAAGGTCTTGGGGAGGTCCCCATAGAGGCGTGAGCCAGAGTGGCCATTAGGAGACCTGGTGAGCAGCATTCTTATTCAAGGGAAGCAGTGACTGCTAAGGAGGCTGGGAAGGCTTTTTAGTGAAGTGCAAGCCTGGGAGTAAAGCAGGTGTGTGTGTGTTGGGGGAGGATGGGCTGTCTCCAGTAATTCTGGCTGTAGAGACGATGGGAGGGGCGCCGAGAGAGGAGCTTGGGAATCTTGGCTCATTCCCAGGGGTATTGGGGTAAAAAGAGAAGAAAGCGGAAGCCGGACTGCCGGGCTCCAGGAAGTGGCAGCCAGTTGGTGAATACGTGTTGCAGCCTGGGGCCTGCTAGACTATTTCTGTTTTGTGTTTTCAGGGGAGGAGTGGATGATTCGGAAGGTCAAAGTCGAGGATGAGGAGCAGGAGGCCGAAGAGGAAGTGGAATGGCCCCAGCATCTGTCCTTACTGCCCAACCCGTTTCCTGCGCCTGACCTGGGTCACTTGGCGGCTGCATACAAACTGGAGCCAGGCACACCAGGGGCGTTGAGTGGGTTAGCCCTGGCCGGGTGGGCTCCGGTCGCGGAGAAGCCCTACGGCTGCGGAGAGTGCGAGCGGCGCTTTCGGGACCAGCTGACGTTGCGGCTACACCAGAGGCTGCACCGGGGCGAGGGTCCCTGCGCCTGCCCGGACTGCGGGCGCAGCTTCACGCAGCGCACGCACATGCTGCTACACCAGCGCAGCCACCACGGCGAGCGACCCTTCCCGTGTTCTGAGTGCGACAAACGCTTCAGCAAGAAGGCGCACCTGACCCGCCACCTGCGCACCCACACGGGCGAGCGGCCCTACCCGTGTGCAGAGTGCGGTAAGCGCTTCAGTCAGAAGATACACCTGGGCTCCCACCAGAAGACCCACACGGGCGAGCGGCCCTTCCCTTGCACCGAGTGCGAGAAACGCTTTCGAAAGAAGACGCACTTGATTCGACACCAGCGCATCCACACGGGCGAGAGACCCTACCAGTGCGCCCAGTGCGCCCGCAGCTTCACACACAAGCAGCACTTGGTGCGGCACCAGAGGGTGCACGAGGCGGCCAGCAGGACCCAGCCTTCCCCCGAAGCTCCCGCCTCGCCCCATTCCCCTGCTGCATTACCCACCCCCTCCCCTCCGGGGCCCAGGCCTTTTGCTTGCTCCGACTGCGGCCTGAGTTTCGGCTGGAAAAAGAACCTCGCCACTCACCAGTGTCTGCATCGCAATGAGGGGCGTCCTTTTGGGTGTGAGGAGTGTGCGCTGGGCGCCTCGGTGGACCCTGCCACGACCGAGCCCCTGGCCTGTGCTCCCCGGGGTCCGGACTGTGCCCCCGGCTCGGGCCCCGCGGCTGCCCAGCGCGCACCTGCTAGCGACCGGTCCTTCTTCTGTTCCGACTGCGGCCGCGGCTTCGCTCACGGGCAGCACCTGGCGCGGCACCGGCGCGTGCACACTGGAGAACGACCCTTCGCCTGCGCCCAGTGTGGCCGTCGCTTCGGCTCCCGGCCCAACTTGGTCGCCCACGCCAGGGCGCATAGCGGGGCCAGGCCGTTCGCCTGTACGCAGTGTGGCCGCCGCTTCAGCCGCAAGTCGCACCTGGGCCGCCACCAGGCGGTACACACGGGCAGTCGCCCCCACGCCTGTGCCATTTGCGCCCGCAGCTTCAGCTCCAAAACCAACCTGATCCGCCACCAGGCGATCCACACAGGCTCGCGCCCCTTCCCGTGCCTGCAGTGTGGCAAGAGCTTCAGCCGCAAGACGCACCTGGTGCGGCACCAGCGCATCCACGGCGAAGCCACGCGCTCCTCCTCAGAAGCGGACCTCTCGGCCGCGGCCTGGCCCACGGCAACGGATGTGGGGCCTCCTCCAATCTTTTTCTGAGCCTGCTTCTTGCCAGGATCCTTTGTCTGGAGAGGTCCCCCCACTCCCCCCGCCGGGCTGTGAGCCCGAGGACCTGGGCTTGCTGCCTGATGCCTGAGACCCCCTGCCGGCCAGGGTAAGCAGTGGGCAAAGCCTGGCTCTGACCGTTCCTAGCGGATACCTGTGCACAGGGAACCCCTCCGGGAGCCATTCAAGCCTCAGGTCTTGGGAGAGTCCCACCCTGACACCCCCTCAGAAAAGCTGACAGTTTCCAGCACCCAGCATGGCCAAAGAAGGCATAGCCGGGGCTGTGCAGCCGGGGATATGGCTATTAACTGCAAGTGCCAGGAGCTTCTGGGTTGTCAGTAATGGGGGAAATGGGGAGATCCCTAACTCTGCTGTTCAGCTGCCTGTCCCCAAGCCCCACTGCCCTTTCTGTCTTAGCCAGTTGCTGTTGCTGACTGCTTGCGAATCAAAACGTAAAACATGAAACAGAGTGGCCGACCCTCAGTGAGGAGTTGTACAGGAAGAAGCTTGGAGAACTTTCCCTCGTGGCAGATGCAGCAGAGCAGCTGAAGGAAGTGCAGAGGGGGCAGGCTGCCCTTTGGCCATCCCCATGGAGACGGCACGCCAGCCTGGGCTCTGGACTCTGCGCAGCTCTGCTGAAGGGCTCTGGCGCGGCTGCCTCACCTGCTGCCGGTCTGGCAGCCAAGGGGAGGGGTCCAGACAGCAAGAGCAGGCCAAGGTCGCCTGCGCAGCTCACTTTCAAACTGAGAGCTGCATGAGCCAGGGTCCTGAGTGACTGCACTCTGTCAGCCTGGGCAGAGTCTGAGGATGCCCAGACAACTGGCAAAGAGCTAGGAAGGCCTGCAAAGGGCACAAGGGGGCAGAGGTGGGGATCGAAGGGGTTGAGTACTGGGTATCCCAGTGAGGGCAAGGGGAGGATGAGGGGGTAGGAAGGCTGGTCTGGGAATAAGCATTCTTGGGTCTGGTCCCTCTCCCTCCCTGCCTCATGGAGGACTTGAGCACAGCATCCATTTTTTCCGGGGTATCCACTTTCTAGAGTTGAAGTTGATGAGGCCTGAGACCCTGTCCCCTGGAGCACCACCAGCAGCAACAGTGACCTTCGCAAGTACGTGTTAGTTGCCTAGTCTGGGCCAGGTCCTTGCTGAGCCCTGGGCATAGCAGTAGGCAAGGCAAGAGGGCTTCTGGGCTGCAAGGGAAGTCACCTCTCAAGCTGGGAAAGGTCGAGGGGATTCTCATGGTGCAGACACGTCTAGGCTGAGGTCTGGAAAAAGGATGTGAGTGAGGACGGTGCGGTATGTATGCAGGCCCGTGGTGCCGTGAGGCCGGAACGAACAGCCAGTAGGACTGGAAGCCAGGGAAGTGGCCCAAGGACCAGCAACACCTGTGCTGGAGGAAGTGCAGCCTTGGGGGTTGCACAGCAGAGTTTAGGCGCGGCAGAATCTTGGCACCTCCACATAACCTTCAGATTCTGTGTATTCACACGCATGACCAGGAGGCCTGGCTCGAGGGAGTAAGGCTGGAAACCTGTATGTCAGGGGTCTGGTGGCCGTGGTGGCCTGGACCATGGTTGTGCAGAGGAGACGGACACCCTTGGGGCAGGTGGTGCTGGTCTTGTTGACAGTTGAGGGAAGCGGAGTAGGGGCAGTCAGTGGAGGCAGACAGACTTGTGCATGAATGAGCAGGTGGTGGTAGCATTCTGTGAGCTCGGTTACAGAGCCGAGGGAGCAGCGTTGGACCTGCCGGGCTGGCATGGCCAGTGTGTGACTGGCAGGAGGTGCAGAGCTCCCAGAACCCTGGGCTGGAGATAGGTGTGTGTGTGTGTGTGTGTGTGTGTGTGTGTGTGTGTGTGTGTCTAAAGCTCTGGGTTAGTGGACCATCTTCCCAAGCAGGTGTGTGCTGCTGGCAGAAGCAGGAGTCAGAACCCCTTGGGACCCCAACTTTTGGGAGTAGCATCGAGAGAAGCCTGTGGGCCAGGAGTGAACAGAAACACCTCCTGAGAGCCAGGGAAGGCCCTCTTGGACCGAGGGAGCAGCAGAAGGTTGTAGGGGCGTGTGTGAACTACGTACATCCACAGCCTTTGGATTCTGCAGTGGCCAGTCAATCTCGGAGTGGGTGGTGTTGATGGCAGTTGGGGTAGGATTTGGGGTGCAGAAGTGGATCACGAAAGGGGGAAATCCTAAAGCAGGTAGGAGACAATGCCTGCTGGCCACAGGTGAGGAGTGCCTGTTGAACAGGAAGCCTTTGTTACCACCAGCGGAGAAGAATGGGTACAGGTGAGTGTTTTAGTTTCATGGCCAACAGTGAGTCGGTGATTCCAGGCAGAGGTAGTGGGTGTGATCACATGACAGAAATAAGCCCACCCTACCCCCATGTTTTGTATATCTAGAGATTTCACATGGGCTTCTAGCTTCTCTTGTCAAAAGTCAGAAGATTTGGCAACCAGTGGCTGGACCCAAGCAGAGAAGTCCACCTCTAGGGTCCTCATGACTCCCCCCTGGGTTTAAACGCTCCCCTCTCCCCATCACAACCTCTCCCCATCACATCACTTGCTCTCTTAGACACTGAGTCTACAATCCCGGTGGAAAAGTAAATCTCCTCCCTTCTATAATTAAACACACGAAAGCGCCGTTTATGTTGGTTATCCCCATGTTTGCTTTCCGTAAACATTGTGGGACTCTTGCGTGAGCACAGCGTGCGGATCCTGCAGCAGATTGCATGAGCCCCGCCGTGTGCCAGACGCGTTGGAGATTTTGCATATTCTGGAAGATGCTCCACGAGGCAGCATATCCCTGTCCTTGGAGCTTGTTTGCAAAGAGTTATGCCCAGGGAGTCGCGAGCCTGGTGGTAATCCAGACGAGACATGGGTACGCCTGCCTCCAGAGGCAGGACTGTCCCCAGGAGGGCTTCTGGCCTCAGCCAGTGGTGGCTTTGCGGAGAGCGACATGGAAGTTCCCCCCCCCCCCCGTGCCACCTCAAGGGAGGGCTGCTGCATCCAGCCTTTTATTTCAGAACCACGTGTCATTATCTGAGAAGGTGGTCAGAAATAAAATTTGCTGTTAGAAAACGAAGGTTTTATTAGCTGACATGTATTCCCTTTTCCCTAACCTTGTTCTGACACGAAAATTGACCATAGTTGTTGGGTGTAGAAGACCCAGTGTGGATACCATTCCAGGAAAAAGAAAAAAAAAAATCTTTTGGCTCATGGTTTTCAAAGCCAGGAAGACCCAAAGCCAGGCTTGGGTGGCCACGTTTGGCCAGCGCCTCGTGCTGCTTCACAGTGTAGTAGCATCAGTGGACATGTGCAAAAACAGACAGACCCAAGGGTAACCACGTCTATGACAGCTACCATCCTGGTCCCTCACCCAGGCTCTCCTGCTGCAAGCGTTCAACCCAGACCTGCAGAGAGACCTTCCTTAAGCCCTCTCAACAACACAATGGCTTCTTTTTTTTTTTTTTGAAGATTTTATTTTTAGTATTTTTTTATTGGAAAGGCGGATATACAGAGAGGAGAGACAGAGAAGAAGATCTTCCGTCCGATGATTCACTCCCCAAGTGAGCGCAACGGCCCATGCTATGCCGATCCGAAGCCAGGAGCCTCTTCCGGGTCTCCCACGCGGGCACAGGGTCCCAAAGCTTTGGGCCGTCCTCCACTGCTTTCCTGGACCACAGGCAGGGAGCTGGAAGGGAAGCGGGGCTGCCGGGATTAGAACCGGCGCCCATATGGGATCCCGGGCGTGCAAGGCGAGGACCTTAACCACTTGCGCCCCCACCGCGCCGGGCCCGCAATGGCTTCTTTCTAATATTTCAAGATTTAATTTAACAATGACATTCACTCCCCAACGCCTGCAGCTTCTGTAGACCTCATCTCCAAACCCCAATAGATTCCAAAGAGAATTTCAGAAGGGACAGATCACATTCAAATCACAGCGCTCACTTGCACCACGTTGAAGACAAGGCGAGCTGGGGGACCGTTTCTCACTGCTAGGCTCACCCAGCATTTTCGAAGGCCGTGATCAGGTGATCTTAACATGTATGCGCCGAGGACTCGCTTGGGTCCCGCCTGCACTGCATCTTCCCAGCAGCCCTGGGTTCGCGGCTCCTCCCTTCACTGCCACTTCTCCCAGGGCTTTAACCTCTGTCTGACACCTGGGGAGTCTTCAGTGGCACCCACCTCAAAGCCAGTCTGGTCATGGCCACCTTGCTGGTGGGAGATGGAGAAAGATAAAGGCCTTCACTGCCCTGCCACTTGGGAGGCTAAGAGCCGAGTGGTCAGCAGACAGCGGCTCTGTCTTCTTGCTCTTGATTCTGCAAGTCTTCATAGAAAAGGTCCTGCGCTACATCGCCCCCTGCTGGTCACTTATCAGTCACCACTGAGGGGGCAGAGGAACTGAAGGGAAAAGTTACCCATTATTATCCCTAATAGTGGTGGTAGCTAATTGTTGTTGTGTCAGGCGCCACCAGAGCTCTTCACACACACATACACACACACACACACACACACAAAGTCATCACAACAACTACTGTTATCTCTTCCACTACGTGGATGAAAACCAGACCTGAGACACAGAGAGTCATTTTTTAAAAGACAGGGAAGAAGATCTTCTGTTCGCTGACTCACTCCCCAAGCAGCCGCAATGGCTGGAGCTGTGCTGATCTGAAACCAGCAACCCAGAGCCTCCTCTGGGTCTCCCACATGGGGTAGGGTCCCAAGACTTTGGGTCGTCCTTGATTGCTTTCCCAGGCCACAAACAGGCAGCTGGATGGGAAGTGGGACCTGGTATTAGAACCGGTGCTCATATGGGATTCTGGTGTGTGCAAGATGAGGGCTTCAGGTGCTAGGCTATTGTGTCGGGCCCCAGAGAGTAATTAAGGTTGCTCGTTCACTTGTTCACTTCACATGCAGAGGGAGTGGCATTGTTAGGTGCTGGGGATAGTAACAGCAGCCATAGCAGTCATCTAAAATAAACCTAGCACCTATTTGGGTACGAGGTGTTGCATGCACCGAAGATGTTAGCAAGCTTCTCCGTTCATTCTCCCCACCACCCTCGGAGGGGCCTCGTCGTCCTGGGCCCAGTGTCTCTGATTGGCTGAAAGGGGCTCAGAGGGCCTAACAACTTGCATGCCATCAGGGGGCCATGTAGGGTGAAGGCACACTGGCATCAGGCCAGCGTAGCTGTGTGTAAGTGCACAGTTGAGGGGGTTAAACCCCTCTCCTGCCCCCGAGAGCTGATTGTGTCCGCGTGCTCGTTAGTGTTGCGTGTTCATGGGGCAGGGTCTCGTGTCTGCATTTGTTTGCCCGAGGGTGTGGCAGGTGGATTGCCTTCCGTGGGTCTGGGTGGGCCTCGTCCAATCGGCTCAGGATCTGAGTATGGCAGAGGCTGACACACAGCTCACCGCAGAGCAGGTGGGGCTCCCCCCGCAGATGACCTTGGTCCGCCCGTGGTGGCTCCTTTCTGGCCTGGGCCCCAGACCTGTAGGTTTTCGACTTTCCCATCTCCGTTATCATTGAGCCAACTCCTCACAGTCTCTGTACACACACACACACACACACACACACACACACACACACTTGTTTGTGCTGCTCTGGGAGTAGTACGTTTTACAAAACTCACAAACTAAATCACAACTAATTTCCCCAACCCCAGCCCTGGTTAATCTGATCTTTCTTCCTGTCTCTATGAATTTGACTCTCTTTGGGGGGCTATCTTTTTACAGCAGGTTCACGTCCTGTCGCCGCATGTCCTCTGGTTTCATCCGGGCTGCAGCCCAAGTCAGAACTGCCTTTTTCTGGGAGGCCGAGCAACATTCCGGGGCTGTGCGTCCGCTGCATGCTGTCGCTGCATTCGTCTCCCCGTGCACGCTCAGCAGTTTCTACCTCATGGCTGCTATGAACAGGGGTACGCCTAGGCTTGCTCGACTCCCTGCTCTCCGGGGCTACTTTAGAAATGAAATCTCTGGGTTATACAGCCTCTCTGCTCTGACACTCTTGAGTGGGCACATCATTGTGCACCCCCATCGCAGTGGTCAAGGGTTCCGTTTACCCCACACCCTCCAATGCATTTGTGATTTCCTGCCTCTTCATAGTGCCTGTCTGATGGGTGGGAGGTGATATCATATGGTGGGCTTGAGTTACACTTCCCTGGGGCCTGGGCTTTAGAAAAACATGATTTGCATTTTTTAAGAATGCATTTTATTTAAGAGAGAGATTTGCTATCTGCTAGTTTACCCCTCCCCCCAAATGCCCATAGTAGAGGTGGGCCAGGGGAACCCCAGAGCCAGGAAGTCAGTGCACATGGAGAGAAGGGAGCCAAGTACTTGAGCCATCACCTGTTGCCTCCTTGGGAAGCAAGGAGCTGGCATTGGAAACAGAACTGGAACTTGAAGCGAGGCACACTGCTAAGAGATGCGAACATCTCAAACAGCATCTTAAGCACTGTGGGACATGCCAGGCCCAGGCCCTCCCAGCCCTGCAGAGAGGACCCTCCCAGCCCTGCAGAGAGGACCCTCCCAGCCCCTGCAGAGAGGACCCTCCCAGCCCTGCAGAGAGGACCCTCCCAGCCCCTGCAGAGAGGACCCTCCCAGCCCCTGCAGAGAGGACCCTCCCAGCCCTGCAGAGAGGACCCTCCCAGCCCCTGCAGAGAGGACCCTCCCAGCCCCTGCAGAGAGGACCCTCCCAGCCCTGCAGAGAGGACCCTCCCAGCCCTGCCCTTCAGTGCGCTCACAGGCTCACAGGTGGGCCAACATGTAAGAGAGGTGGGTACCAAGGATCGCGGGACAAGGAGAAAACGCATTGGAATGCGTGCAATCTCCTTTGGGACGAGGCCTCCAGTCAGCCAGAGATGCAGCTCCCCTGCCCCAGCACACACACACACACACACACACACACACACACACACACACACACACACACAGAGCCATCTTCTGGGAGAGCGAAGGGGCATGCTCAGGGCCAGGCCCAGGAGGCACCGCACTGAGTGCCGAGAGCTGAGAGAAAGCTTGGAGCCCAGGAAGGTGGCTGGGGCGGTCTGCCGCAGAATGCAAACTTCTAGGAGTTGCTGCGAATCGTGGCGTATCCCTACGATGCTGGTCTAGACTCTGCGCAGAGGGATGGGTGTTGGTGTTGAGAGAGCACGAGCTAGGAAGGAAAGGGTGGGCAGGAAGGCAGAGGAAGGCACCCGAGGGGCAGGTGGGCAAGAATCTGTGTGATCCACACAGGCTTATGACGTCACCCAGCCAGGCTCCATGACAGGCCCCCCGTCAGTCAGTTCCTGGAAGTCCTGCCTACGTCATTCCCCAAGCTCGCTGCCCAGCCGCACAGGGGAGGCTGTGCTACAAGACTTGGGCTTCCACCAAGGGCACTGCATCAGATTCCCTGGGATGGCCTCCTTACTGATGTACCCAAGACGGCGGGGCCGAGAGCTGC